CCGCAGCCCGTCTGGTGTTCAACCTTCCCAAGTTCTCTCACGTCACCCCCCTCCTCCGCACACTCCACTGGCTTCCAGTTGAAGCTCGCATCCGTTACAAGACCATGGTGCTTGCCTATGGAGCAGTGAGGGGAACGGCACCTCCGTACCTTCAGGCTCTGATCAGTCCCTACACCCAGGCGAGGGCATTGCGTTCATCCACCTCTGGCCTGCTGGCTCCCCTTCCTCTGCGGAAGCATAGTTCCCGCTCAGCCCAGTCAAAGCTGTTCGCTGCTCTGGCACCCCAATGGTGGAACAAGCTCCCTCACGACGCCAGGACAGCGGAGTCACTCACCACCTTCCGGAGACATTTGAAACCCCACCTCTTTAAGGAACACCTGGGATAGGATAAAGTAATCCTTCTACCCCCCCCCCCCCCCCCCCCCCCAAAAAAAAAAAAAAGTATAATTGTAAAGTGGTTATCCCACTGGCTATAGGGTGAATGCACCAATTTGTAGTCGCTCTGGATAAGAGCGTCTGCTAAATGACGTAAATGTGCCCTTGAGCAAGGCACTTAACCCTAATTGCTCCTGTAAGTCGCTCTGGATAAGAGCGTCTGCTAAATGACTAAAATGTAAATGTAAATGTAAATCTCAAAACACAGCTTTAAACACAGTCCAGTTCAAAGTAAATGGCACAGATCCATATTTGGCAATGGTCTATTCTAGTCGTAATGTGTGTTTTGTCCTATATTTTTATTTTATTTTTAATCACATTTTTTTTTACATTTTAGTCATTTAGCAGACGCTCTTATCCAGAGTGACTTACAGGAGCAATTAGGGTTAAGTGCCTTGCTCAAGGGCACATCAACAGATTTTTCACCTAGTCGGCTGGGGGATTAGAACCAGCGACCTTTCAGTTACTGGCACAACGCTCTTAACCACTAACCACTACCTACAGCCCCGTCCAAACAGGAGGCCTTTTGCCTTTTGTTAGGCGGTCATTGTAAATAAGAATTTGTTCTTAACGGACTTGCCTAGTTAAATAAAGGTTAAATAAATAATAAATAAATACAATAATATAGGCCTACTGCAGCTCTGATTGGTCATGCCGCACCGGTCTATGTAGCATATGGGCAGAGTCATGTGTAATAGAATCCTACTCTGATGCGTTCTGCCTACAACAAAATATCTTGCATAGTTCGTTTTGTTTTGGTATGTTGCATTGAAAGTGGCTAATATTGCCTTGATTCGATCAATAAAGGTAAAACATTGATAGTGTTAACTAACAGGGAAAACTCTAGAAAGTTTAGTGAAGTTCAATCTCATGCTTCTCTCTCCATGGGCTGATATTTCTTCTGTGCTTTGTGTGGCAGTCCTGGGGTAGCTGCGCGGCAGTCTCGGGGCTACTGCGCGCCTGCGCACTTGAACAGCTTAGAGGGAACATTGCTTGGTAGTTTAAACGCAAGTGGTAGTGCCCAGCAGGCCAGTCATTTCCATATTTGAACCCTGAACCTAGTGTAGCCTTATGTGACATTGACTCCCCATTTTAGAGAATACAGCAGACTGTATGCAGTTTCAGTCACATGTTCAGATCACCAGTTCATGTTTTGGTTCTTCAAGAACATGCTTTTCAAGAACTCATAACCTGATAGTGGCAGGGTCTTGATCTGACCCCTCAGTCCAGAGGGACACTGCAGCCAGAACTGACTAACTAACTGAATGTAGGTACAAAACAACAACAGCAGCTACAACAGCAGTGGATGATGAGGTAATAGAGAAAGCGCTAGCACCCTCTATTAATCTGTTACAAGGCTTCTCTGCTCCCTAGGATTTTCTTCATCCAGCTTTAGTTTAGGGTGTCCAGTGTTGTGCCTTATAAAACATGTGTGTTCTATGGCAGAGTGAGGGGACTATCACCAAATCATAGAATTAGAAATGATTAATGTTGTCATGTATTTAAATGTTTTATTAGTGTCCAGAGTGAGGCCAGAGTGAGGCCATAGGTCTCCAAACACTGCCACACACACACACACACACACACACACACTATTGTCAGTGCTACCACAGAGAGAATGCTTGCAGCTGGGTGTGAACCAGGACAGCTTTCAAGTACAGCTTTCATATCAGAGGGAGGAGACAGGTTGGGATTTATGCAAGATGATATTCAGCAGGCACCTAATCCTGTATGGTATTGGGATGATGGCATCATATTTAGGCTGTAGATTATATACCCAGCAAAACAATGTGCACCTGCAGTTGAGTACATGCTGAAATATAATGAAACAGTTTGATGCATGTGTAAGATACTTTTATGAGTATTATTATTTTGTTAAACTAAACTCAGTTATTTTATATGGATTTCTGAAATGTGTGGAATAGAGAGCAATGGTAATGTCGTCTTTTTAGGCACTAAATCCGCCATGCTTCTTAGAAAAAGCCTATGGGAAAATGAATGTTTTTTTTTTTTTGTGGGTTTTTGGATACACACCGAAGGGGATCTTATACGTTTTGTTCTATGAGATAACCTTCATCAGCTAAAGTCACTTTTTGTGAATTATGAAGCATTTCTGTAATTTAAAAAAACACATGTTTCATAATTCATAAAGGTCATGTTAATTTACTGATATTATCTCATAGAACAAAACGTATAAGAGCTCATAAGCCTGTAAATAACCTCAGACCTTATTTTCGGCGTTGATTCGAAAACCCTATTCTTTCCCCAATACTTTTGCCCATAGGAATGGCTGAACGAACCAGAGGTAAATCATACTGAGGTATACTAAAAGCTGGCGAGATCTATTTATTATTTGTCATTTACCCGGTAACTAATCATCTGTTTTCTGATTGGCCAAGGCATAATGAAGTTGTAATAGCTTTATTGAGACAGGAAGTGACACAGTCTTGAATTGTGGTTGATGATGTTCAATGTGGTTTGACTGTTGAAGCTGCTAAATAGTTATTAGTCTCCGTACCATCCAGTCCTTGCTCCTACAGAACGTAATCCATCCACCTGTACTCGGACACTCAATTGACACATGGAAAGATACGAAAAACCCTGTGGGAAAGACCACAGGACAGGTATAATGCATTACAATGCATGGCAATAATTGGCATAAGCACTTATTACACCCATATAACAATGTATTATGTAACATCATAAAGATGAGATATTATCAACCATTTACTCATAATATAATGTATTTTTATTTACAGTATTTTGAGTCTGTAAAATATTGTAAATACAAATACATGATACTGTGGTCCTCTGTAGCTCAGCTGGTAGAGCACGGCGCTTGTAACGTTCGATCCCCGGGACCACCCATACACAAAAAAGAATGTATGCACGCATGACTGTAAGTCGCTTTGGATAAAAGCGTCTGCTAAATGGCATATTATTATTTATTATGACATAGATAATAAAATATTGAAAGCACTCATATAGTTATTTAAAGTAACGTATTACGTAGTTGGATAGTCTTGCCATAGGTTCACAATGAGGCCATCTAAAGCAAAATATGCCAACCTGGCAGGTGGCGGGTTGTTTTCCTATACAGTAACCTAGGACGTTGTCCACTGGCACTGCACTGCATTGTCGCCAATAAACCGCACGGGGTGTGTTGAGGGACTGCAGAGCAAAACACGCCCCCTAGATGCTCTGCTGAAGTCTCCGTGTCTGCGGGGAAGAGGCACGTAGGTCTATCGAGATACATCAAGAAGTGCCCGCTCGCTCCTCTCAGTAGCTAAGGTAAGAACAAATGCCCATTTATTTTTCCATTCAGTTATTTAGATCAAAAGACTTGTTGTGTCAGTGTTTTCTGTGTTTAGTCTAGGCTACATTATTAGAGAAAATAAAGTTGGGAGATAGAGCATGTTATGTAACTGAACTGAAGCGCTATCTCTGGCTTCAAGTAATTAACAATTTACTGTAGTTTCATATGGGCATAGTTTTCGACATCTGCCTGACTTATCCATGCATAAAAGGAATTTGAATGTTTTATGCACAGTTCTGAGGACCTATTGGATGGATGCTATCAGATGATCACCCGGATTCTTCCCACAGTACTACTGGATATTATGAATGACCTGGAAAATAAGTTGTTTTATGGATTCCATCATTTTAAACTGGACAAAGCTTACAAAAATAAATCTGCATGGAATGGACAAATGGCAAACACCATTTACGCAATCTCTCCCTAAATGGAATTCTACCATATTCTACCTACACTTTCTATGTTGCTGACATATCTACTGATGGTAGCCTATGTATTTCAGATAGTAGGAATTTTCATCATCATATTCTATGGCATTCAGAGATAACTCAGGGGGGCTTAGGGTACTTTTTTATTCAGATGCTGATTTGTTTTAAAAAGAAACAACCATCTTGGTGAGAGTTTTGAGGCACAACAACGGCCTCGTGAAGGTCAGGATAATAAGTCGACCAATTTTGGGGGGTTTGTCAGGGAATCAGCAGTAATCTGTTTCCTGAATTGGCAGAGAAAGGAGAGAGAGGGGAGGGAGAGGGTAGAAAAGTAACCATCAGTAGGCATCATAGCACTAATCCTGCACCCCTTTGGGCCTTCTGTAAGTAATAGGTACAAACCAGCTTAGCCCAATCATGACTGACCTCATACTGAACATGCAAGCTTTTATGTAAGGAAAACGGGTGCATACAAAATGACAGTACCTAACAGAGATATCCACCAAAGCCATGGTCGGCAATTCTTTTTTGCTTTGTGAGCTACTTGAAGCCTTTCAAACTTTCTTGTGCCCAAACGATGTGTCTAGCCATATTAGTCCTAAGACGTGACCCAAGAGGAACTGGCTGTGACCTATCAGTGGGTCGGTCCCCAGTACCCACCCGCCATTTGTGAAACACTGGCCCAAAGTGTTTGGTCATGTTCTTTATGTGTGGTGAGGGTTGTCTTTAATTTTTTTAATGTATATACATCTAAGACAGCCCAGTCTTAACGAGACAGAAGAGTAAACCTGCCTGTCTGTCTGTCTGTCTGTCTGTTCCAGGAGCCTGCAGTGACGACAACATGGGTCGCAAAGAAATAACCTGCAGTTGGAAGAAAGTCACCAACAACATCAGAGATGTGTTCGAATTCAAACAAGCGCTGGGATCGTAAGTACTTTGTCTGATATGATTAGAGCCAGGTCACAGTGTTTAAAACCACCACTTAATCATTCTAAGGGGACTCTGAAGGCAAACCTTGGTGTCTAGGTTTGAATTTCCGTTTAACTCTGTTTCTGTGCCTCAAGCCATTACTGTGTTTTACATTTATAACGTAAAGCACTTTTACTTTTGGGCAGGGCCGTCATGCACCCCAAAAATCTGAGGGGGCATAAAGTATGGCAGGGCGGTGGTCCGGGGGGGGAAGTTGGTGAATTTGGCATTTTTCAAACACCTGAAGCAGCTTTTTCCTACAATCTAGAGCCATAATCATTATGCTTAATTCTATGTAAAAAAAATATATATGTTAATTTATCTTTATATCTAAGCATACCTCTTGAGCTGTCTGTATCCTCCTGACAGTTTTTTCTTTTTTTTTAAGGAACTAAATAGGCTTCTCTGCATCTCTGCTAAAACCTGGGTAAAAGATTGAAAGGAATGTGAATCTTATTCAGTATATCTAGTAACTGCTTGCCAGCATTTACATTTAAGTCATTTAGCAGGCATGACAGCTAAAATAGTTAGACAAGCTAGCTACTCTAACTTGATTGATAGCCTGAAATGGCCTCTTGGTACTGTAGCTAGTTATGATGTTGGGAGATTGGGAACCTATCTGGGTTAGCTAAAGCTAACAACAACAAAAACATTTAATTAATAAATATATATATAAACAGGACAAATCTGAGGGGACACGTGCCTGCTATGGGCATGACGCCTCTGCTTTTTGGATAACTCACATCATCTAATATGAAGAACCTTACTGGGTGATGCACGGCAGGCATTTTTAGCTTGGTTGTTTTCAATGGGCCTTTGTTGCTGGGTAGCGACTCTTGTCACCTTCTTAACTCAGACTAAAGGGCCATTATTACAGGATTGAGTGGATCTCCAGGAGACCTACTTTACCGTTTTCCAGAGAAGGATCCTAGTTTGGCACTATAATCCTGGACGGGCTTGAACATTCCACCAAGATTATCAGATTATCAGGACCCATGTCAGGGCAGGTCTTCTTTATCAATTGAAGTGGACCACTTGGCGCTCACACCATACAGCCTCTCTCACCTTAGATACGGTTAAACTAGGACCCAAGTATAGTCTGAGACAATTCTTTAGAGTTTTGAGATGAGATAGCAACAGTAACCAAAAGAGGACAGGACATTGCAAAATTGAGTAAAAATCGTTGACCAATATCTGCCCAATGTGTGAGCGTACATGTATTGTTGAGTGTGTATGAGCCTGGGTGTGTGTGTGTGTGTGTGTGTGTGTGTGTGTGTGCGTATGTTCATGTAAGCTTATGGGCGTGTGCATGTGTGGGTGTATTCGTGTTTGCAGTGTTTCTCCTAGGATTCTTTTCAGCAGCAGTGGCAGAGTTAGCGGGAGGGGGGTGGGGTGGGGGGGGGGTGGGGGGGTGCATATAAGGAAAACACTGGTGTTTGTGTGTGTTTATACAGTAAGTCCATGCGTGTGAATGTACAGTATGTGTGGTATAAGAGGGCTTTATGACTGTTTCAGAGTTTGTTGTGCTTTGCGAAATCAAATAGAAGAAATGGCATTGTCCAGTTGTCCAGAGTGCTCTGTCTGCTGGCCCCTGGCCTGTTTATCAGATTCCTGCTCAACTCCTAAGCCTCTCCTCAAGCAGCTTATATTCCAGAACATCCCTGGCTGTGAATGAGAGAGGCTGACGTTGAGAGAGGTGTGAGCCAGGCAGGTGAGCAATGATGTCATTACAGTGCAGGAACATCCTAACTCTTTTATAGGATTAGGGGTCTGGGATTGTGTGTCTGTGTGTTTACTGCGTGAGGGAATGAGTGTGCCTGCGTGCGTGAGTTTGTGCGTGAGTTTGAGTGTGAATTGAAGTATCTGTATGTGTGTGTTCATCAGACCTGGCTTCAATTAGTATAATTTTCTTTCAAAAACTTTAAGTGTTTGATGGAGCCTGCTAGGAGTACCAGATGAGAGGAATTAGCACTTTTGGAACTATTCAATTGGTCCCATTTCACCAGGGAGCGAAGTGGAAAGCTCAATCAAAGTGTTTGAAAGAAAACAAATACTGCAGTCTTTGAACCCAGGTCTGGTTGTGTCTGTTGTGTCTGTCTGTATGTCTGTCTCTCCCAGACAGTGATGTCTTTGGGCACAGACACACTCATTGCATCAATATCACAGGTGTCGGAATGTGACGGTCAGGCCCAGAGTGTCTGCCAAACAGAGGATTACCCTCACCTTGGTCTCCCTCAAACAGGGCAATTAGCAGATGGAGGGTAGATCCATTTTGAGACTTAGGATCCTTTTGGCTCCCTCCCACACATTAACACTAACTTCTCTCCTGACGTCATGTTATGGCTGTGGTGTTTGTTTGGTCTGACGAAGAAAATACCCACCCATAGCCTTCTCAGGGTTCATCCAGGGTTGACTGTGCTAGATCAGACAGAGACAAACAGACACAATGAACAAATGAAGATCACAGTGGAAATAAGCCTCCTGCCTTTATTGTGTTTTTATCCGCAATAATTTTTTGTGTATGTAATGTTGTCTCCGGCTTGAGCAGCCTACTACTTTAAATTATCTAATCAGTTCAATCACTCAATCAATCAATCATCTCAGGGGTCCCTGTCCTGAGCTTCAGGCTGGGTTATGTAAAGTGCTTGAGCGCTAGTCCTGCCCTGCTGCTATTCACAGGCCTCACTAGCACAGGCCATACCTGAGCCTCTATCTGGGCCACCCTCGTCTCAATCCTATCTGTGTGTCAGCTATGAGCCTGGCAAGTGAGGCTGGGTGGTGGTGACTCCACCTACAGTACATGGCGGTAGGTAGCCTAGTGGTTAGAGCGTTGGGCCAGTAACCGAAAGGTCGCTCGTTCGCGTACCAGAGCTGACAACTTGAGAAATCTGTCGATGTACCCTTGAGCAAGGCACTTAACCCTAATTTGCTCTTACTGACTGACCCCGTAAAACAACACACTTCACTGCACCTATCCGGTGTATGTGGCATTAAAACATGTTATTATTTAGTAGCCTTCCAAAGTGTGTAGGGGAGCTTCCGCCATTGGTTACACCTACCCAGTTCCTTCCAATCGGTAAACACCAAAGGGCTATCTGCAAATAGGGGTTGTTTTCGAGCCATTCCACTCTGTCTATAGCGCTTATTGGTTTAATTGGAGCAGTAATGTGACGAGGTGTGAAGGAAGGAATCAGGCGCAGGAGGTAAAATACAGAAGCGTCAAAACGAAACTAACAAGGGAAAACATCCACCTTGGCATAAACACTAAGAATAGTAGCTTAACCAAGCTACACGCTCTCACAACAAACAATCACTCACAAAGACAAGGGGAACAGAGGGAACGCTTATACACATACTAATTAGGGGAATGAGCACCAGGTGTGTGTAATTGACAAGACATGACAAGTGGAGTGATGAGAATGGGATCGGCAGTAGCTAGTACTCCGGTGACGACGAACGCCGAAGCCTGCCCGAACCAGGAGGGGGGGCAGCCTCGGCGGAAGTCGTGACAGACCCGATCCCCCGGTACGAACACCGGGGCCTCCCTGCGGTGGCGGTCAGCGTTGGCCTTCTGACGTTGGCGTTGGCCAAGTCTCCTCCGCGCGTCGAAACCAGTCATCCACCGCGGGAGCCTCGATCTGGCTCTGGTGCCACGGTGCCAGGACCGGTTGGTACCCCAAAACACATTGGAAGGGTGTTAGGTTAGTGGAGGAGTGGCGGAGAGAGTTCTGAGCATATTCTGCCCATGGCAAGAACACCGACCACTCCCCCGGCCGGTCCTGACAGTAGGTCCGCCGGAACCTACCCACATCTTGATTCACCCTTTCCACCTGCCCATTACTCTCGGGGTGAAAACCAGAGGTCAGGCTGCCTGAGACCCCCAGACGTTCCATGAACGCCTTCCAGACTCTAGACGTGAACTGTGGACCTCGGTCGGACACTATATCCTCTGGTACCCCGTAGTGCCGGAAGACGTGAGTAAACAGAGCCTCCGCAGTTTGTAGGGCCGTGGGGAGACCGGGCAGAGGAAGGAGGCGGCAGGACTTTGAAAAGCAGTCCACAACGACCGGGATCGTGGTGTTACCTTGGGAGGGGGGAAGATCAGTGAGAAAATCAATACTCATGGTCGTTGTGGAACTGGTAAAGGTTGTAGCTTACCCGCTGGGAGATGCCTAGGTGCCTTACTCTGGGCGCACACTGAGCATGAGGAAACATACACCCTCACGTCCTTAGCCAAGTTAGGCCACCAGTACTTCTCGGTCAGGCAGCGCATTGTACGACCGATACCTGGATGACCAGAGGAGGGTGACGTGTGTGCCCAGTGGATTAGACGATCACGGATAAGCGCAGGCACGTACTGCAGCCCAGCTGGACACTACGGTGGAGATGGATCTGTGCGTAATGCCTGCGCTATATCTGCGTCCATCGCCCATACTACCGGCGCCACAATGCAAGAGGCCGGGAGTATGGGGGTGTTGTCTCTGGGCCTCTCCTCTGTGTCATACAGCCGAGACAGTGCGTCTGCCTTCACGTTCTTCGTACCCGGATGTATGAGAGTGTGAAATCAAACCGGGTGAAGAAGAGGGCCCACCTGGCCTGGCGAGGATTCAGCCTCCTCGCTGCCCGAATGTACTCCAGGTTACGGTGGTCTGTCCAGACGAGGAAAGGGTGTTTCGCCCCTTCGAGCCAATGTCTCCACACCGTCAAAGCTCGGACAACAGCCAACAGCTCCCGATCACCAACGCCGTAGTTCTGCTCCGCCGAGCTAAGCTTCTTAGAAAATAAGGCATAGGGGAGGAGCTTGGGTGGCATGCCCGAGCGTTGGGATAAGACAGCTCCTATCCCTACCTCGGACGCATCCACCTCCACTACGAAGGGTAGTGATGGATCGGGGTGAGCCAGTACCGGGGCTGAGGTGAACAGACCCCGCAATCTACTGAATGCCAAATCAGCCTCAGCAGACCAGCGGAGCCGGGACGGCCCACCCTTCAACAAGGAGGTAATGGGAGCTGCGACCTTGCCAAAACCCTGAATAAACCTTCGATAGTAGTTGGCAAAGCCAAGGAAGCGCTGCACTTCCTTTACCGTGGTTGGAGTCGGCCAATTACGCACGGCTGCAATGCGGTCTCCCTCCATCTCCACACCTGTGGTGGTAATGCGATATCAGAGGAAGGAGATTGACTGCTGGAAAAACTCACACTTCTCTGCCTTGGCATAAAGATCATTTTCCAGCAGTCAGACCAGTACTTTGCAAACCAGGAACACATGCTCAGCGGGCGTAGCGGAATACACCATCAATGTAGACCACCACACCATGACCAAACATGTCCCGAAACACCTCGTTCACAAAGGACTGGAAAACGGATGGAGCATTCATCAAACCGTAGGGCATCACCAGGTATTCATAATGCCCCGAGGTTGTGCTGAATGCTGTTTTCCACTCATCCCCTTCCCGAATACGCACCAGGTTGTAGGCACTCCTGAGGTCTAATTTGGTGAAAAAACGGGCCCCATGCATTGACTCAATCACTGAAGGAATGAGGGGAAGAGGATAACTAAATCGTACCGTCACATTATTCAGTGGTCGATAATCAATGCACGGGCGTAAACCGCCATCTTTCTTCATCACAAAGAAGAAACTCGAGGAGGCAGGTGAAGTGGAGGGACGTATATACCCCTGGCGCAGGGACTCGGTGACGTATATTTCCATAGCCTCCGTTTCAGCCTGCGACAGGGGATACACATGACTCCTGGGAAGTACAGCGTCTACTCGAAGGTTTATCGCGCAATCCCCCTCCCGATGAGGTGGTAATTTAGTCGCTTGCGTCTTGGAAAACGCGAGCGTCAGATCATGGTATTTGGGGGGAATGCGCACGGTGGGGGTACCGTCTGGACTTTCCACCGTGGTCGCACCAATTGAAACACCTAGACACCTACCCGGACACTCACGCGACCACCCCGTAAGAACCCTCTGCGGCCATGAGAAATTGGGGTTGTGAAGGGCTAACCACGGGATACCCAAGACTACAGGGTAAGCAGGAGACTCAATAATCGTAATCATAGGGACTGGTACAGTAACTTCCTTAACCAACCCGGACCCTAATGGTCGACTTTCTAGTGCTCTGATGGGGAGTGGAATGGTTAGGGGAACCAATGAAATGCCTTGACAGTGTGCAAATGCCATGTCCATAAAATTCCCAGCTGCACCTGATTCAACTAGCGCCTTACACTGGGAACCTACCAAGTGATCTGGAAAAGAGATGGATAAAGTATGGTGCGCCGCAAAGGGCTCTGAACACGTTTGGGTGTTCGTTACCTGGGGTGATGCGTGAGTACCCTGCCTACCGCCTCCAGACCCAAAAGAACGTTGACTGTGACGTGAGGTGGATTGTCCCTTCGTGCCACCAGAGTGGCACTGTCGCTGTCCTCCTGCGCTCTCTCGTCCGGCGGCTCCTCCCAGCTCCATCTGCTCGGGGTCAGAGTCGTCCGGAGTGGGAACGGGCAGACCCCTACCAGGACGTCCTCTGGCTGCTAGCAGATTGTCCAGCCGGATGGCCATGTCCACCAGTTGGGATAACGATAGCATGGCATCCCGGCAGGCTAGCTCCCATCGGACGTCCTCCCTTAGGTGGCACCGGAAATGGTCTGTCAGGGCCCGCTCGTTCCACCCGGACCCCACTGCCAGCGTCCGGAACTCCAGCGCGTAGTCCTGAGCTGTCCTCGTCCCCTGCCTTAGATGAACCAGTCGTTCGCCCGCCTCTCGACCCTCAGGCGGGTGATCAAAAATGGCCCGAAAGAGGCGAGCAAACTCCCCGTAGTTCTCCAATGTGGTACCTCCCTCGTTCCATACCGCGTTGGCCCACACACAAGTAGTTCATTCGATGAGAGGCTAGAATCGTTCCTGGAGTTAATCTCAGAAATCCACAAATTGATGGAACCTAAAGCTCCAAAGGTTCATTGACCTTAGAGCTAAAACCTCTGGTTTGGAAAATGGACATTGCTATAACCTTTTTCTCTGTCTGTGTGTGGGTGTGTAGGGGTTCATTCTCAGAGGTGTATTTGGTGAGAGAGAAGAAGACAGGAAACCTGTATGCCCTGAAGTGTCTGAAGAAAAAACACCTCAGTTGTAGCAAACTGGAGAACGAGATCGCTGTGCTGAAGAAGTGAGTACACGCATGCACGCACGCACACATACACACACACACACACACTCATACTCTTACACACTCTCACACCTGAACAAGCTAACATCACATATCTCTCAATCTTCCTCTCAGGATAAGGCATGACAATGTGATTGGACTGGAAGATTTCTATGAGACTCAGACACACTATTACCTCGTCATGCAGCTGTGAGTGCAAACCATTATCACTACATAAGCTAAATACATGTATTAGCCTACAGATAAATGTTACTGTTTTAGAGAACTTGCTGTATCAGTAGGGTGTTTAATAAGGGTTGTAAAGGCTGATGATGATGATGATGATGATGGTGAATATGGTGGTGGTGGTGGGGAGATTCTGATGTGTGTGTGTTCTTTCCTAGGGTGTCTGGTGGAGAGTTGTTTGACCGTATCATAGATCGGGGGGTGTACACAGAGAAGGACGCCAGCCAGCTGGTCCGCCAAGTACTGCAAGCTGTCAACTACCTTCACGAGAACAGCATAGTGCACAGGGACCTCAAGGTACGTTACACACACAGTCAACATACCTGGTACAATAATAATAATAATAATAATAAACACAGACAGTCAATTTACCTGAGGGGTATCCTACGAAGCAGGTTTGAGGAGTTAGCGCGGTAACTTTGTTCAACTCTGAGTTCAACTCCGGATAACCAGTCATATGAAAGTGGCTCACTTTTTAGCCAGGTACGTTTCTATGGCAACAAATCTTTCAGAACTAACCTGCTCCGGGGCAGGCTAACTCACGGCTAACTCCACATACCCTGAATGAAACGACGCGAGTTGAGGACCAATGAAATCAGATTCCCTCCCTCTTCCCTCCCTCTTGCAAAGATTGCGTCATCATCCCCTTCATTTGAGAAAGATGACAGATTAAATATTTTATTAATCAAAAGGTTTTTTTGTGTAAAAAAATAGCAATGTAAAAACATATCACATTACACATTTAGTAATGACAGAATGCATTTTAAACTTCATGCAATGTAACCCTTTTGTATGCCTTAATAAAAAATTCATATTGATAGCAGTGGGAAAAAAGGTGTTTGTGCATTGATAAGCACACCAAAGCACACCAAATACGGCATTAACGATAAGTAATACAATACAGACACAATGGCAAGATAACTTTTCTTTCATTTTGATTTCAGCACAAATTAAAATGTGGCATTGACTCGCCCATGGATTGATGTTTCAGCATTGTCTCAATGAAGAGCAGTTACAAGCCTGCTAGAGTTAGCGGCAGGCCGACAAGCTAATCCACCGTTGTAGTACGGATGAAGCCTGAGCTGGAATGTGAAGCTAACTGAAGCTGGTTAGCTCTAGCTTGTTTCGTAGGATACCCCTCTGGTACAATAATAATAAGAAACACACACACAGTCAACTAACCTGGTAGAATAAGGGTAAAAGTACATTTTAATGTAGCTAAAAAATTAATAAAAAATTATAATATACAATATGCCATGCCAAATGTATTTTACACACACATTACTATACCATCAGTACATACAGTTGAAGTCGTAAGTTTACATACACCTTAACCAAATACATTTATACTAAGTTTTTCACAATTCCTGACATTTAATCCTAGTAAAAATTCCCTGTCTTAGGTCAGTTAGGATCACCACTTTATTTTAAGAATGTGAAATGTCAGAATAATAGTAGAGAGAATGATTTATTTAAGCTTTTATTTCTTTCATCACATTCCCAGTGGGTCAGAAGTTTACATACACTCAATTAGTATTTGGTAGCATTGCCTTTAAATTGTTTAACATGGGTGAAACGTTTCAGGTAGCCTTCCACAAGCTTTCCACAATAAGTTGGGTGAATTTTGGCCCATTCCACCTGACAGAGCTGGTGTAACTGAGTCAGGTTTGTAGGCCTCCTTGCTCGCACACGCTTTTTCAGTTCTGCCCACACATTTTCTATAGGACTGAGGTCAGATCTTTGTGATGGCCACTCCAATACCTTGACTTTGTTGTCCTTAAGCCATTTTGCCACAACTTTGGAAGTATGCTTGGGGTTGTTGTCCATTTGGAAGACCCATTTGCGACCAAGCTTTTACTTCCTGACTGACTGATGTCTTGAGATGTTGCTTCAATATATCCACATAATTTTCCTTCCTCATGATGCCATCTAAGTCCCTCCTGCAGCAAAGCACCCCCACAGCATGATGCTGCCACACCCGTGCTTCACGGTTGGGATGGTGTCCTTCGGCTTGCAAGCATCCCCCTTTTTCCTCCAAACACAACGATGATCATTATGGCCAAACAGTTCTATTTTTGTTTCATCAGACCAGAGGACATTTCTCCAAAAAGTACGATCTTTGTCCCCATGTGCAGTTGCAAACCGTAGTCTGGCTTTTTTTATGGCGGTTTTGGAGCAGTGGCTTCTTCCTTGCTGAGCGGCCTTTCAGGTCATGTCGATATAGGACTCGTTTTACTGTGTATATAGATACTTTTGTACCTGTTTCCTCCAGCATCTTCACAAGGTCCTTTGCTGTTCTGGGATTGATTTGCACTTTTTGCACCAAAGTACGTTCATCTCTAGGAGACAGAACGCATCTCCTTCCTGAGCGGTATGACGGCTGCATGGTCCCATGGTGTTTATACTTGCGTACTATTGTTTGTACAGATGAACGTGGTACCTTCAGGCATTTGGAAATTGCTCCCTAGGATGAACCAGACTTATGGAGGTCTACAAAAAATTTTCTGAGGTCTTGGCTGATTTCTTTTGATTTTCCCATGATGTCAAGCAAAGAGGCACTGAGTTTGAAGGTAGGCCTTGAAATACATCCACAGGTACACCTCCAATTGACTCAAATGATGTCAATTAGCCTATCGGAAGCTTCTAAAGCCATGACATCATTTTCTGGAATTTTCCAAGCTGTTTAAAAGCACAGTCAACTTCTGACCCACTGGAATTGTGATACAGTGAATTATAAGTGAAATAATCTGTCTGTAAACAATTGTTGGAAAAATGACTTGTGTCATGCACAAAGTAGATGTCCTAACCGACTTGCCAAAACTATAGTTTGTTAACAAGAAATTTGTGGAGTGGTTGAAAAACTAGTTTTAATGACTCCAACCTAAGTGTATGTAAACTTCCGACTTCAACTGTATACACTGTTTACGCACTTTATTTTTTGCCCGAGCGGTTACCCACTTTTTACTGGAAAATGCATTGAAAGTATAGGGAGTTTTTCTCACAGCGAACAGCGATCAGTGTTTACCCATCTATTTTTTGTATACCATGCTGAGAGAATAGTTCCTCTGCCGCTTGTTGACCCTCTCCCCCTCTCTCTCCCTCTGTGTGAGAGCAGCCAGAGAACCTGCTGTACTTCGACTCAGACGAGAACTCCAAGATCATGATCAGTGACTTCGGCCTGTCCAAGATGTCCGACCACGGAGTGATGTCCACAGCCTGCGGCACGCCAGGATATGTTGGTAAGATTCTGTGGGTGTGGGTGTTTGTGTGTGTGTGTGTGTCAAATCAAATCAAATTTGCCACATGCGGCAAACAGGTGTAGACTTTACAGTGAAATGCTTGCTTACGATCCCTTCCCAACGATGTAGAGGGCTTGTAAGCAAGCATTTCATGGTAAAGTCTACACTGTTGTATTCAACGCATGTGACAAATACAATTTGATTTAATTTGACACACTCGTGCAGCAAGTGTGTGTTAGATGGTTGGTCATTGAAATAGAGAGTAAAGCTTCATTGCACAGCTAGAGAGGATTAGCATGGTATCTAATCCTGTGTATATTTGACCCTCTACAGCCCCTGAAGTTCTGGCTCAGAAACCCTACAGCAAGGCAGTGGACTGCTGGTCCATAGGAGTCATCACATACATCCTGTGAGTGCCTATCTAGTACTTCTAGATCTATATCTGCCAGCACCTCTTCTCAACCCTTTCATAATCTCAGGATGACTGCATTGTGAGATGGTATTTGTATATAACTTTTGGGAAAAGTTATTGTAATCCTATGATGAACTCTATGTTAACTCTGTAATAACTACTTTATGTTCCCTCTCTCTGTGTGACAGGCTGTGCGGCTACCCTCCGTTCTTCGAGGACAACGAGACACGTCTGTTCGCTAAGATCATGAGGGCTGACTACGCTTTCCACTCGCCCTTTTGGGATGACATCTCTGAGTCAGGTAAGACAAATACCACCACATCAACAACAACAACAACAACAACAACAAGGGTATTTAAAGTGGAACTGACAGCATTTTAGCAACATTAAATCTTATAAAAATCTGTTCATATACACCCCCAGGAAGAATATGACAACTTTATTTTTTACATTTTCTGACAAGCGAGCACTTACACATGGTCATTTTCATGTTTTCATAAATTCATAGAATGTTTGGGAATGACGTAGAGTAAGGCATTTGTGAACATTCTACAGCAATATAGTGGGAAAGCGTCCGTGCTTTTGGACAATTAATAGACACTGCAGTAAATATAAGTTTCCAGAGTCTACTCAGACCGGATTCTATGCAGACCGGCGCGCCATAGCCAATCAGAGCTACAGTAGGCCTATATTCAAACAAGCCATTTGCCACACGGGCCTGCCATCATTCACTTTGAACTGGACTGTGTGTTTACAGGCAGTAGCAACAGCGCAACTTTAGATCATTAGAACGCATTCGCCAGAAGCCACAAAATACACCTGAATGGATTTCTGCAAATATGTAAATACCACAAGAGTCTTACATTTGGGAACTTCACAATCCTAGTGATCAAACAACCATGAAAAGTTAGGCTATCGCTCCCTCAGTTGCCTATGTACATCAACAACAACAAGATCAACAATTAATGCTAGCTAGGGCGAGATGAGCTAAAATCTAACGAGGGAACATTAGATAAACCCTCTCAAACTTTTTCAGCTAGTTGGCCGTCAAAATTGCACTGATAGATGATGGGGAATAGTAGCCTGCTCATCCTTCTGCAGCTTGCCTGCCAATGCATGCTTGTCCAAACCCACGTTTTGACAACTGAATGAGAACTTGCCTGCCTGCCTTCCCATTTGATCGACGCCAAATACATTTGATTGACAACTAAGAGATATGCTAACTGTGGATAACAGTCGTTCAAGTTCAGCATACTGTAGCTAGCTAGCAAAGTGATTAACATTTCTCGCTAACTAACCAAATCACACCTGCAGCAGCTCTAGCTGTAGCCAAAAAACAACGATATGAGGGGGAAAGTTTCGGTCACTAACCCACTCTTCTAATGACATGATATCCTCCCAGCAGCTAGCTAGCTAGCTAGCAAATGTTAGGCTCTGTGTTTTTAGCTTGATAAATAAATAGCTTGCTACGTAAATAGATACGCTAGCCCAGGGGTGTCAAACTCAATCAGCGCACGGACCATATAAAAAAAACACTACTTCGCAGGCCAGACATAGCCTATTTGTTTTTACCAAAAAACTTGCAACTACAACCCAAACTGGCATTTGTTTTATTAGAAAAAATATGGCCCTTTATAATGTCTACTTATGTACATAGTAGGGCTGTCCCCGACTAAAAAAAATCTTACTCGACCGAAAGTCGTCTGTTCTTTCGACCAATCGATTGTTCGAAATTCTTTCATGTGTATTTTTCCATAAATCCTGTGTGTTTAAAAAAAATCAACTATATGCATTGAGCTTGTCTGATGCTTTAAGCTTACGGTTTGATGCCTCAAGAGGGCGCCAGAGATCTAGATAACCAGAATTTAAAAAACGTAACCTGACCCAACTATTCTCCTCCTGCTGGCTTTGGCAGATTCTGCCATTGCTCTCCTGAAGTTGCCGGTAATAGGCTACACGAGGAGTTGGCAACCTTTCTCATGTGGAATGCCAATTTATCTTACTATTTCTACCGATCTGCGTGCCAGTTATGGTTTTCATATGCACATTTTTGTGAAACAGTTTCATTTAATTTATAATAAGGTCATATCTCAAAATCATGTGGTTAATCAAAATTCTATCCAAATCTAAATGACAATGAAACAAACATAAAAAGTAACTTCTATTGCCATTACCAACTATGTAAAAATAACCTACATAAATCCAACAAATAAAAACATTGCAGCCTACAGGTACAAAATATCCTGATAAAGATAAATATTGTATAAATCATATTAGCTACACATGGCCTGTCTGCAAGGAACTTGAAACATTGTATCAACTATTAACTTGGGTCTGGCCCGAAGCTTGTGCTAGCGAACTTGCAACATTGTATAAAATATTCTGGGCCCTCAGAGTTTCCCTGCCAGTGAGCTTGGGACAGACACAGCTGTAGGCTATTTGTGCAAGGGATAAGAAGCAGTGCTTGACTTCGGCAGAAGCTCAGTCTGAGTACCAGCACCTCAAATGTTCTACTGCTCGAGCTTCTGTTCCTCTTATAGAATATTAGCTCAAAAGTATTGTGGAGCTCCTGCACCTAAATATAAACAGTACCAGCACCCAAAATTAGTACCAGAACCTATTTCAGTCCAAGTCAAGCACTGATAAGAAGCCTATTTTATGACGTTTCCACTGGATCAGAGCATTACATTTTTCCCTTTCATGCTGAGGGGTTATCGAAAGGGAGAGAGCTGGAAAGATTTTAACTATTGTAATTCTCAATGGATGTAAAAACATACTTTGTTTACTTGCTGTTTGAGGTGAAGAAAACATTATTTTGAAAGCTCCACAGGTCATTAGTGGTGGTGCTTTAAGCCAATCAGAAATACTATCAGATTCCAAAATGGGCACATTTACAGTGCATTCGGAAAGTATCAAATGGGCACTACAGTGCATTCGGAAAATATTCAGACCTCTTGACTTTTTCCACATTTTGTTACGTTACATCAATCTACACACAATACCCTATAATGACAAAGCAATTTTAGCAAATGTATTCAAAATAAAAAACGGAAATATCACATTTACATAAGTATTCAGACCCTTTACTCAGTACTTTGTTGAAGCACCTTTGGCAGCGATTACAGCCTCGAGTCTTCTTGGGTATGACGCTACAAGCTTGGCACACCTGTATTTGGGGAGTTTCTCCCATTCTTCTCTGCAGATCCTCTCAAGCTCTGTCAGGTTGGATGGGGGAGCGTCTCTGCACAGCTATTTTCAGGTCTCTCCAGAGATGTTCGATCGGGTTCAAGTCCGGGCTCTGGCTGGGCCACTCAAGGACATTCAGAGACTTGTCCCGAAGCCCCTCCTGTGTTGTCTTGGCTGTGTGCTTAGGGTCGTTGTCCTGTTGGAATGTGAACCTTCTCCCCAGTCTAAGGTCCTGAGCGCTCTGGAGAAGGTTTTCATCAAGGATATCTCTGTACTTTGCTCCGTTCATCTTTCCCTCGATCCTGACTGGTCTCCCAGTCCCTGCCACTGAGAAATGTCCCCACAGCATGATGCTGCCACCACCATGCTTCACTGTAGGGATGGTGCCAGGTTTCCTCCAGACATGACGCTTGGCATTCAGGCCAAAGAGTTCAATCTTGGTTTCATCAGACCAGAGAATCTTGTTTCTCATGGTCTGAGAGTCTTTAGGTGCCTTTTGGCAAACTCAAAGCGGGCTGTCATGTGCCTTTTACTGAGGAGTGGCTTCCGTCTGGCCACTCTACCATAAAGCCCTGATTGGTGGAGTGCTGCAGAGATGGATGTCCTTCTGGAAGGTTCTCCCATTTCCACAGAGGAACTCTGGAGCCTCCCTGACCAAGGCCCTTCTCCCCCGATTGCTCAGTTTGGCCGAGCGGCCAGCTCTACGAGTCTTGGTGGGTCCAAACTTCTTCCATTCAAGAATGATGGAGGCCACTGTGTGCTTGGGGACCTTCAATGCTGCAGAAATGTTTTGGTACCCTTCCCCAGATCTGTGCCTCGACCCAATCCTGGCTCTACGGACTATTCCTTCTACCTCGTGGCTTGGTTTTTGCTCTGACATGCACTGTCAACTGTAGGACATTATATACACAGGTGTGTGCCTTTCCAAATCATGTCCAATCAATAGAATTTACCAATGAAGTTGTAGAAACATCTCAAGGATGACCAATGGAAATAGGATGCACCTGAGCTCAATTTCGGGCTCAAAGGGTCTGAATACTTTTATTTAATTAATTTTTTTATAAATTTGCAACAATTTCTAAAAACCTGTTTTCGCTTTGTCATTATGGGGTATTGTGTGTAGATTGATGAGGGAAAAAAGTAATTTAATCAATTTTAGAATAAGGCTTTAACGTAACAACATGTGGAAAAAGTCAAGGAGTGTGAATACTTTCCGAATGCACTGTATATGCCTACATTTGCACGCAGGCCAGGTAGCCTATAGGTCTACTTCTGTGCGTGCGTGTCCTTACTCAACATTGACAGGAGCGCTCCAAACAAAAGACGATGACTAAATTGACAAAACTCATAAATGGAATTAAATAAACCAAAACTTGTTTCTCACAAGTGTAGCATAGGTTGTGCACTCTGCAAACAATGTGTCCACTCCGCCAATGAGAACAGGAAGACTGGAATAATAATGTTGAATACATTAAAATAAATTACCATAACCAAAGTAACAAACATTGTAGATTTGAAAGTATAGGAATTAACGGTAAATGTACTACTGGTGATATATGTAATGGGGAATAGATATACACTAACAATCAAACACAAACAATTCACACAATTAAGTTATGAAACAATGAATGTACACAAATTGGCGGGAGAGAGCACATTCTGAAGAGAGAATTGCATTGTGCATCTGACGCATGGTCAATCAGACGTCTGCAATGGCCATGCAGCATTTATGGTGATATGGCCTCAGCAGAAGTCAGGGCAAGAATGGCTTCAGCAGAAGTCAGGGCATTCTTGCACTTCACAGAGCAGTGCAGAGCTGTTGTCAAGGAAGTGAGTTTGTGTTTATACAGGATGTACCGCCCCCACCTACCGTCAACCAATCATGTCAATGCGGAGCTATACAGAGCCCTCCACATTGTTACAACATTTTGGAGGTGCATGGCGATGCGGTACAGAGCTCAATTTGGCCTTTAACACATTTTCGAATTAAGCATAAATTGGCTTTTAGTCTAGGCCTCCGCAATGGATTAGTTCACTGAAATGGGCGCAAATATATAAATATATACAGTACCAGTCAAAAGTTTGGACACAGCTACTCATTCCAGGGTTTTTCTTTATTTTTACTATTTTCTACATTGTAGATTAATAGCGAAGACATCAAAACTATGAAATAACACATATGGAATCATGTAGTAACCAAAAAAGTGTTAAACAAATCAAAATATATTTTATATTTAAGATTCTTTAAAGTAGCCACCCTTTGCCTTGATGACAGCTTTGCACACTCTTGGCATTCTCGCAACCAGCTTCATGAGGTAGTCACCTGGAATGCATTTCAATTAACAGGTGTGCCTTGTTAAAAGTTAATTTGTGGAATTTCTTTCCTTCTTAATGCGTTTGAGCCAATCAGTTGTGTTGTGACAAGGTATGGGTGGTATACAGAAGATAGCCATATTTGGTAAAAGACCAAGTCCATATTATGGCAAGAACAGCTCAAATAAGCAAAGAGAAATGACAGTCCATCATTACTTTAAGACATGAAGGTCAGTCAATAACTTTGAAAGTTTCTTCAAGTGCAGTCGCAAAAACCATCAAGCGCTATGATGAAACTGGCTCTCATGAGGACTGCCACAGGAATGGAAGACCCAGAGTTACCTCTGCTGCAGAGGATAAATTCATTAGATTAACGGCACCTCAGATTGCAGCCCAAATAAATGCTTCACAGAGTTCAAGTAACATCTCAACATCAACTGTTCAATGGTCGAATTGCTGCAAAGAAACCACTACTAAAGGACACCAATAAGAAGAAGAGATTTACTTTGGCCAAGAAACATGAGCAATGGACATTAGTCCGGTGGAAATCTGTCCTTTGGTCCAAATTTGAGATTTTTGGTTCCAACCGCCGTGTCTTTGTGAGACGCAGAGTAGGTGAATGGATGATCTCCGCATGTGTGGTTTCCATTGTGAAGCATGGAGGAGGAGGTGTGATGGTGTAGGAGTGCTTTGCTGGTGACACTGTTTGTGATTTATTTAAAATTCAAGGCACACTTAACCAGCATGGCTACGACAGCATTCTGCAGCGATACGCCATCCCATCTGGTTTGTGCTTAGTGGGACTATCATTTGTTTTTCAACAGGACAATGACCCAACACATCTCCAGGCTGTGTAAGGGCTATTTGACCTTAAAGACTGTTGGAAAAGCATTCCAGGTGTAGTCCCGTGTAGCTCAGTTGGTAGAGCATGGCGTTTGCAACGCCAGGGTTGTGGGTTCGTTTCCCACGGGGAGCCAGTATGAAAATGTAAGCACTCACACTCAAATCAACGTATATTTGAGATTCTTCAAAGTAGCCACCCTTTGCCTTGATGACAGCTTTAGAAGTCGCTCTGGATAAGAGCGTCTGCTAAATGACTAAAATGTAAATGTAAGCTGGTTGAGAGAATGCCAAGAGTGTGCAAAGCTGTCATCAAGGCAAAGGGTGGCTACTTTGAAGAATCTCAAATATAAAATATACGTTGATTTGTTTAACACTTTTTTCGTTACTACATGATTCCATATGTGTTATTTTATAGTTTTGATGTCTTCACTATTATTCTACAATGTAGAAAATAGTAAAAATAAAGAAAAATCCTGGAATGAGTAGGTGTGCCCAAACTTTTGACTGGTAATATATATATATATAGATATATATATATATATATATATATATATATATTTTTTAGTTGTTACTGCTCGACTAAAACAATCTCGGTCAACCAACAGCCTAACAACCAAACAATCAACCAGTCGACTAATTGGGGTTAGCCCTAGTACATAGGATGCTGTATATAGCATTTTTACATATTAAAACAAAATACATAAATAATATTTGGCCAACCTTTGCTGCTATGCTTGCAGATGTGCATAATATGCTGTGACCCTAATCAAAAAGTATTTAATAACTTCAAATAACAAAAACGTAGCTATAGGTTGTTGTAACATTTAAACTTAAAACATGTTTTTCACTTTTCTGCACTGCGTGGATCACCGGTGCGGTTAAATGCAATATTGCTGTATCAGTAGTGTTAAGTTGCATCAATTCAAATCTGGTATAGGAACAAAAAGAGGTCAATACACGTCTTCTAAAATAGACTAGTATTTTAATTAATGCAAAACACTTCAATGGTAAATATGATGTTCGTATATACGGGTCCACTGAAAAACCACGCAGGGTAGTCAGAGAACTGAGCCATTGTCATAAGTTCTTCTTTAAATACTCTGACAGAGATAGTTCCCGCTCCCTGCTGGCCTATCAGAGTAGAGACTGAGCGTGGTTTAGACTTACCCAGCCTATCGTTGGCGCACAGGCTGGTCCCAGTCCCTTGGCGCTTCACTGTTGCCAGGTGTTAGTTGTTTTGCAACTTGTCCAGAGAGTCAGCACTTTTGCAGTACACATGTCCTTGAGCGGTTTAACAAAGAGGCAGTGTGTGTGTATGTGAGACACAAGTCTTATCTCATCCTACCCCCTAATGGTTCCTCACATTAATCACAGCTTGTTATGTTGACCAATCTATATCAGTACAGTACAAACCTATTATGTTTAATCATTAATGCTTTCCTATTAAGCTAACAGCACATCTAAAATATAAGAGAATAATTTCCCACAATCCCCCTTTTCACACCCACTGGGGTGTCACTCATTAAAATACAATACAAACAAAAATAATCACACTTTTATTAATAGGCAATAATGATAATAAAAAAAGGCCTTCAGTCCTTCCATCTACACCCAACTTGTACTAGGTTGGCTACCAGCCACCCAGGAACTTTAAACCTTCACATAAGAAAAGACAAACATTCACAATGGTTAATTTGATTAATAAAGCATAAAACATAAACAGGGAAGTAAACTTTGGCCCCCTTTAGACACCCTCTAGGGTGTCACTCCACCACCTCACCAATAGCAAACCAAGGGTCATCCTTTGTCAACCCCAGTTTCCTCCGAAAGCTAGACTCAGTGTCTGCATCTCCTTCTTGAGCCCCTAGGAGGGGCATCATACCAGCCGCATGCACGACATCTGTAACAGACTTTCTCAAACAAGGAATTACACAGGCAGCACATTAATATTAGAAACACAACTACTAGGGTCAGAAATCCAGTAACCACCAATGATGCGATCTTACCAAACCACTCCCCCAACCAGGAGAACAGTCCGTTTCCCTCCATTCCAGCCATGCTCTTCATTTCAGCTGATAGTTTATCTAAACCAACCAGGGCTTTAGAGATACTCCCGTCAGGACTGGTATTGTTAGGGATAAACGTACAACAATGGCTTACCATTCTATAGACACCACCCCTTTCTGCCTGATCTAGAGCCAACCTCTTTTTACTAAGTCTTAAGAGTGAGATGGCGGATAATTGTTCAAAAGATCCCTTCTGTTGCATCCCTAGTCTAGCCAATAAATCGTTGTTGGTCGTAATAGATATAATTAATCAAATTCACAATTTTGTTTATTGTCACCCACCAAAAGAACGTGGTAGTAAACCCTTCCCCTAATTGTTTCATAGCTCGGTATCCATCCGATACCCCCCTTGGTATCCCAATCGCATCCATCTAAATAGGGCTATTCTCCTTCTTGTTAAAACTTGTTAAGACTAATTCTAACTAGCTGAATCAGTAGAACCAGGGCGCATGTATCTAGCCACCCCTTTGGAATTGTCTGCCTTACACTGCCCTTACTGGCACACGCCCACCACACATCGGTTACAGGGGCTGTAAGGTTCAAAATTCTCTCCTGTGCTTCCGAACTTAAATCTGTCACATTACTACTATCTCCAATTGATAATTGGTGATGTCTTTATTTCTCTTTACCCCCCATCTGGATGTTCAGTCCCCCTCGGTCTCATATCCCCATCCCCAAGTGTATTTAAACACTTGAGTCTAGGAACAATCCGTCGTGAGGGCCGAACACAAATATAATAGGATTTTATAATCCCAAGATGCTTATTGACATGTACCCCACCCGTTGGCTACGTCCCCAACCCTTATTTTGAATCTGACAGTCTGCCCTTCTCTGACTCCCATTTTGTAGGCCACTCGTCCTTGACGGTCAGTATGTCGGGTCGCTTCTCTTCTCTTTTACTTCTTAACAATGGTAAGGGCATAGCGTAATTGGTGGTGGATCTTGACATATCAAGACCATTACCGAGACTATGATGCAACTCAAGTTATCCATATATATATATATATATCCAACATATTTTTTTTAAAAGTATTTTGTCCTCTCCTTCGTATATATTTATTATTTAATCCTACCATCCCCCTTTTGACACATGTTTTGCTCATGTGTCAATATTACCACCTACCTAAACAATCACTTAGGTAATATTGGAAATGTATCATCCAATTGTCATCCCTTATTTTTAAATACTGCCTAATTTTAACATAACAACCCTTTATAACCATCATACTAGGTGTGTTGTTTTTAATTTGATAAACCCAATTTGAAAAACAACAACCACTTGATTTGGTAGCTCACTGCCCAACTTCACTACTGCTCCCCCTCGCCCTGGGCAACATTCCAATGAGATAAGCTAATCTCTTTCTCCTGGTTATACATTTTGTTAACCTTCAATTACCATCAGTAATCTAAAGATGGTAGTACACACAAAACATGATACAGATATCCCCAGTCCTAACCCATCAATAATTGTTTGTATCAATCTAATTCCTCATAACTAATCCATAAAACCACTCAAAATTCCTCGAGTATACAATGATTATTTAATTTATTACCCTAAATCTGCTACATGTGATCTCATCTCAAATGATCCATTATCAATTATTTGATCAACTCCCTAGGAAAATCTGTCTCCCCTTCTATTGTTCCTGTCCCCTCTGTAAATGTCATATTACATTTTTTAGCCAATACAATCACGGTTACATCAAAGGTTCCCTCATTTGGCCATTTAGTTACTATCTTTCTGGTCCTTTTTCTCATTTGTTAGAGATATTACCAATATCTTCACTATTTTCTGGGAACCTTCTCTTCATGATTGCTACTGGTGATCCTGCCATCTCTACTTCTGGTGTGGTCTAATGTCTATATTAGGGTGTAAGGTAAATTAGTCCTGTTGTCTTTTTCAGCTAAACGTTTTATATCCCTCAGTTAATGGTATTTTCTCCCTAATATATCTTCATACTCCTTCTTTCCCTAAATGAGATTTTATCCCTTGCCTTTCCTCTACTATCCTTCTATCATTACTGGATCAATGATAATAACTGTAATAACTATTAATAATAATTGTAATAACTATTTCACATTAAATTGTGCCTTTTTCTGATAATGTTATAATTGTAGCCTATTGCATTACTTTAGTTTAAAATACCCACTATAGGTTGGTGCTATTCCCTCAGCATAATAGCTAAAGCTCCTTGCATCCCCTGGTCCCCGTAACGAAAATAAATGATCGTTCTATAATTCACCAACTATTTGCATACACCACTGGTGTTAAGCAACCTATCGAATAAAGTAATAACAATTAGAATTCATCAAAGCACTGCCTTTCAGTCAAGTATTTAGACCTCTACTTGAAATCTTACAGCTCAATCTAACTCGCTTGACTGTCTCTATTTTTTTTCCGCTAACCAGAGCCACAACTCAATTTTCACAGCTCTATCGCCATTTCAGTTCGCTATTCAATTTCTTTAACTGTTCTCTCTGATTAGGCCCTAATTAATAAAACAAATATTTGCTATCGTTGATAAGCATACATTTAATGATATTCCTATCATTTGAACTATCTCTCACCCCTCCCCTTGCTCCTTCCTACACAACGGGGGAGGCGCGGGGACCCTGTAACATGTTTTCATAGACCTTTCTAGAATACTTCTACTTAAGCTATCTAATTCAACCTTTCACATTTCTCAATCCACGTAGTAATCTAGGTCTATAGCCCCAATGCGAACGTTTTACCCACTGTCCCTACCTGGGTTCGAACCAGGGACCCTCTACATACATTGCCAGTCACCCCACACATTCCGCGATGCTTTCAAAGTAAATACTTCCAGTTCATAGAGCAAGTGACGTCAACAAATGAAAACCGCACTAGCTCTCACCTCATTCAGCAACACAAAAACTCTCTCTCCCTTCACCCATTCCCTATTGAATAAGTGAGTCTTTCTATTTAACCCCAACCACGCTACAAATCTTCCATTCAACATCACCAAACCAAACACTCAGTAGTATCCGGTTACCACCCATACCAGCCGCCGAATTCACTCATACACACAGACCCCACCCCATGCCACCGAAATGCCCAACAAAACATAATAGTTCAATGGAGCCCCCTATTGGCTCTCCACTATTTATACATTACTTCCATAACCACACCAGTCATGGTCCGATCACCCATCAAACCCCATCACATGATCAAACAACGGCACAACCTTAAACTCATATGGGGCGGCAGGTAGCCCAGTAACCAAGAGCACCGTGCCAGCAACCGAGAGGTCGCTGGTTCCAATCCCCGAGCCGACCAGGCCAAAAATCTGCCGATGTGCCCTCGAGCAAGGCACCCAACCCCAATTGCTCCTGCAAGTCGCTCTGGACAAGAGTGTCTGCTAAATGACCAAAAATGCAAATGTAAATATTCTCTACTTTAAATTTCAACGATAAAACATATTATTTCAGTCTAATTATTTAACCAGTATTATGCTATGTCAAACATCAACGTTACAGTTTAATTATATCAGTTCAATACATTTCAATTTAGTTATATTGACTATTCATTATCTTTACCTTTACATTGTCAAATTCAACCTCGCCTACTATCCTCCTCCCTATCTAAAAAATACTCAGCTGAACCTAGCCGTACCCTCTTAGTTACGGACCTTGCCAGTCGCTAGTATTATCTCAAATTTCCCGAACCTAGCCGTACCCTCGAAGTTACGGACCTTGCCGGTGTAATTCTTTAAACCTAGCCGTACCCTCGTAGTTACGAACCTTGCCGATAGCAATTACTAAGTCAATTATTCCCTGTATCTTCGAACCTAGCCGTACCCTCATAGTTACGGACCTTGCCGATAGATTTCAGTATTTTCCCCGAACCTAGCCGTACCCCCGTAGTTACGGACCTTGCCGATGGAACAATACTCTATGGTACCATGGTTTAACATCACATTCACCACAGGTTTGCATGTCACAATATGGTGCTTATCTACTCATAATAGTTTCATAATTTAGTTCACTTACATCAAACAGGTGTTTCACAAAATTAATTTGGATAAAGCCAATGTGCAGAACTTTAGTTATATAACAATAGGTGTCTGCTTACCTGTTTATAGTAGTCCGGACTCTTTGTGAAACACACCGTCCAATGACAGAGATGTAAAATGTAAATGTCCAATGGGCCGGACAATACCCAGCGAAGTCCCTCTACCAGATCACGTCGGTGGTCACCAATTGTTAAGTTGCGTCAATTCAAATCTGGTATAGGAACAAAAAGAGGTCAATACACGTCTTCTAAAATAGACTAGTATTTTTATTAATGCAAAACACTTCAATGGTAAATATGATGTTCGTATATACGGGTCCACTGAAAAACCACGCAGGGTAGTCAGAGAACTGAGCCATTGTCATAAGTTCTTCTTTAAATACTCTGACAGAGATAGTTCCCGCTCCCTGCTGGCCTATCAGAGTAGAGACTGAGCGTGGTTTAGACTTACCCAGCCTATCGTTGGCGCACAGGCTGGTCCCAGACCCTTGGCGCTTCACTGTTGCCAGGTGTTAGTTGTTTTGCAACTTGTCCAGAGAGTCAGCACTTTTGCAGTACACATGTCCTTGAGCGGTTTAACAAAGAGGCAGTGTGTGTGTATGTGAGACACAAGTCTTATCTCATCCTACCCCCTAATGGTTCCTCACATTAATCACAGCTTGTTATGTTGACCAATCTATATCAGTACAGTACAAACCTATTATGTTTAATCATTAATGCTTTCTTATTAAGCTAACAGCACATCTAAAATATAAGTGAATAATTTCCCACAGTAGCCAACCTTGGCTAATGCTCAAATGTTGCTGTAATAGGCCTACATGTTTCTCTTATGCATGGTTTTGTTGCAGGTTTAGTTTTTTGGTTATTAATTGTCAAGCTTTGAAAACCGAAGCTAGACTTCACCATTTTAGTAGCCTAGCTAGGACTGTGGCATGTGTCTGTACACTTTCCCTTCGCTGCGCTCTGTAACAGGACACACGACAGCATCGCAAATTAAGTTTAATTCACCGATGCGAGCACAATCAGGCTGTAATTTCTTAAAGTAGATGATTCAAGTGTTGACTCATTTATACTCGCTTGTGTGTCCTATTCGGCCTGCGGGCCTTGTGTCTGACACGTGTGCACTAGCCTATTAGCCACGTTATGACTGGCTTGTGATCATTACCCTTGCTAGTTTGATTGTATTGACATTCCCAGCCTTAGTTACAGTCGACTATTTTTGTTCAAAATAATGAGTCATTGAAACTGAAACGGTGCATCCTGAATGGGTTGTGGCATCAAACAATGTACCCGGCCAGCTGTGATTTACAACCTGATAGCAATATTTTTTTAGACTACCAAGAAATGTATTGGTGAATTATATTAATCATGCATTGAACTGCATCGATCTATTCTGCCAACAATGCCTTACTGTAGTCATGGAATTGTGAGTCAAATATAACCTATTTTTAAAACCTCTTATGAAGTTGGTTTGAAGCATAAACTGGGAATGTAAGATTTTTGACTGATATTATGATTGTTTCATATCTGCAGTAGTTAAAATGCTGTCCGTTCCACAGAAAGAGGATCACAACCATAGAAATCCTATTCAGTTACTAGTGGGGACTATTTCATAAACCCTCAAAGTTCCAGAATGGAGTGAAAATGGCAGCCATATTGGTAAGGGAGAAATCCAAACCAGTCTCATTGGAATGAATGGCAGTAAAGGGATAGGTGATGCATTTCATACTTCTACTTATGCAGGAAAATAAAAGTAAGGCATGTGATATCAGAAATGGTGTAATAGAATTATTGTCAACCTAACTTTTTGTAATATAATTATAAATACAGTTTATACTGGTTTTATACCACTTTTCTGTATAAATAGCCTATCAAATAGATGTAAAGAGACCATAAATGTCTCCGTTTTTGTTTTCTTGGAAAGCTGTGAGTGCTATTATATGATGCAATATCAGTACCTGTTGCATTTACAACTTGTCTAAGTCCTATCATCAACTGATTTCATGTTGACATATTGGCAGTTAATTTTTTTAAATTATGGAGTCATTCCTCTAAAACTGGCTGGCTAACTAGCTAACAAACATACAGTGCAGATTAATTATTTAAATTAATAATTTTACAGAATATAAATAGTAAAGATATTAATCATTTTTAAAAGGCTGAAAGTTCCATGTCAGTTGTTGATGTTTCTGTCTGTCTCTGTTTCCATAGCGAAAGACTTCATCCGGAACATGATGCAGAAGCACCCTAACAAACGGTTCACCACAGAACAGGCCCTCAGACACCCCTGGTGAGTCACACACACAGATCCAGGATCAGCCTATCCTCTGCACATCTTAACTATAACCATTAGAGGAGGAAAACAGAAAACTGACCTCGGATCAGTGTCTAGGAAGCCCATTATTTCCTGTTTATTACTTGTTCCTGGTGATCCTATCAATGTCATTTCCTGTTGCAGGATCATTGGAAAGACAGCGAGGGATCAGGACATCTATGAATCAGTCAGCATGCAGATCCAGAGGAACTTTGCCAAGTCCAAATGGAGGGTGAGCAACATATGAGGCGACATACAGTATGCTAGCATACATACATTTATTATATTATTATTATTATTATTATGATCAAAACATGATTATTTATACAAACATATTAATGCTAATATTCCTGTGTATTTGTGTGTGTTACAGCAAGCCTTCAACGCCACAGCAGCCATCAAACATATGAAGAAGCTGCAGTTGGCCCACGCCGACCCCGACGCCCCTCTCCCTGCCATCCCCGCCATCGCCATCAACCCCTGCAACTCCCAGAATCCTCTGCGGGGTGTCAGCAACATCACCACAGAAGACGTCGACACCAACGGCAACCTCTCGACCCCAGTGTGTCACATGACCCCTCCAGAGGCACAGTACCGGTGCCTGAGAGCCAGTCACAGCGAACCCATGCACGCGCCGGTCGTCATGGAGACGTATAACGCAGAGAATTGCTCCTCATTCACGGCAGCTAAGAGGTGAGTCCAAGTGGACTGAGGGGAATGTATCTGTCGGGGGAGGTGGTTTGAGATATGTCCACAAAGTGTAGAATCTGTGGTTCTGAAGGCTCTGCTTTTTCATGTCTTGTTTCAGCTGTGACGCCATGGACAGGGCGACCAATAGGAATGGTCAGACCATGCAGACTGGGGTGTGTTCTGTCATGTGATTGTTTGATTGACCTGAGGCTCAATTCAACTGCTTCAAGGTAAATTGGTCTCATATACACAACAATGCACGTTCTCTTGCATACACTCATGCACACAATAAGCAAAAATACAGAGAGATAAGTTGATAGGAAAACACCCAACTTTCTCACATACAGTGGGGGAAAAAAGTATTTAGTCAGCCACCAATTGTGCAAGTTCTCCCACTTAAAAAGATGAGAGAGGCCTGTAATTTTCATCATAGGTACACGTCAACTATGACAGACAAAATGAGGGAAAAAAAATCCAGAAAATCACATTGTAGGATTTTTAATGAATTGATTTGCAAATTATGGTGGAAAATAAGTATTTGGTCAATAACAAAAGTTTCTCAATACTTTGTTATATACCCTTTGTTGGCAATGACACAGGTCAAACGTTTTCTGTAAGTCTTCACAAGGTTTTCACACACTGTTGCTGGTATTTTGGCCCATTGCTCCATGCAGATCTCCTCTAGAGCAGTGATGTTTTGGGGCTGTCGCTGGGCAACACGGACTTTCAACTCCCTCCAAAGATTTTCTATGGGGTTGAGATCTGGAGACTGGCTAGGCCACTCCAGGACCTTGAAGTGCTTCTTACGAAGCCACTCCTTCGTTGTGTTTGGGATCATTGTCATGCTGAAAGACCCAGCCACGTTTCATCTTCAATGCCCTTGCTGATGGAAGGAGGTTTTCACTCAAAATCTCACGATACATGGCCCCATTCATTCTTTCCTTTACACGGATCAGTCGTCCTGGTCCCTTTGCAGAAAAACAGCCCCAAAGCATGATGTTTCCACCCCCATGCTTCACAGTAGGTATGGTGTTCTTTGGATGCAACTCAGCATTCTTTGTCCTCCAAACACGACGAGTTGAGTTTTTACCAAAAAGTTCTATTTTGGTTTCATCTGACCATATGACATTCTCCCAATCCTCTTCTGGATCATCCAAATGCACTCTAGCAAACTTCAGACGGGCCTGGACATGTACTGGTTTAAGCAGGGGGACACGTCTGGCACTGCAGGATTTGAGTCCCTGGCGGCGTAGTGTGTTACTGATGGTAGGCTTTGTTACTTTGGTCCCAGCTCTCTGCAGGTCATTCACTAGGTCCCCCCGTGTGGTTCTGGGATTTTTGCTCACCGTTCTTGTGATCATTTTGACCCCACGGGGTGAGATCTTGCGTGGAGCCCCAGATCGAGGGAGATTATCAGTGGTCTTGTATGTCTTCCATTTCCTAATAATTGCTCCCACAGTTGATTTCTTCAAACCAAGCTGCTTACCTATTGCAGATTCAGTCTTCCCAGCCTGGTGCAGGTCTACAATTTTGTTTCTGGTGTCCTTTGACAGCTCTTTGGTCTTGGCCATAGTGGAGTTTGGAGTGTGACTGTTTGAGGTTGTGGACAGGTGTCTTTTATACTGATAACAAGTTCAAACAGGTGCCATTAATACAGGTAACGAGTGGAGGACAGAGGAGCCTCTTAAAGAAGAAGTTACAGGTCTGTGAGAGCCAGAAATCTTGCTTGTTTGTAGGTGACCAAATACTTATTTTCCACCATAATTTGCAAATAAATTCATTAAAAATCCTATAATGTGATTTTCTGGATTTTCTTTCCTCAATTTGTCTGTCATAGTTGACGTGTACCTATGATGAAAATTACAGGCCTCTCTCATCTTTTTAAGTGGGAGAACTTGCACAATTGGTGGCTGACTAAATACTTTTTTCCCCCACTGTAAATCATATGAATCTTCATGTGAATCCCCCCCCCCCCCCCTTCTCTTTCTCCAGTGTTTCTGCAGTGTTGCAGTCAAGAAGTTTGTCGCTTCTTGCAGCTCTGCAGGTGTCTATCTGCTGCCTCCTGCTGGTTAATTTCTGTAGTGCTCTTCTGAGATGCCAAGGGGCCCATAGCAAGGACCCAAGGCCCGAACCTTATCCAGAGGAGAACACAGGAAGACCTGGGGTTCATACCCAACTACAATGCAGTACATCTACACTCACACACACACACACACACAACTGTATGCACTCACACACACAAATGAAAACTTTAATTTCTCTGACCCAAGCCATTGTCGATGAAGCTTTAGAAATGTACATTCTGTACGTCTATCTCAACAGAAAATATTTGAAGTATTCAAAAATATATTTGCAATGTATAAGTGTCTATGACTAATGCTTATTGACCTATGGAACACAAATGTGTTTTTTATATACAGTGGGGAAAAAAAGTATTTAGTCGGCCACCAATTGTGCAAGTTCTCCCACTTAAAAAGATGAGAGAGGCCTGTAATTTTCATCATAGGTACACGTCAACAATGACAGACAAATTGAGATTTTTTTTTCCAGAAAATCCCATTGTAGGATTTTTAATGAATTTATTTGCAAATTATGGTGGAAAATAAGTATTTGGTCACCTACAAACAAGCAAGATTTCTGGCTCTCACAGACCTGTAACTTCTTCTTTAAGAGGCTCCTCTGTCCTCCACTCGTTACCTGTATTAATGGCACCTGTTTGAACTTGTTATCAGTATAAAAGACACCTGTCCACAACCTCAAACAGTCACACTCCAAACTCCACAATGGCCAAGACCAAAGAGCTGTCAAAGGACACCAAAAACAAAATTGTAGACCTGCACCAGGCTGGGAAGACTGAATCTGCAATAGGTAAGCAGCTTGGTTTGAAGAAATCAACTGTGGGAGCAATTATTAGGAAATGGAAGACATACAAGACCACTGATAATCTCCCTCGATCTGGGGCTCCACGCAAGATCTCACCCCGTGGGGTCAAAATGATCACAAGAACGGTGAGCAAAAATCCCAGAACCACACGGGGGGGACCTAGTGAATGACCTGCAGAGAGCTGGGACCAAAGTAACAAAGCCTACCATCAGTAACACACTACGCCGCCAGGGACTCAAATCCTGCAGTGCGAGACGTGTCCCCCTGCTTAAGCCAGTACATGTCCAGGCCCGTCTGAAGTGCATTTGGATGATCCAGAAGAGGATTGGGAGAATGTCATACGGTCAGATGAAACCAAAATATAACTTTTTGGTAAAAAACTCAACTCGTCATGTTTGGAGGACAAAGAATGCTGAGTTGCATCCAAAGAACACCATACCTACTGTGAAGCATGGGGTTGGAAACATCATGCTTTGGGGCTGTTTTTCTGCAAAGGGACCAGGACGACTAATCTGTGTAAAGGAAAGAATGAATGGGGCCATGTATCGTGAGATTTTGAGTGAAATCCTCCTTCCATCAGCAAGGGCATTGAAGATGAAACGTGGCTGGGTCTTTCAGCATGACAATGATCCCAAACACACCGCCCGGGCAACGAAGGAGTGGCTTCGTAAGAAGCATTTCAAGGTCCTGGAGTGGCCTAGCCAGTCTCCAGATCTCAACCCCATAGAAAATCTTTGGAGGGAGTTGAAAGTCTGTGTTGCCCAGCGACAGCCCCAAAACATCACTGCTCTAGAGGAGATCTGCATGGAGGAATGGGCCAAAATACCAGCAACAGTGTGTGAAAACCTTATGAAGACTTACAGAAAACGTTTGACCTGTGTCATTGCCAACAAAGGGTATATAACAAAGTATTGAGAAACTTTTGTTATTGACCAAATACTTATTTTCCACCATCATATGCCAATAAATTCATAAAAAATCCTACAATGTGATTTTCTGGATTTTTTTTTCTTATTTTGTTTGTCATAGTTGACGTGTACCTATGATGAAAATTACAGGCCTCTCTCATCTTTATAAGTGGGAGAACTTGCACAATTGGTGGCTGACTAAATACTTTTTTTCCCCACTGTACATACTTTTTTTGCTGATATGATACAGTGAGGGAAAAAAGTATTTGATCCCCTGCTGATTTTGTACGTTTGCCCACTGACAAAGAAATGATCAGTCTATTATTTTAATGGTAGGTTTATTTGAACAGTGAGAGACAGAATAACAACAACAAAATCCAGAAAAACGCATGTCAAAAATGTTATAAATTTATTTGCATTTTAATGAGGGAAATAAGTATTTGACCCCTCTGCAAAATATGACTTTGTACTTGGTGGCAAAACCCTTGTTGGCAATCACAGAGGTCAGACGTTTCTTGTAGTTGGCCACCAGGTTTGCACACATCTCAGGAGGGATTTTGTTCCACTCCTCTTTGCAGATCTTCTCCAAGTCATTAAGGTTTCGAGGCTGACGTTTGGCAACTCGAACATTCAACTCCCTCCACAGATTTTCTATGGGATTAAGGTCTGGAGACTGGCTAGGCCACTCCAGGACCTTAATGTGCTTCTTCTTGAGCCACTCCTTTGTTGCCTTGGCCGTGTGTTTTGGGTCATTGTCATGCTGGAATACCCATCCACAACCCATTTCAATGCCCTGGCTGAGGGAAGGAGGTTCTCACCCAAGATTTGACGGTACATGGCCCCGTCCATCGTCCCTTTGATGCGGTGAAGTTGTCCTGTCCCCTTAGCAGAAAAACACCCCCAAAGCATAATGTTTCCACCTCCATGTTTGACGGTGGGGATGGTGTTCTTGGGGTCATAGGCAGCATTGCTCCTCCTCCAAACACGGCGAGTTGAGTTGATGCCAAAGAGCTCGATTTTGGTCTCATCTGACCACAACACTTTCACCCAGTTCTCCTCTGAATCATTCAGATGTTCATTGGCAAACTTCAGACGGCCCTGTATATGTGCTTTCTTGAGCAGGGGGACCTTGCGGGCGCTGCAGGATTTCAGTCCTTCACGGCGTAGTGTGTTACCAATTGTTTTGTTGGTGACTATGGTCTCAGCTGCCTTGAGATCATTGACAAGATCCTCCCGTGTAGTTCTGGGCTGATTCTTCACCGTTCTCATGATCATTGCAACTCCACGAGGTGAGATCTTGCATGGAGCCCCAGGCCGAGGGAGATTGACAGTTATTTTGTGTTTCTTCCATTTGGGAATAATCGCACCAACTGTTGTCACCTTCTCACCAAGCTGCTTGGCGATGGTCTTGTAGCCCATTCCAGCCTTGTGTAGGTCTACAATCTTGTCCCTGACATCCCTGGAGAGCTCTTTGGTCTTGGCCATGGTGGAGAGTTTGGAATCTGATTGATTGCTTCTGTGGACAGGTGTCTTTTATACAGGTAACAAGCTGAGATTAGGAGCACTCCCTTTAAGAGTGTGCTCCCAATCTCAGCTCGTTACCTGTATAAAAGACACCTGGGAGCCAGAAATCTTTCTGATTGAGAGGGGGTCAAATACTTATTTCCCTCATTAAAATGCAAATCAATTTATAACATTTTTGAAATGCGTTTTTCTGGATTTTTTTGTTGTTATTCTGTCTCTCACTGTTCATATAAACCTACCATTACAATTAAAGACTGATCATTTCTTTGTCAGTGGGCAAACGTACAAAATCAGCAGGGGATCAAATACTTTTTTCCCTCACTGTAGCTGTGACGGCTAGCTTGTAACTCGTTAATTCATTGGCTTTGGCTACTTTATGTGTTCTTGTCTGAACTGAATCAAGCTTCGTTGTTCTTTCACTCACATCTGAAACTAATAATGGGTCTGGAGAAACCAGAGTCCTCCGTCTCTGGAGAAAAATGGATGGATATACATGTAAACCTGGTAAAAGAATGGTTTCATTGAAAAGTTTATGAATACTGTACAACATATCTGTATTCAAGGAGAAGGGTTTCGAGATGTCATTGATCAAGCGTTATGTATTTTTATATTGTGTGAATTCTTTTTTATCTTCTATAATCCTAAATATAAGGCTTTTGACTGTTATGAAGCTTGCCGACAGGTTTGAATGTTATTGACAGGTCTCACTGTTTGAATCCTGACACCCATGTCATAACACACTGACTTTAGGGCAAGAAGGGTTTGGAGGGCTGTCATTTCTCTGTGTAAGAGAAGATGGTTACACTTAACTTAAAGTGGTCCTGTGTAACACTAACACCACTTTACATACAGAGTTAAATTATATGTGCCACTTTTATGCCATAAGCTGCTATAGACTTCCTCTTGTATTGACGATGCCATTGTAACTGTATAACTGGAGATGCTCATATCTTATAACCACAACCACTAACATTGCTTCTTTGTTTGGTTTCTTCATAAAACAAATGTTATAAAGTTCCTCTTCTGTGCTTTGGTGTTCTCTCCTCACACAACCACAGATCCCACCCCTCTCTCCTCGACAGCTATCCGATTGGTGGCAGGTTTAAGAGACGCTCTGTTTGGCCAATCAGGGTGTAGCATAGTAATAAAAACCTGCCACACATTTAGGAAAACTCTCAGACCACTCAACATCAATAATAAAGCTCTTTATTGGGACATTCATTCGACAAAAGTGGAACAAAATAAATATGTAACATCACTTTATCCCAAAGAACATACTATGTGAGCATGACCTCTGCCCTTTGACCTCAGCCCTGGCAGGTGGAGAGGATCGTGACCTTCTGTCTCATGTCAGCCAGGAGGTCCAGCAGTTTGGTTTCCAGTCCGTTCAGCCTCTGGGACGTTAGTAGGACCTCACCCTGTAGACTATGCAGAGAGTCTGCTTTACCTAGACAGAGAGAGAGGGAGAGGAGAGCAGGAGAAGGGACAGAGGGAGATAGGGTAGAGAGGGGAATGTTTGATTCATTGATACTCATCATCACATCATTTCAGATTTCACATCAGCATTCAGTGTCTTTTTCAATGTGCCACAGATGCGCACGTATATTATATATATATATATATATATATATACACTACCAGTCAAAGTTTGGACACACCTACTCATTCAAGGGTTTTTCTTTATTTTTACTATTTTTTACATTGTAGAATAATATTGAAAACATAAAAACTATGAAATAACACATATGTAATCATGTAGTAACCAAAAAAGTGTTAAACAAATCAACGTATATTTTATATTTGAGATTCTTCATATAGCCACCCTTTGCCTTGATGACAGCTTTGCACACTCTTGGCATTCTCTCAGCCAGCTTCATGAGGTAGTCACCTGGAATGCATTTCAATTAACAGGTTTGCCTTCTTAAAAGTTAATTTGTGGAATTTCTTTCCTTCTTAATGCGTTTGAGCCAATCAGTTGTGTTTTGACAAGGTATACAGAAGATAGCCCTATTTTGTAAAATACCAAGTCCATATTATGGCAAGAACAGCTCAAATAAGCAAAGAGAAACGACAGTCCATCATTACTTTAAGACATGAAGGTCAGTCAATCCTGAACATTTCAAGAACTTTGAAAGTTTCTTCAAGTGCAGTCGCAAAAACCATCAAGCGCTATGATGAAACTGGTTCTCATGTGGACCGCCACAGGAATGGAAGACCCAGAGTTACCTCTGCTGCAGAGGATAAGTTCATTAGAGTTACCAGCCTCAGAAATTGCAGCCCAAATAAATGCTTCACAGAGTTCAAGTCACAGACACATCTCAACATCAACTGTTCAGAGGAGACTGCATGAATCAGGCCTTCATGGTTGAATTGCTGCAAAGAAACCAATACTAAAGGACACCAATGAGAAGAAGAGACCTGCTTGGGCCAAGAAACACGAGCAATGGACATTAGACCAGTGGAAATGTGTCCCTTGGTCTGGAGTCCAAATTTGAGATTTTTGGTTCCAACCGCCGTGTCTTTGTGAGACGCGGTGTGGGTGAACGGATGATCTCCGCATGTATAGTTCCCACCGTAAAGCACGGAGGAGGAGGTGTTATGGTGAGGGGGTGCTTTGCTGGTGATACTGTCTGTGATTTATTTAGAATTCAAGGCACACTTAACCAGCATGGCTACCACAGCATTCTGCAGAGATACGCCATCCCATCAACAGGACAATGACCTAACACACCTCCAGGCTGTGTAAGGGCTATTTTACCAAGAAGGAGAGTGATGGAGTGCTGCATCAGATGACCTGGCCTCCACAATCCCCCGACCTCAACCCAATTGAAATGGTTTGGGATGAGTCGGATGGCAGAGTGAAAGAAAAGCAGCCAACAAGTGCTCAGCATATGTGGGAACTCCTTCAAGACTGTTGGAAAAGCATTCCAGGAGAAGCTGGTTGAGAGAATGCCAAGAGTGTGCAAAGCTGTCATCAAGGCAAAGGGTAGCTATTTGAAGAATCTCAAATATAAAATATATTTGGATTTGTTTAACACTTTTTTGGTTACTACATGATTCCATATGTGTTATTTCATAGTGTTGATGTCTTCACTATTATTCTACAATGTAGAAAATAGTAAAAATAAAGAAAAACCCTTGAATGAGTAGGTGTGTCCAAACTTTTGACTGGTACTGTATGTTTATATGTATGTTGGCAGATGTGCGTGTCTCCTCGCTATTCCCCATCCGTACCTGCTAGTGCCTTTATCATGTCTCCAGTGTCCTGGGCCAGAGAACCAGCCTCCTCCTGCAGCTTCTGGAGACGCTCCCCTGCTCTCCCTGTCCCATCGCCACGCCCACTGGACCTCTCTGCAGCACGCAGCTTCTCCAGCTGCTTCTCCAGGGATGCCAGCTCCTACAAACACATAGGCAAAGAGACAGGCCATGAGTTGAGCACACACTTACATACAGAGACGGACATACACGAGCAAACACACATACACACATACACACACACAAACTACTCTCACCTTGGCCGCAGCGTCTGCCTCCCTCTTAGCTTTATCAGCGTCTTCTGTTGCATTCTGGGCCAGCATATCTCCAGAGCGCACCAGAGCCCAGAGCCCCTCCAGCTGAGGCTTCATCCCCTCAGCCAGGGCAGACACCTCCCCTAGAGCCTTCACCGCTGGAGACAACTGGGCCTTGGTCTGGAGGGAGTCGAAATAGGGATGTTATTGGGGGGATGGAGAGAGGAGGATGGAGAGAGGAGGGATCAAACTGAGAGGAATAATACAGTAAGAAGCTGTGAGGGATATGGAAAATGGAAGCAATTGAATCAATATAGGTGTCAGACTAGTTTGGAAGCGTAATTGTATTTATTTGAGTACATTAGCTCAATGGACCTATGGATCTCCCTCTCTCACCTGTGTGAGGTTGCTGCTGATGTCATCAACTATGTCCAGGCTGTCCTGCACTTTGTCCTCCAGGCCAGAGAGGGAGCCCTCCACGGTGGTGAAGCCCTCCAACAGCCCATCAACATCAGCCTTCACACCCAGCGCAGCATCCCTGTCACACAGCACACAACAACGTTATAGCAATGTTACAGCAACCTTACTACAACATTCACAGCAGTCACAACAATGTTAAAGTGACCTCAGAAACCACACATAATTGGCATCAATGTTATTCATTACAACAACATTTTTACATTTAAAAAAAAAAAAAGTCATTTAGCAGACGCTCTTATCCAGAGCGACTTACAGTTAGTGAATACTTATTCTATTATTTTATACTGGCCCCCCATGGGAATCGAACCCACAACCCTGGCGTTGCAAACGCCATGCTCTATCAACTGAGCTACATCCCTGCCGGCCATTCCCTCCCCTACCCTGGACGACGCTGGGCCAATTGTGCGCCGCCCATGAGTGTCCCGGTCGCGGCCGGCTGCGACAGAGCCTGGATTCGAACCAGGATCTCTAGTGGCACAGTTAGCACTAGTCATACTTTACTAGTCATACTTTACTTAAATGCATAGCCGCGGAAGATGTTTGGGGGTGCTGCTTTTTTTTTTACCGCGCTACAGATGGCTATATCGGTCCGCTAATACAGGACTAGTAAAAGCCCAGTGCACAAGTTTGTGTGTATGTATTGATATGTAGGCTACGTGTGCCTTTTTTAAATTGATGTAGCTCTGTCCTTGAGCTGTTCTTGTCTATTAATGTTCTGTATTATGTAATGTTTCATGTTTTGTGTGAACCCCAGGAAGAGTAGCTGCTGCTTTCGCAACAGCTAATGGGGATCCTAATAAAATACCAAATACCACAATTTTTTGCAGCACCCTCAGCACCCATACTTCCTGTGGCTAAGCATAAATGTCTACAATACATAAACCTGTCTTAAGACTGACAAAAGGTGTTATACCTGGCGTCCTGGGCCTCCTGTAGCAGGCGTCGGGCGGTGTCGAGCTGTGGTCCAGCCTGGTCCAGGACTGCAGTGCTGTCTGGGAGTCCTGCCGCCAGGTCTCTGATCTCCTTGAGCTTCCTCTTCAGAGTAGCCAGACTGACAGGCAGCTTGGCGTTCAGGATCCACTCACTCACCGTACTGATGAGTGTCAGGTCTGATGACGGGTCTGGAGAGAGGGAGGGAGGGAGGGAGGATATAGAGGGGAAGATGGAGGAGAGAGAATGGAAGATAGGTGGGGGAGAGGGAGGAAGAGAGGAGGGGAATGTCATTGAACTACACACTCCCAAAAATTCTATACTACTACTTGAATACTTTTATTAAGAGTAAAAAAGTAAGTGGTTATTGAAGGTACTGGAACATAACTGTCAATGTCTCACCTGACAGGAAGTCCTTCAGCTCTTTAACAAAGTCTCTTGTCTCCTGCAGATCTGCATCCAGGTCATCCCTGGCCTGCCTCATCTGATTGGCCAGATCGTCCGTGGACTGTCTGACCTGATTGGCTGTGTCCTGTGTTTCCTGGATCTGTGAATTGAATGGAGAAAGGAACAAAGCATTGAACGCCACATGACGAAACTAACCACTTAAATAACTAGTCATCTCCTTCATGTAAGTATTAAAACACAGCAATAAACGGTTAGAAACATACAGTAAACAAACAAAGTGTTAGCTCCTACCCGTGCAGCGGCCTGTGTGATCTTCCCATTGAGCTGCTTCAGTCTGTCTTTCACCTCCTCAGCATCACTCACAGCCCGGGTCCCCAGAGGCAGAGCCCCGACGCAACGCTCCCCACGGCCACAGGGTGGCGCCCCCTCCGCAGGGCACAGCTCACCATCACACTGAGCAGGGGTACAGGGGGCAAAGCGCACGCTTCCACACACCTGAGAGACAGGGAATACAAATACACATTCATGTTAAGGTGGAGGTAGGGTTAGGGCTCGGGTTAGGGCTAGGGTTAGGGTTAGGGTTAGGGCTAGGGTTAAGGGCTAGGGTTACCTGCTTGGCAGTGGGTGTGAGGTCAGGTTTGGTGTTCAGCTGCTGGTTGAGTTTCTCCAGGTCTATGGTGTTGGCTGGTTGGACCTGGTTCTGGAGGTCAAGGGCGTCTTCTCTGACCGCTGTTGACCGCTCTACAGTCTTCCCACTAGCATCAACATTCTTGGCCGAGTCAGTTGACTCGTCATAGGCATTCTTTATGGAAGAGAAGGCCCCTGAGAGAGAACCAACCAAGACAAACAGGTGTGATAGCAGCCATAAGTTAGCTCAAACCAAAACAGACTGGCATCAAGGCTTTGGTTCTGATTTTGATTGTGGATTCTAAATTCCACACTCTAAATTCTGAACCTTGTTTTTGCTACTCGACACACAGATGGTGCTCCTAGCTCTGTTGTGTCTCTCTCACCTGCATAGTTGGGGTTGACAGAGTTCCTGAGAGCATCTCTCTTGGTGTTGTACACCAGACCCAGGCCGTCCAGTAGAGCCTGGAGTTCGTCCAGCTGTGAGCCAAGCTCAGGGGCTCGGCCTTGGGGTGACAGATCTCCATCCACCTGATCCAACTGGTCCCTGGAGGATTACATTGGAGATGAGAGACAGTGAGCTGGGTAATAAAGGACTGTAGCCTACAGGAATAGAGGTGTTTAAATGTATACACTGAAACTATGTAATTTTGAAAGCAAAGTTTCGCAGTTTATGGAATCTGATGCCCACTTCTATTTAGACATTCTAAGTTTGCCGGGACATATGAACATCCCCCACCTTAGCCTGCGGAGCTGAGAGAGGGCGTCATTGACTTGTCTGGCAGAGGGAGGTGGCATTGGGAGAGAGTCTCGTATCTGGGTGAGAGTGGCCTCCAGGGTTCTGATGCGGGGACCCAGACCGGTAGGCAACGAGCCCCCAGGAAGAGAGGGAATCCTGGAGAAGAGTCTCTCCAGGCCCAGGGTAAGGTTCTGGATGTTCATGTCCAGAGAGAAAAAGCAGGAGGGGCAGACCTCACAGTCAGGGAAGGAGTCACAGTGGCCACGGGTACAGGCATCGCAACGGGCACCTGTGACACCCAGCTGGCACTGGCAGGCCCCCGTACGCTTATCACAGCCTCCTGGCACTGTGCCACCAGCAGCACACTGACACGCTACAGAGAAAGGGAGAGAGGGAGGAGATGGAGAGAGAGAGGGAAGAGAAAATGTTTGTTACTTAGTCTGCCCATTGGATTGAATTGTCAAAAGCTTTGAACAAAGCATATTATAGAGCCTTTGAACGTTTCTGTGACAGAACACGACAGGGCACTTACATCTGCAGCCAATGAGTGGGTCTCCGTAGGTGTTGTCAGGGCATTCTGTACAGGTACGACCTCCAAACCCTGACCTGCACTGACACTGACCCGTACTCTGGTCACAGGTGTCACCATGGGAGTTGGTGGGGTCACAGCGACAGGGCTCACAACCACGGGGGGAGGATGGATTCCAGTAACCATGGGAACATTGGTCACAGGTCAGCCCCTGGAGGTGGGGTCGGCAAGGACACTGACCACTCACAGGGTCACACACACTGGACACGGAGCCCTCTTTACTGCACGGGCACTCTGGAGAGAGACAGACACAGAGTCAGATGGGGATAGACCTACACACATACACTGGCCAACACCACAGTATGGTCAATACAGTTGTAAGTAATCATAGTGAGAGTTTATGAATTGCCGGTTCAGGGTCAAGAGTGAAAGGTGACTCACTGTTGCAGCCCAGAGGGTTGGAGGCGGTCAGACCGTAGTATCCCATCTTGCAGCGGTCACAGCGCGATCCATCAACATTGGCCTTACAGCGACAGGACCCTGTGACGTCATCACACTGATCCCCATTCTCCACCCCCTCAGCACTGCAATGACAGCCTGTACAAAACACAGGAAACAAAACAGAAACACAACAATAATCAAACACAGCATATTGTAACACTGTGACGTAATGTGGTGGTGGTGATTAAACCTATAGTAGGAGAGAAAGAGGATTAAAGGCAGTAGTATTTTATTAATACATATTAAACCACGGTTTTACAATCACTCACGTATGCAGGCATCAGGCCGGTCCATGCTGCTCCGGTGGTTGGGTTGGTATCCAGGGGCACAGCGGTCACACTTGGGCCCGGTCGTGTGGTGCAGACAGCTCTCACACACCCCCCCACTCCTCCGTCCGCTCGACTCATACACAGCTGGGTCGAAACGGCACCGCTGGGCGTGGTTGTTACACTCACAACCTACAGGGGGCAGCACCACGGGAAATAATCAACACACACATATATGACTGTATATGTTCAGTCAACTCACACACACCTGTACTGAGGGTGTTCAGTCTTCATGGAGTTATTACTTATAGTTGCTGGTTGTGCGATACTTTAGCAAAGTCATCCTATTTCTCCACACTTGTACCAAAAATATGTAGTCAGCGTATTAAGACATTAGTGGTTGCGTACGTTTGCAGGTATGTGTATGTCCCTCCTCTGCAGGTCTCCAGGGCAGGTCGTTGTAGAGATCTGCACAGCGCTCACAGTTTGTACCTGCTGTGTTGTGCTGGCATTCACACTGAGCACTGACCTGCAACACATACACAGAGCTATAAACACACAAAAGACCCATTCACTTGTACTGTAACTGTAACCCCGCGTGTTTAACAATATGTACCTGTGTGTTAGGTAGCTGGTTAGTATCCGGCAGACAGCGGTTGGCATGGCCGTGGCAGAGGCAGGTGCCCATCACTCTCATCTCTCTGAGGGCGTAGAACAGAGAGGGAGCGCGGCCCGGCAGGCGGGGCACAGCACCCAGCTTAGTCAGCATCACCCTAAGGCCTGTCAATCCTGACACCTCTGTGGACAGAGAGAGCTGTCAATCACTGGGCAAAGAACCTCATTGGATCAGGAAGGTGTCAATCAAGAAAGTTGTAAGTGCTTTTGGAGGAGAGCACCTGCTAAATGGCTTAAATGTAGTGTGTAAAGATTGTAATATACTGTAAGTACTCTTATTGGACATGTAGGTATATTGTCCATAGTAACAGTTGGGGAGCATTATGGATGGGTAAGCATCTTACCTTGAATCTTCCTCCCATTGGGGATGCTGATGGTAGAGAACTGACGCAAGGGGCTGAATTGAATCTGTGTAATACAATGAGCAAAATCAAAAAGAGGACAGCAAACCACTTATTCATGGTACAGACACACAAAATAACACAAAATATCATGGGAATTTTCTCAATTTTCCAACATTGTGTCCCCCTCCCTTACAATCTGGTCCTGGTAGGGGTTAGTGGTGGCGGGGGGCAGAGTGTAGCAATAGGTCTGGTCCAGGGAACGTGGCATAGTCATGGCAATGCCAGGGAAGGCCGAGCTGCAGTCTGAGGCCATGTAGAGAGCAGGTTGCCATGTTTTACCGTTATCCAGCGTCCTCTCCACCACCAGCGCACTGGGACGAGGACCCTGTGTAGAGGCAACCGGAAAAACTGTCCATCAGATTCTACTGTACTTAAAAAGACAAATTGGCCCTTGCACATTGGACAAGCCCTGTCCATGCTGGTCTGGGGGCTGGGTCTTACCTTGAAGGTCAGAACGAGGGAGTCCAGCTGAAACAGGTTCTGTAGGTCCAACTGTAGGGTGACCGGACTCACGTCTAGAGAAACATAGGTTTTGTTTATTTTCTGGATCACAACAGGAAATAGTTTTAGGATGGATCTCAGCACTAAGATATGTGTTCTATAGCTTTGTATCCCCTCACCTTTCCTGGCCTGCCACCACCTGTTGGGTCCAGCAGTGGATAGAACATCCTGGATGGTGTGAGCCAACTGACTGGATGGGTTCCTGGAGTCACAGGGACAACACTTCATCCTCGACTGATGGGGAGAGGAAAGAGAGAGAGCGGGAGAAAGAGAGAGGTAGGGAGAGAGAGAAAGAGAGGGAGAGAGAGAGGGGTAGGGAGCAAGAGAAGGAGGGAGGGAGAGGGAGAGTGTGAGGTAAGGAGAGAGAGAGAGGTATAGAGAGAGAGAGAGCGAGAGAGAGAGATCATTTTAATACTGCTTAGTATTATATTCTGTATTTGGCAACATTGTTTCAACTTGTAAGGTCATGCAAATAAAGCATGTTTGATTTTTAGAGCGTAGGGTAGATATAGAGGGTGTGTACTCTAGATATTTAAACACATGTAAACCAGACCAGATTAGTTTATCATTCATGTAGTCCATGGGCATTAAAGCTAAGCTCTGCCCTTTGTCTTGCATGTGCGTGTCCCCTGACCTCTTTGTAGTGATGGTGAGTCATTGGTCATTGGTCAGCACACATTCAAACAGCACGCCAGTCGTGGGAGGTTTCTGTGTCCTTACTTATACAGGAAATGCTAGTTTACCAGACCAATCTGGACTGAGAGCAGGGTATCAGTTCCTCCTCCAACACCACCTAAAATCTCTCTCTCTCTTCTGTTTCTACCCTGGGCTAAAAGCGCCACATCAAGTCATAATAATACTTTTAGCAAACAAATGTATCTTTAATTTACAATCTGTAGAAACTATGAGAATAGAAAGGTACAGAACTTTTGTGAAACATCACAGCAAATATATGGCGAATAGAAATAACAAATGGATGGTGTTAAGAGATAGATAGGAGAGGTTGAGTGGAGCTGAAGGGTGGGATTAAAAACAACAAGATAACTAATGTAAAATATACTGTGTCTGTAAAATGTATATAGGTTCAGAACTTTTGTGAAACAGCACAGTAAAAAATATATGGCAAATTAGAAATCAAACTGGAAATCTTCAGAGATAGATGGGAGGGGTTGATGTTAGCTGAAGGATCGGATTAAAAACAAAACAAAAGATAACTATTGTAAAATACATTGTGTCCATAAAATGTATATAGTATGTATAAGCTGGAAGTAGAAGCCTAAGTGTTGTTGTCCATTAGTTTACTCCAATTAGGGGAGGGGTTGTAGGGTTAGAATTGTTTTAACAAAAAACAAAAGCGCCACATCATTCAGCAGGTCAGGATTTGTGTCACTGTGGTAGCGGTGTGGTAGTGGCTGTGGTAGCGGTGTGGTAGTGGCTGTGGTAGCGGTGTGGTAGTGGCTGTGGTAGCGGTGTGGTAGTGGCTGTGGTAGCGGTGTGGTAGTGGCTGTGGTAGCGGTGTGGTAGTGGCTGTGGTAGCGGTGTGGTAGTGGCTGTGGTAGCGGTGTGGTAGTGGCTGTGGTAGCGGTGTGGTAGTGGCTGTGGTAGCGGTGTGGTAGTGGCTGTGGTAGCGGTGTGGTAGTGGCTGTGGTAGCGGTGTGGTAGTGGCAGTCAATAGAACACTAATGGGAAGGCTCTTGTGTAGCACTAGTGGTGTTTCCCAGCCCTGGGTTTGGTACGTGTATTTTGTGACCCAAGATCACTTGGTCCACACACACGCACACGCACACGCACACGCGCACACGCACACGCACACGCACGCATAGACACACACACATCCTTTACTGACCTTAAATCCTCCACATCACCGGTCTTACTGCTCTCACTACCTCCAAACCCGGTTCCATTGATCAATCAATCACATTTTATTTGTTCAGCACTTTCTACAATATTCTTCAAAAAATTCCACTCAGCTCCACCTAGCCATGTTTGGAGTTGGAGCTTGACCAGTCCCCTCACCTCCAACCGGGCTGTGTTCACTCTAACCTGTGCCCCTTCCCTGACCTTAAACCTCCTTCTACCACCCCTCACAATACAAAAAAAACTCTTTTTTTTGTACAAATATAGAACAGCAACTCCTCCCCCTCTCCACTACAACCATAACCTCCAACCCTACTACATATACCTCCAATTGTCCTCTCCTCCAACCCTACTACATATACCTCCAATTGTCCTCTCCTCCAACCCTACTACATATACCTCCAATTGTCCTCTCCTCCAACCCCCTTGTGTCCACTCCCCTTCACCTCCACCTCAGCTTGCCCTGGCCGGAGCGGGTTGAGGCTGGGTCTGGAGCAGTGAGAGCCTGAATTGTGAGAGATTCCATTGAGGCCATGGCCTTGTTCCACACTGGGGGAAAGGTCTCTCTGCGCTGGATGTTTCAACACCAGCTGTGGCTACTGTCCATCTGTCCAGCTTGCTCTCTCTCTTTTTTTAATAAAAAAAATTTCCCCTCTCTCTCTCTCTCTCTCTCTCTCTATATATATATATATATATATATATATATATATATTGCTTCCTATCTCTTGTTTGCTTGCTTACTGTCTTCCTCCATACGACGATTTTAAAAGTCAACAGGCAAGTTGACAATCAGATTTCGTCAAACAAACTAAAATCTACACAGTGCACACACATATGCACACACATGTCCACACACATGCACCCACACACACAAACGCAAACATTTACTGCAGATTCAGTGTATTAATACATTGTTAATACAATGTTATATAAAGACAGAATTATGTCCACTAATGTGTGAACTATTGCCAGTGTTGTATAACAACTTTATATTGTAACGTCATTGGGTGGTAATGATGTAATAATATTATTCATGTATTTTGGTCAAGTCAATGTGAATTGTACCATAACCAATGGCGTGGTAAAGAAGGATATATATATTCTACTGTACTGCATGGAGAGATAAATGCATGCAGTGTCCATCAACCCTGACTCAGTGTATACCCATGGCAAGGTTCAACATATGTATCCCATGCAAAAACTAAATCCGCAATCAAACCAACAACTTTGGCTGTCAGAACCACAGTGATATCTAAATACATGTGCTGTGGCATCAGGCTTGACCCTGGTCTACCTGTGTGTCTATTTCTGGACCAGTAGTCAGTACTCACTGGGAGATTGACCCCGAGACAGATATGCTGACAGGACAGCACTGTTCATTGTTTGAGAGGCTCTCTTTGGTATTGAACAGCATTCTGCCGATTCATTAATTACAGAAACAACTTCCCAGTTAGACAGAACCCAACCAGCAGCATCAGATGGAAAAACATATTTTAATTAGCCTACTGTTATGTGAATTGTAAGTGGACATTGTCAACCTCTTCTTCATCCTAACAATCCCACATATTGGAGACTTCAGATGAAAATGCATGTAGCCTTCTAGCTTTATAGCTATCTGTATGATACAGTGTTTCAGTTAAGTATAGTCTGCATCAGACACCAGACCCTGCCTGGCCCTGGCCAGTGTCCAGCCAGTCAGTGCCCTTGGGCTGCAGGCTGCTAAGGACAATATGGAGAAACTCTGCCAGAACACTGGAATCTGACCAGAAGAGCTTAGTCTGCCAAAGTAACAGTCTGTATCAAAATGTGTGTGTATGTCCAGCTGGCCGGCTCTCTGGACCAGAGTACAGACACTCACGCCAAAGATGCATGGACCATGATACTGCTTGGAGATATTCCTGGGCCCTTATCCATAAAGCATCTCAGAAAATGTCCTAGGAATCCTGTTCAAACCTGTTTTAAGACCAAAAAAAACTCTCAGCTCAGAGTAGGTTTTAGGATGATGTTAAGACACTGCCCAGACAAAATCTGAGCCAGGAGTTAAATCAACTCATAAAAGTTTATCTCTGCTGGTAATCACGACAGTTTGAGGTACCACAAAGAAAAGATAGTGACGACGCTCTGTAACATTGTTTCAAATGATGGGGAATAACCAATCGCGATGAGGCATGGCCTGCTGTGAACTCTATAGCACGCTTCAGACAACCACGGTGAATGTGACTGTACATCAAATGTTGCAATGGTAAACGTTTGATATCATTTTCACGATCACTTTGCCTACTTTTAATTATTGTCTAATATGTTGGCATGCGTAATCCTTTTAAATAAATGAATCCTGATATTTTGAACAATGTGATATGCTTATCACATTGTACTGGTTGTTTAAAGAAGAATTTTGATAATATTAACATTATATCAACACACTCGTCACTCCCGTTCAACAACTCTAAATTGCACAGTAGGCATCAAGTCACTTGCCGATAATGTTGCATAAAATGTTTGAAGGGTCTATCATTAATCACCAAACACATATACCCTAGATGCTGTCAATTGCCCAACTCATAGGCATGCCCAATTTCTACATATTTTTTTAACAACGTGATATTGCGCTCAAATGGATTACTTTAAATAACATTATTTAGGTTAATTAAATAATCGAAAGAAAAATATATGATTATTTCCTACCCACTGGGCAAAAACTGGTTGAATCAACGTTGTTTCCACATAATTTCAACCCAAATAATATATGTGATGATGTTGAATAAATGTGGAAAACTGATAGGATTCACAAAAGGTAATCAATTTAAGGACATTTCGTATTTTTTTCACCAAACTTTGAAACGAAATCCAATGACATGGTGACATTTTCTGTTGATTTCACGTTGAATTCACGTTAGTTGACAATTCAACCAAATGTAAATCAAAACTAGACGTTGAACTGATGTCTGTGCCCAGTGGGTATGGGTTATAAGTATTTAGCCAGATATGTGAATTAGGCCTCATGTGAAATCATTGTCAAAAGTGCAAGAGATACTGTTACATGTAGGTCTAGATTATTCATGGATTGATCATTTAGAAATATCAAAACATTCTTTCAACTCCAAAGCAATTACTTGTCTATGGTGCAGGAACCACTGAGCCGCCTTTTTCTATAATCAAGACACCTGCTGGTAATTCTTAAAGTAACTGTCCAGTGTTTCCCGATTTTCCCGAAATATGACTTATAATTAATTGCAATATTAATTGCAATATTAATTGCAATATGAGTGAAATACTTTTCTTTCATAAAAAAAAAAAAATTAAGTAAATTAAAAAGCAGCTTTTGTGTGTTGGAATGGTGTGGGCATACCCCAACAACAGAATGGTGTGGGCATACCCCAACAACAGAATGGTGTGGGCATACCCCAACAACAGAATGGTGTGGGCATACCCCAACAACAGAATGGTGTGGGCGTATATCGGTCATTAAAAATATTAATGGGAGTAGATTGCTGATTGGCCGGCTCAGCCAATGAGCCAGCATTTTTTAAACAGTCTGTTTGAGATACAAGGTAAAACTTTTTTCTTTTTTTTTTTACTCTAATGTATGCTTTGGCTATAAATACGAGTATAAGGCCAGTCAACAAGAATATTTGGGAATGAGGGAGCGCTTTCCTTCAGTCAAATGACCTAATGGCCTCATAGGTGGAATACTATTAATATTTTTCATAATTACATCATTAATTAACATTCTTTTAAAAAATCCACAAAATATCAGATGTTTTGTTATAGTTCAGTCATCTGTGTGGTCCTCTGTAGCTCAGCTGGTAGAGCACAGGCGCTTGTAACGCCAAGGTAGTGGGTTCGATCCCCGGGACCACCCATACACAAAAATGTATGCACGCATGACTGTAAGTCGCTTTGGATAAAAGCGTCTGCTAAATGGCATATTATATTATTATTTATCTGTGATGTATATAAAGTGTAATATTGGGATGCAAACTCAAAATTGAATACATTGAGAGGCCAGTTGTCTTTAGTTGGTTTGGTCAGGGCGTGAGTATCTATGTTAGAATTTCTAGGTTTAGGTTCTAGGTTTTCTATTTCTATGTCTGGCCGGGTATGATTCCCAATCAGAGGTAGCTGTCGCTCATTGTCTCTGATTGGGGAACATACTTAGGTAGCCCATTGCCTACTGTGTATTGTGGGATCTTGTTCCTGTTAGGCTAGTATGTGTATAGCCTTTTGGACTTCACGTTACGTTGTTTCTTGTTTTGTTTGTATGTTTATTTGGGTGAATAAACATGTACGCTTTTCACACTGCACCTTGGTCCGACCCGTCTCTCAACATTCGTGACACATGGTACATGTGTCTTCTTTTTTTTAAATCACTCTGTTTCCTTCGTTGCTAAAATCCTAATAGTTCGCCTAATTTCAGTTTATGTGACAAAACAAGCACTCAGAGTGTAGAGAATCATTGTACCATCTAAACCGCTGTGAAATATATTTTCAATAACCAAAAATATTATATTTTCAGCTGTTTGAAGCTGGTGTACAAAACCGAAAGTAAAAGACACAAAAACAAAACTTAAGAGCAGGAAGCATAGAAATGGTGCACATAAAACCGATTGTAATGATGTCATAGTATTGTGTGGACCAGGGAAGAGTTAGGGGATAATTGACTTGGTTCCACTGAGTCTACATTCCATTATGTCAAAGGAGATTACTGAGGTTGATATTAGAATAATTGATGGGACAGGATATACTGACTTGGGGTAAAGAGTAATAACATCAGAGAAAGGGAGTGCTCATAATGGTTGCCAGATGTATGTGAAAGGAAGGATAACCAAGAGTATAAAAGCTGTGAGATTTGTGTGTATGGGCAGTTCAACTGACAAAGGGCAGAGCTATGTCCGTTTGTTAGATGAACCCACGAGCTCGTGATCAAATAAATACTTGGTATAAAATCTCCACAGAATGTCTAAGTAAATTCTTGCATCCTCACTTCTCAATTCTAGAAACTCATCATAACACCGATCTACCGCTTCTTAAACTTGCTTTCAATGAGAATGAATTTGGTAGGGTCGCCCAAATAGTTACATATTGCAGCTTTAACAGACTATACATTTTGAAAAGTGAGATTTTCACTGGACAGTTACTTGAACTGCTTAGGACAGCTCATGAGGTCTCCTAAATATCTGTCAACTAGGTGGGACGCTTATGACTAAAGAGGTTTCATGCATAGCTTTTATTTTTACCCGTAAGAGTAGGGGTAAAATGTCTCTATTCTGAGCACTTATGACCAATTTTCTACTCTGAGATGCTTTGTGACTACGGCCCCTGGCCTGGGCCATTCATGGTACCCTCCTTCTGGTACCCCTTTACTTGAACCTTGTATTATAAAGCTGTCTAAGCTATAGAATTATAATTCCATGGTGGGTGGACTGGTGGCAATATTGGATGCCCCATTTTGAATGTCTGAATATTTTATGCTCACTAGCTAGGTTTCCATCCAATTGGCAACATATTTTCATGTGAATATTCTAAAATCCGCATAAAGAAAATATGTGTATTTATTTTCCCACCAGTGGTGTGTTTCCACCAAACAGACTTGTTGTGGATAAAAATCAGTGCGTGACAGTGATGTAAAGTACTTAAGTAAAAATACTTTAATGTACTACTTACTACTACTTCAATAAGCATTTTGAATAATACTACTACATTTCAGTAAGCATGCTTTCCACCTGGCTACCCCTACCCCGGCCACCAGCTCTGCACCCTCCGCTGCAACTTGCCCCCCTCCCCGCTTCTCCTTCACCCAAATTCAGATAGCTGATGTCCTGAAAGAGCTGCTAAATCTGGACCCCTACAATTCAGCTGGGCTAGACCCTGTCTTTCTAAAATTAGCCGCCGAAATTGTCGCAGCCCCTATTACTAGCCTGTTCAACCTCTCTTTCGTATCGTCTGAGATCCCCAGAGATTGGAAAGCTGCCGCGGTCATCCCCCTCTTCAAAGGGGGTGACACTCTAGATCTAAACTGTTACAGACCTATATCCATCCTGTCCTGCCTTTCGAAAGTATTTGAAAGCCAAGTTAACAAACAGATCACCGACCATTTAGAATCCCACCGTACCTTCTCCGCTATGCAATCTGGTTTCCGAGCTGGTCATGGGTGCACCTCAGCCACGCTCAAGGTCCTAAATGATATAATAACCGCGATCGATAAAAGACAGTACTGTGCAGCCGTCTTCATCAACCTGGCCAAGGCTTTTGACTCTGTCAATCACCGCATTCTTATTGGCAGACTAAATAGCCTTGGTTTCTGAAATGACTGCCTTGCCTGGTTCACCAACTACTTCTCAGATAGAGTTCAATGTGTCAAATCGGAGGGCCTGTTGTCTGGACCTCTGGCAGTCTCTATGGGGGTGCCACAGGGTTCAATTCTCGGGCTGACTCTATTCTCTGTGTATATCAATGATGTCACTCTTGCTGCTGGTGACTCTCAGATCCACCTCTACGCAGACGACACCATTTTGTATACATCTGGCCCTTCATTGGACACTGTGTTAACAAACCTCCAAATGAGCTTCAATGTCATACAACACTCCTTCCGTAAAACTAAATGCATGCTCTTCAATCGAACGCTGCTTGCACCCGCCCGCCCGACTAGAATCACTACTCTCGGCGGGTCTGACTTAGAATATGTGGACAACTACAAATACCTAGGTGTCTGGTTAGACCGTAAACTCTCCTTCCAGACTCATATTAAGCATCTCCAATCCAAAGTTAAATCTAGAATCGGCTTCCTATTTCGCAACAAAGCCTCCTTCACTCATGCTGCTAAACATGCCCTCGTAAAACTGACTATCCTACCGATCCTTGACTTCGGCGATGTAATTTACTAAATAGCCTCCAACACTCTACTCAGCAAATTGGATGTAGTCTATCACAGTGCCATCCGTTTTGTCACCAAAGCCCCATATACTACCCACCATTGTGACCTGTACGCTCTCGTTGGCTGGCACTCACTACATATTCTTTGCCAAACCCACTGGCTCCAGGTCATCTATAAATCACTTCTAGGCAAATCCCTGCCTTATCTTAGATCATTGGTCACCATAGCAACACCCACCCGTAGTATGCGTTCCAGCAGGTATATCTCACTAGTCATCCCCAAAGCCAACACCTCCTTTGGCCGCCATTCCTTCCAGTTCTCTGCTGCAAATGACTGGAACGAACTGCAAACATCTCTGAAGCTGGAGACACTTATCTCCCTCACTAACTTTAAGGATCAGTTGTCAGAGCAGCTTACCGATCACTGCACCTGTATACAGCCCATCTGTAATTAGCCCACCCAACTACCTCATCCCCATATTGTTATTTACATTGTTATTTATTTTACTCATTTGCACCCCAGTATCTCTATTTGCACATCATCTTCTGCACATCTATCACTCCAGTGTTAATACTAAATTGTAATTATTTTGCACTATGGCCTATTTATTGCCTTACCTCCATAACTACTACATTTGCACACACTGTATATATATTTTCTGTTGTGTTATTGACTGTACGTTTTGTTTATTCCATATGTAACTCTGTGTTGTTGTTGTTTTTATCGCACTGCTTTGCTGTATCTTGGCCAGGTCGCAGTTGTAAATGAGAACTTGTTCTCAACTGGCTTACCTGGTTAAATAAAGGTGAAATAAATAAATAAATAATAAATAAAAAAAGATGGTTATTATATCAATATTTGAGCATAAAAGCGTTTCCACTGCATTTCTTACATAATTAATTTTACAGACACAAAAAGATCCCACCATGACGAACAAACAAATTATCTGTTGGCATTTATCAAATTGAACCGAAAACTTTCTGTTTCCATCACAGCTGTCATGATTTGTTTTTATATGGTATGACTGGCATAAAAACTGTGGATGGAAACGTGGTTTATATCTCTCAAATATTAGTACCTTTCCACATTTCTACACAGGGAACAATGCATCATTCTATAAAGAAAGGAAAAAACATTAACACATAAATATACCAAATGAGTATAAACCATGGTATGAAATTAGGTCACAGTGTGGAACCTGATATGGTTAGTAGGCTCGACCTGGTCTCGGAGCCAGGTATTGGCTAAAATCCCCTCCATCCCTGAGTAAAAGGGGATCAGCCTTTCTTATCACATCTCTGATTGGTTCATACCAAACCCTGATGGAAAATCGCTCTGAGCCATGTTGGCTTGTTGCTATTGGCAACTCTCTGGCAGCTGCCAGTGCCAAGGTCAGGTCAAGGGTAGAGGTGAGTGTTGTGCAAGAGAGAGGAGAGGTTAGACCCGTCTGGTTATTCAAACTTCGCCATCTCACTGTGCCAAACTAAATCCAACCATACCCTCCAGAATAGATCTGTCAACACTGAACAGGAAAGCCAAGGCTCCTATCCCCTTTCTCTATTTCTCCAATCCTTTCTTCTACCCCCTCTCTCTATCACTCTCTTCTATACCTCTTTCTCTTTCTCTCCTACCACTGCCTGGACACTGAGTGATAAAGCCCTGGCACACTGTACTGCTCAACTCTCCTTCTGGCTGACTCAGCTGATATGTCCATCTCGTCCATTTCTGCTGGGAAATCAATAAAGTATTTAATTCTAATTGACCATTAGATGGTTTAGCACAGCATGTCTTCCATCATCAAATGCAGTCAGTCCACCAAAGAGTTTGATACTGTACAAAGTGTACAAAGAGTATTGATCGACTGGCCGCAGGCCATGCAGGTGGCTACAGTAAACACACACACCTGACATAGATTGCATAAAACGAGCAAAGATTAATACACAGGGACTATGGACAATTTTTTTCTTCTCCATTCTGGGACAATAAAGTTGATCTTATCTACTCTTATCTTCTTATATCACATTGTAGTACTATTACCTATGGAACTATCCAGCCTGCACACCAGGCGGTACAGTTACAGCATGTTTTACCACCTGTTCACCTCAACTCCAAGCATGACCCTGTAAACTCTGAGGACATGTAAGAAGGCACCCGGAGAGAAGGAGAGGAATCCAACACCACAGTGTCCTTCCTTGTCCTTACTAACAGCTTAGTAATAACGCTGTGGCCTTGAGTGGAATGCCAGTGGACATGCAACTCAGTTCCTCTTTAGTCAAAACATTTCACAATGTCTAGGTAACTCTTTTCAGATCACATCTGGCTAGTGTCCACACTGTCTCACCTGTACTGAGTGATACAGAGTGTGTCAGAGAGATAGTCAATCCACAACCACACCCTTCACACATGATTTAACACACACAGTCAGTCAGTTGCAGTACATCAACACTCCAGTCTAGACCAGTTTCTATGGCCTGGGGCACCTCTCCCCACACGCCCAACATTAAAAACATCTTTCATGTTTGTGTTGTGTAATCAACACATTAATCCAGTGAAACACGATCACTTTGAGTAAATATCAAAATGCAAAAGTGCTGGAGTTTCAAAAACTCAAGCCAACCCAAAACCAGCAGACAGCAAAAAATATCTACAGTCTGGTGTGTGTGTATGTGTGGTGCGTGCACGTGTGTGTTCCTGCACAGACAGAGACAGGCTGGTATTTGTGAGTTCTGAGAGCAGAACCTGCCCTGCCCAGCAACACCAGCGGAAGGGTGTGGCTCAGATGAAAGACTCCACTGTCAATCAAACAGGCAGCACCACAAATGAAATCAGAAAGATATTTATTCTCTGTCCTCCTTTCACTTGGTTTCAGCCCCTGGTTTGGCTTAAACACTGATGTTTGAAAGTTAATCAATCCCCTCAAAACAGTATATTTGATTTTCTGTCTTTCCTTTGAAATCAAATAAATAGTTCTCTAGCCAATGTTTTTCCAAATACTGTAGTTGCAACATCTGGCAGTGTGTGTCTCTGTCACCAGATCCAGACGTTTTCACAAAATACACCAACCAGTTCTCCCCTGACCCTCTATCCACCCTCTCCCTTTCCCCATCCCACCCCTTCACCCCCTCCCTGGTCTCCTACTGTGCATGGTCAGCACAGAGAGCATCATGCACAACCAAGCTGGACACACAGTGTGTGCATGAGTGTGTGTTCTTGCATTTCTGTCTGTCTGTCTTCTGTCTGTCTTTAAACATGCATGTTTGTCTGTCTGTCTGGCTGGCTCACTGTCGTGCCTAAAGTTATAGCTACTCTACAAACCTGAAATGTTGTTACACGTTAAACAACCCTGATGAACAACTCATAATAATTAAGAGCTACAAAACCTCCCATTGCCCTACTTTCCCCCCATCTCTTACAGTGCCGATGCATTAGTGTTAAAAGGGACTGCACTTGACAAAAACACCCTGGGTAGAATAACAGCCCATGCCTTCACTTGAAGGTTTACACACTTTTATGTATACACTATCAAAACTAGCAGCGTCGATGAGATTCACTTGTCTTTGTAATATAGGTGGTTCTTTGTGTCTTTCAGAACAGTAAGAGTAGGGTCTTACCTGTCCGAAGAGGGTGCAAAAGACCTCAGAGCCGGTGAGGCCGCAGGTGGAGGAGGCGTGGAGCTGACGGTCCCTACCCAGGAGCAGGTCTCCCATTGGGGGGTAACAGGCCCCCTGAGAACAGTCCCTCTGAGTCGCAGCCACTGCAGTCAGGGCTGGGGGAGGGGATCAATTCATCAATCAATGAATCAGTATCATCCCAGTTAGAAGTATGAACACAATTACATATTTCCTCATATCCTACACAAAACTATCACAACAATCTAGATGTTAAGACTAAAACGAACTACAAATCTAAATTTAAAAAAACAACTCATCAATCATTTTCAATTAGAAATCAATGAAATGTTAACACATACCTGCTAACTGGAATAAAATCCACATCTTTGTTTCCTACTATGAGAAATTCTTCAAAAGACAAAAAGACAAAAAGACAATAAACAATAAAGGTAACACAACAATATAAGAAATAAATTGGTTGACTAAATAATTGGAAGAAATTAACAACACAGGAAATGTATGAAGGCAAAATATGTTGAACTACATTGAAAAGAAAAGGTCCAATATCCAGTGAAAGTGAATTGTTAATCGATCCAGCTCAGTACTCACCAGTTGTAGGTGTATGTATGTAGACGCGCGTGTGTGTGTGCTGTTCAGAATCTCAGTCTGTCTAAATGTGTGTGTGGGTTCTTGGATGTGTCCTTATAAACACTGTCTCACCTGGCTACATGATACAGAGTGTGTCAGAAAGGTAACTGGCAGACACACCCTTCCCCTTTGCAACCACACCCTGCTGGGATGAATACAAACACACACACACACACATGCACACACACACACCTACACACACGCACACACACACATACAGTACTAACAACAACATATCTTTGAAAAGGGTGGACCTTCCAAAATGAACAGTGGGGGGATAAACTACAGAGAATAACATTATAAACAGTTCTCTGTAGCGATGTGGTAAAACATAGCTGTGGATGAGTGGTTGGGTTAGCAGCTTGTCTCAACAAGGAGAGTAGTCTAAGTATGCAGTGATTGTTTATGAAACATTGCGCAAAAACGTTTGTAAATGAACCCATTTTGAGTATTATTCTCTTTGTCATTCCCATCTAAATCAGTCTACACACACATACTAACACAAACACACACAGAAACACACACACATCTCTAAATGTTTATCCTGCAGGCAGTAAAACGGCTTGGCACAGCTATGTGGTAACCCTGGCATTCTGTGTGTTGGCGTGTGGCGGTGTGTGGATCATCACCTGTGTGTAATAAAACCTAGCCTCCGGGCTGCTGAATACATATTGTTTTTCTCCATAGCCACTGACTAACAGCCAGGACCAGGGTGTGTTCTCTGACTCACCTCCGTCTCACACACACACACACACACACACACACACATTGCCAGACGGTTGTAGCCACACCTTATAGCTTCCACTTACCCCTTAGGTAGGATAAGGACTGGTAAGGTATCCGTGGCAACAACAGGGAACACTTTGGTATAATATTTTGGGAGAGGGAGGCTCTAAAAACTACTAGTACTCATCTCAAATGATTATGGCCTTCATATACTGCACCAAATGCCTAATCAGTGTGTGTGTATTACTGTGTATGTGAGCAAGGTTGAGGGATCAGGTGAGGGGGTGCACTGTCAAATTGGGTCCATTAACTACTAATCTGAAATAGCTGTGTGTACCCGCTAATTCTGAAATGATGAGTGTAAGTGAAGTGAGAAAAAACCCTTCACTCTCACCTCACATGCTTAACACTGGCCAAGAGTCCTCTTGTTTTCACCTCTCTGATTCCCAAAACTCACGTCATCTCTCTCAAATTCATATGGAATTATGTATGACTGGTCCAGTCAAAGTCATGCAATAATAAGATCATCAAATTAGTCACAGTTTGCGCAGAAAGAGTTGTGTATGTATGTGTGTGTGTGTGTGTGTGTGTGTGTGTGTGTGTGTGTGTGTGTGTGTGTGTGTGTGTGTGTGTGTGTGTGTGTGTGTGTGTGTGTGTGTGTGTGTGTGTGTGTGTGTGTGTGTGTGTGTGTGTGTGTGTGTGTGTGTGTGTGTGTGTCAGTACAGATAGAGTTCACAGTGTCTGCAGACGTAATGGTCATGACAGGAGGGTGACTGGGTTTATACGGCCTTTGACTCAATTCAAACAGTCTGATCTCAGCATCTTGAATGCTGCGTATGGCCGACAGGTGTCGTCAAGCTTACATTTTTTATACAGAATAACAATTTAGCATTTTTGCATGTACAATATTTTGTTGAATTATGACGTATATATTTTTATTCTGCTCTATATAGATTTGGTAAGCCTTTATTTTACAGTAGATAAACGACCAGGTAGCCTATTGAAGATGGCAATTGCACAATAATAATAACCTATGAATTAGTTTGTTTATTTCTATGGGATTCATCTAAACAAGTACCACTAGGTATAATTTGGTACCGTACACCTACCAATGGCACATAGACACACACCAGTGGTGTAAGGTACTTAAGTAAAAATACTTTAAAGTACTACTTAAGTCGTTTTTGGGGGTATCTGTACTTTACTTTACTATACATTTTTTTGACAACTTTTACTTTTACTTCACTACATTCCTAAAGAAAATAATGTACTGTTTTACTCCATACATTTTCCCTGACACCCAAAAGTACTTGTTACATTTTGAATGCTTAACAGGACAGGAAAATTGTCTAATTCATGCACTTATCAAGAGAACACGTGGAAATCCCTGTACTTTTACTTTTGATACTTAAGTATATTTTAGCAATTACATTTACTTTTGATACTTAAGTATATTTAGAACCAAATACTTTTAGACTTTTATTCTAGTATTTTACTGGGTGACTTTAACTTTTACTTGAGTAACTTTCTATTAAGATATCTATACTTTTACTCAAGTATCACAATTGGGTACTTTTTCCACCACTGACACACACACAAGTAGGCCTTAACTTACAGACAGCGGTGGAAAAAGTACCCAATTGTCATACTTGAGTAAAAGTAAAGATACCTTAATAGAAAATGACTCAAGTAAAAGTGAAAGTCACCCAGTAAAATTCTACTTGAGTAAAAGTCTAAAAGTATTTGGTTTTAAATATACTTAAGTATCAAAAGTAAATGTAATTGCTAAAATATACTTAAGTATCAAAAGTAAAAGTAAAAGTATGAATAATTAAAAATGCCTTATTTTATGCAAACCAAATGGCACAATTTTCTTGTTTTTTAAATTTACTGATAGCCTGGGGCACATTCCAACACTCAGACATAATTTACAAACAAAGCATTTGTGTTTAGTGAGTCCGCCAGATCAGAGGCAGTAGGAATGACCAGGGATGTTCTCTTGATAAGTGTGTAAATTGAACCATTTTCTGTCCTGCTAAGCATTCAAAATGTAACGAGTACTTTTGAGTGTCAGGGAAAACGTATGGAGTAAAAAATGCATTATTTACTTTAGGAATGTAGTAAAAGTAAAAGTTGTTAAAAATATATATAAATAGTAAAGTAAAGTACAGATACCCCCCAAAACTACTAAAGTAGTACTTTAAAGTGTTTTTACTTAAATACTTTACACAACTGCTTACAGAGTGGGTGAGCGACTGTGAGAGGAAGTGTAGCCAATGCACGTAGCTCACTTTCATCTGGACACATGCTCATTCTGTTTTGGCAGAAGCGAGCTCGTGCTCAATGAATATTCATAAAGCGTCACCGAGTGGGTGTGGATTAAAAGAACCACGTCTTTATAAACGAGAAGCTCCAAATGTGTGCTCATGCGACACAAAACAAACTCGCTCCTGGAAGGTTTCATAAAATCCCCTGAAAAGGACAAGATCAATTACTTGAATAAAGTAAGTAGCCTACCATTGCTTGTGATTGTCCTGCTTTTTTCTCACATTGTTGTGACATGAAAAGTGCCTAGGCCTATTTGTTACAATTTACAACTGCATGCGTAAAAGGTGACACCTGTGACTATAAAACTCTCTCCTTCTATCTCCAGTCAAATTCAGACCACATAATCCAACCGAAATGGAGACCATGCACGAAATCATCCCCTTCGCCAAGGAGATGCTGGCTCAAAAGCCTAGCCGCCGCATGCTGAAGGTGTACATGGTGGGCACCGTGGTGGCCTTCTTGGGCATGGTTCTGGGCCTGGTGGAAACCGTCTGCCAGTCCTTCGCCTCCGAAGAGCCGCTGGACGCAGAGCTCGCTCAGTTGATGGCTCGGGAGCAGAGGGCACTGGAGACTGAGGAGAGAAGGAAACAGGAGGAGGTGGCAACAGTTTCGGCCGCGGAGCAGATCACCATACCCAGGAAGCTGCAACAGGCGACGGGAGCGCATAGAAGCGCAGGTGCAGCCAACCGACTGCACGCCTCGTGAAAAGCATCACCGGGCTAGCGCCAAAACGCTGTTAGCCTACATAATTATTAAGGACCTGTATAGTCCTTGCCACATCAAATACGGTGCGCTACATACCCATTCGAAAAAGCTCCACAAGAGGAATCCCACTGGGCACAGACGTGAATTCAACGTCTATTCCACGTTGGTTCCACGACACAACGTTGATTCAACCAGTGTGTGCCCAGTGGGATGAATGGCAACCTTAAACCGTCAACAGAAAAACGGGCTGACTGTCTGTGTTGAGCTGCGCTTTGCAGCGCTGCTTTTGGTAGCCCAAGTTGACGCGCCAGTTGGAAACTCCCAAGCTGAAATTGTGTCCGGGGTCAAAAGAGCCGGCGAAAGAGCAGCTGTTCGACTCTCACTATCCGCTAATGAGAGAGAGGGCATTGACTGCACAGCAGCCGCTCTGCTATCTCATTCTCCACTCCATCCATGGTGCCAAAAGAGTAACATTTTTGTGAGATTTTTAAAAAGTGCTATTTGTCAATGCTGTAAATATATTAATGTTTTTTCTAGTCAATAAATTCATATTTTTATTTACAATGTCTATATATGGTATTTTCTCAGAGTTATACTGGTTATATTCTAATCTATTCTATTATTTATAAGCACCCAAATATAAACACATTCACAACCAGTATTGTAAAACCAAAATGAGTAGGCCTATCATAGGTTTATTAGCCTACTTATCAATAGTGGTTACCTTTCCTTTTGAATATTCTTGCATCCTACCAAGATCCACTAGAGGGCGCCTTCATACGCAGTAAGCAAAGGGCCCCGAATGTAACCTATAATAAATAGCCCTATTGGGATTCTTCCTTCCTGCTACATCCACCCCTTGAGCAATCATTGAACTAATCTACATAATTCACATTTCCTGTTGCTGCAGGATTATTTTTCTGCTGTAGCACGCACACTGGCTCAAATTAAGATCCTAAATCTGTACCATGAAGGCACAGACACCTTGGCAGAGGACAGTGCGCAGGAAAGGCTACACGGAGAGGCTATGGGTAAACTTTGATTTGTCTTTGTGAGTAAGATGGTAACTTCTGGTGTTGTATGGTTTCTATTAAGACTTGAATGAGCTAAACATGTGCAACATGGCATCCAGGTAAAATCTAGAAATCCAGGATTCAATGGATTTCATTCCATTTGCCACATGAGACATAAAATAATTTTGGTGAAGCAACTAAATCTCACAATATCTGTATACTATGTCTGCCGGGCATCATCGTGGTTGGTTCTACACATTGGTGTTGGATGAGGTCACCGCTGCCTTCCCCTTACAGTGTAAAGCGCATTGAGACCTTGTGTAAAGTGCTTTATAAATGCATATCCATTATTATTTCCATTGTGTGCAGACAATCATCACTCTTATGAGGGGCTGAAGAGTCAAGTCTCCCCTGCACCAGGACGATACAGTATTATGTCATTGGGTTCGGTGTGTTTACCTTTTCCCCCTAAAACCAGAGTCCATTGAGGCCTGGTCTAGTTTAATAGGGTCACAGCGCTGTGGGGGGTGAATCAGAGATGACACTTCCTGTGGCTTGGACGACTGAGATACTGAACGAACAATGTGGCACCTTTAGCTCAAAGATAATCACATGAACGTGATTGGGACCAAAAACCAGACCGAGCTGAACAGAGAGAAATATGTCTTCCTCCTATGTAAATGTCTCTAATAGTAGTGTTTGGCTATCACTAGGACAGATACATTACACATTAATAGCTGGAGGTGCCCTGAATCAGGAGAGATATTGTAGAATTGTCCCTGAGCTGCAAAACAGGCTTGTCTTATTCAGAACTAAATAGCCTGATGCAGTTGGGATTAATGTGGGACCAAGAACTGTTATTTTTCTAGACTCTGTAAGTCCCTAGCACAAATTTGCCTGGGAACACTCAAACAATGAATAATCATTTTGAGAAAAAAAAACGACTAATCGAGAAGTCATGTTTCACCAAGGGAACAATAAACCCAGAATCAAAGTCAGGCTGTAGGGTATAGAGAGGTAGGGATTAAACACCATTCAAACAACAGAGGATTCTCTTTGTAGAAGGAGAGGGATTTGCTGAAAGGTTGCCAGCAGTAACAGAGGCAACAGACACAGTTTGAACCTTGTGAGACCTTGCCAAGCTCTTCCCATTGTCAACAAGGCTCTGAGAGGATGAACAACCAACAGGGCAGCAATTATATCCTGCTCCAGATGAATACCCTACCTACCCTCATTTCATAACAGAAACAGAGGGGAGAGATAAAGAGACCAGTCAAAGTTAATGCATTGTCTTATTGTGTCTTATTCTGCCAAATATCAAAGTATTTGTACATTTCATAAAAAAATTATATTTGAAAGGCTACAGTATATAACGTGACAATGTCGAATTAATCTTCAATGTTCTAAGTTTAATATTGTCAAACATATATTTACATACACTCTACAAGGTGTCGAAAGCGTTCCACAGGGATGCTGGCCCATGTTGACTCCAATGCTTCCCACAGTTGTGTCAAGTTGGCTGGATGTCTTTTGGGTGGTGGGCCATTCTTGATACACAAGGGAAACTGTTGAGTGTGAAAAACCCAGCAGCGTTGCAGTTCTTGACACAAACCAGTGCGCCTGGCACCTACTACCATACCCCGTTTAAAGGCACTTTCATCTTTAGTCTTGCCCATTCACCCTCTGAATGGCACACATACACAATCCGTCTCAATTGTCTCAAGGCTTAAAAATAAATCCCTCTTTAACCTGTCTCCTTACCTTCATCTACACTGATTGAAGTGGATTTAACAAGTGACATCAATAAGGGATCATAGCTTTCACTTGGATTCACCTGGTCAGTCTATGTCATGGAGAGAGCAGGTGTTCCTAATGTTTTGTACACTCGGTGTATATCAGGCAGCGGTGATTACGCAAACAATTTCCTAGTTGTCTGTGGATATGAGAAATCAAGTATAAACTTAAACAAAAGTGTGAAAAATAGATAATGATGACATTTCAGACAAACGTACGACAGACTATAAGCACACACAATTTGCTTTTGAATATGGAGATTGTGAATAATACAAAGGTAGTGGTGTAAATCACTTTAGCCTTCTGAATACAAAGAAACATCTATGGGAAATTATGTATTTACACAGTAGTTCTAGAGACACAAATCATTTTGGTCTGTGTGACACAACCAAAGCCCTATGTCTTCTTGTTTGTGGTGTTGAGAACACATGTTTTTTGGTATCATGTCTGAAAGTTAGGGAGACGCCCTAGTGTAGAAAATGATACTAATGCACCTGGTACATTATCATCTCTTCCAGCTTAGTTCATATCCGTTTGTCTTAAGTCTCTAAGAAAGAGAGAGAGTAAGAGTTTGAGAGGTTGGGGGGAACATAGCTTCAATTGTCACTTGGCAACTCAGAAGAGAGAAACTCAGCGTTTAGTCAAGCATGTGTCACCCTTAACAAGCCTCGAGAGCACCTCTCCAAATCACTCAAAAGACAGAGGTGGGGGCACTGTGTAATCTAGTTACACAACAAGCACTGCAGGAAAACCAAGAAAGGTTATGTGTCTACTCAATCTAGGCAGGATGAGTGTACATGGCAGACATGAGCGCCGACATAGTATGTATGGTTGCCTGCAACAAAACAATATCTATTTCAGCAGATCAAGCGAGTCCCTGCTGAGTAACGGGCTTACATGTGTGGGAAAGGAACATTTCAGTGGGAGCAGGTTGAGGGGAGTGAAAAGTTGAGGGGAGTGGAATTTCTCATGCTTTTGTAACTAGGAGTCTTATGCCAAACTTGATAGAATTGAATAGGTGAACCTGGGTTACGTTACATTCAGAAAATAACCTCCTATGTTGGTCCACTAGTGCATTTAAATACAAAACAGTCCGAAGAAGCAACCTGGACTCAGGGGTAGACGTAACATAGTAAATTAAAATCCAGGCCACTCAAATTAGTATGATATGTTACGTTTGGTATACATTTGTGAATGTCCATCATCCATTTCGTATGATATGTTACGAATTACAATTCGTATGATATGTTACAAATTACAACTTGTATAATATGTTACGAATTGTAATTCATACAATATGTTACGAATTTGCAATACGTATGATATGTTAAGAATTACAAGTTGTTTTGGCTAACGTTAGCTAGGTGGCTAATGCTAACGTTAGCTAGGTGGCTAACACTAACGTTAGCTAGGTGGCTAATGTTAGCTAGGGGTTAGGGTTAGGGGTTACGGTTAGGGTTAGGGTTACGAGTTAGGTTAAAGGGTTAAGGTTAGGGTTAGGGGAAGGGTTAGCTAACATGCTAAGTAGTTGCAAAGTAGCTAAAAAATAGTCAGAAGTTGCAAAGTTGCTAATTAGCTAAAATGCTAAAGTTGTCCGTGATGAGATTTGAACACGCAACCTTTGGGTTGCTAGACGTTTACGTTATACACTTACCCTTCCACCCCGACAAACCACCCTCCTTTCGTTTTTGCCTTAAGTAACCATACCAAATGTAACATATCATACTAATTTGAGTGTCCCGGATTTAGCGCCAGTCATTCATTGTTTAAAGCAACAACAAAAAAATAATCATACAGTGACTCAAACATTCAAAAGTGAAGCCTCTCCCCATTTTAAGAACTGTCCAAATGTAGGGAGAAGATAATGACTGTCTCATTTCCACTGAAAATTGAGATCTACACCCTGCAGTACCGCTTCTTCCATGACATTCTTGTAACCCAGCAAAAGGATGAGTCTCGTCTCAGTCCATCAGTCTAGAACATGAAGTCTGGGTCATCATGTCCAGCAGTCCATCTGTCTCACTGTTAGCCATCATGGTGGTTACGCTACATAGCGACAACAGTCCGGCGCTATATAGCTGCCGCATTGCCCCCCTACACAGTGATAGTGGTGGCGTTAGCCGGGGCTGTGGTGAGGGTGGCCAAGGCGGCACAGTTGATTGGGACCTGTCCTTGTGGTGAAACCTTAGCCGGTCGGTGCTCCTTGTTCTGGGCACAGCTTCGGGCACAGAGCTTGCAGGAGGCACAGGCTGAGTTACAGCAGGGTAGGAAGCGGCAGACACTGATCCTCCAGAGGAACCAGGCTGGAGACCAGCAGCACCAACACAGCAGGACCACACCAGCTATCACACCCAGTGCGATGAAGAGCGCCAGCAGGGACAAGTAGGGTGGAGAGTCTGGAGGAGCGTGGAGGGGTGAGAGTAGAGTACAGTTAGCAATGGGGTCTGCGTGCAATTTTTTGGCCAATCTCCAACCTTCCATTCTTAAGCAAAATTCGGGAGAAATTTGTTTTCAAACAGCTAAATAATTTTTTAAGTGGCAACTGTATTTTTGAAAAATTCCAATCGGGTTTTCGGGCCCACCACAGCACAGAGACAGCCTTAGTTAAAGTGGTAAATTATTTTAGAGCCAACACAGATGCCAAACAGCTCTCTGTGCTCTTAGATTTGAGTGCTGCATTCGACACTGTTGACCATGATGTCCTTCTGGAAAGACTGGAGAGGTGGGTTGGCCTCTCTGGTCCAGTTCTAAATTGGTTTAGGACTTATTTTACCGGTCGAGAATTTTGTCACCCTTGAACATAATGTAACTCAGAGAAAATACATATCACATGTGGCGTTCCACAAGGTTCGATTTTGGGTCCGGTACTGTTCAGTTTATATATGTTACCCCTTGGCAGCGTTATCAGAAAGCACAGCATTGCCTCCCGAGTGGTGCAGCGGTCTAAGGCACTGCATCGCAGTGCTGAGGCGCCATTACAGCCTCGGGTTTGATCCCAGGCTGTGTCACAGCCAGCCGTGACCAGGAGCCCCATGGGGCGGCTCACAATTGGCCCAGCGTCGTCCGGGTTAGGGGAGGGTTTGGCCGGGGGGATTTCTTTGGCTAATGTTCTAGCGACTCCTTGTGGCAGGCCGGGCGCCTGAAAGCTGACTCCGGTCGTCAGTTGGACGGCTTGGTGGGTCATGTTTTGGACGGCTTGGTGGGCCTGAGTCCGTTGGGGAGTTGCAGCGATGAGACAAGATCGTAACTACCAATTGGATATCACGAAAAAGGGGGTAAAAATTAAAACACAGCATTGATTTTCACTGCTACGCATACGATACACAACTTTACATTTCTGTGTCACCAGAGGATTTTAGCTCCAAGGATAAATTATTAGACTGTATTAGTGATTTAAATACTTGGATGGCTCACAACTTTCTCCAGCTAAATCAAGACAAGACCGAGGTACTTATTGTTGGAGCCAAAGCACACATTTTAATTCACAGGCAATAAAGATAAAAAACCTACGTGTTATTTTAGATTCTGAATAAAATTTCAAATCACACATTAGGAATGTGACCAAAATAGCTTTTTACCACCTGAGGAACATTGCCAAGGTGCGGCCATTTCTCTCTCAGGCTGATACAGAGAGACTCATCCATGCTTTTATTACAAGCAGGATTGACTACTACAATGCTCTCCTGTCTGGTCTACCCAAGAACGCCATTAGTCAACTGCAAAACATACAGAATGCTGCAGCATGGGTACTGATCAAGACCAGACGGAGAGTACACATTACACCGGTTTTAAGGTCTCTGTACTTGCTGCCTGTGAGTCAGAATTAATTGTACAATTTTTTTATTGGTTTTTAAATCAATCCACAATTGTGTACCCCAGTACACGTCAAACATGCTTTTAAGTTATGTACCCAATAGGTCCTTCAGGTTCTCTGGCACTGGCCTTTTAACTATCCCAAAGCCTAGAACCAAGAGGCATGGAGAGGCAGCCTTTAGTTATTATGCCCCCAGCCTCTGGAATAGCCTGCCAGAGAACCTGAGGGGGGCTGAATCTGTGGACATATTTAAAAGAGATCTTAAAACACATCTTTTATCTTTTATTTTCTTTAGGGTGCTTTTTAATTGTTCAGTTTGTGTCATTCTTTAGATTTTTATCTTATGTTTGCTGTTTAGTAAATATTTCAGCTTTTATTTTCATTGTTTTTATTAGTTTTTTCCTGTAAAGCACATTGCGTTGCATTCCATGTCTGAAATGTGCTGTATAAATAAAGCTTGATTTTATTTTATTTGAATAGTAAAAACATCAGAATGCTTTGTTGCCAAATCACAGAAAATACTTTTCCTTGTATTCAATGACGATGCAATCATCCCTTAATTTAGGCAGAAAAATATACCTGTTATCACGAATGGCAATTTGCACAGACATTTTTCTCCTGTTAGCCAGTTGAATTGGAATGAATAAAATAATGATTGTGGTCTTGACTGGATATCTGGTGGTTTGCCACAGACAAAAAGGTAATGTGAGGCTAATGGCCAGGCCAGCCTCAGTATCTATTTGCACCATTGTCAATAGAACACCAACATGACTGGGCACTCAAAGGGGTCATCTTCACCCCGATAAGGTTGAAATAAAGACCTATTGGCAGCCCAATTAGTTTTATGCCCCCTGTCATCGATATGCTTTGCATTTGAATTAGGTTCCTGTTACTTTGTGCCCAAATAGAGTTTACAGACACATACTGTACAATACCCCTACACTGATTTATGCTCCCAAAAAGTATCTTACCCAGCAGTTTAGAAATAAGGGATATTTTACAAAAAGCCACTGTGAGATATAGTACAAGTAAAACACTGAGTTTTGGTTGAAATATTTATTCTATTAACCTTTACTTAACCAGGTAAGTCATTGGGAACTAACCTTATGTAGCAGGCGAAAAAGACACCTGAACGGAGTCCCCACCTCCGTTTTCAGGGGAAACGGAAGTTAGGTTGAAAATACTGTATCCCTGGAAACCAGAAACATTCGCTTTCTTCCAATGCTGCTTAGGGTGTTGGGAACTGATCCTTGTATAAAAACAACCCCCTAGTTGGTCAAGAAGAAAACAATAACCTGCATCACCTGTACCAGTTGTCACTCACCTGTCACTGAGTCGTGATTGGGTACGCCGTCCAGAGTGCCACAGTTCCTATAGGTGGACATGGGAAAAGTGGGCGGGTTTAAGACAGGAGGGGTTGGGGTCACTGCTGGGGGAGGGGCTTGGGCTGGAGCCAGCTGACCTGCTGAGGAGAGGACACAGGTGCTATTTACCTTTCCATTAGTAGGTAAGGTGACTGAGAACACATTCCAATTTACAGTAATAATATGGAAAAGAGTTGTACAGGATATAAGAGCAGTAGAATAATACAATTGGATGGTCTAGGGTGGTCTAGCAATCTAAGCTACTGCCTCTGGTGCACATATACAGCATGGGTTCGAACCCGGCTACTGCCATTTCAGCACACTCTCCTCTATCTTTCCTCTCTTCTTCTGTCCTAACCAATAAACCAAAATATAGTGTATAAACTGTGGAATAGTGTAACAATAGTGAGAATGAGTCTGAAAAGTGCCACATAGAACACCTTTAATGGCTTGTTGAAGAGGTAGCTGCACAGGTGTCTTACCTAAGTGACCTTTGCACCCTGAGGGCAGGTGATCCTCCAGGTCGCTCCCGTCCCCACAGTTATCGATGCCCTTGTCGTCACACACCAGACTCATCGGGATACACTTCCCATTCTGACACAGGAAATAAGGCTCGCCGCTGCATGCTGATTGGTTAAAACCTGAAAACGGATGGAGCAAGGTGGTACATTTGATTGGTTACAAACTGCACAAACTACAGCTTATGAGTTGGCTACGATTGTAATGATGAGTTAGATTTCAACACTGACGTCAGACGATTATAAAACTACAACTAATTAATATGTGGCAAACATCCACGTGTCATGTCTCACCCAGTCTGAAGGAGGTAAAGTCCCCCACAAAGTCCACTCTGGGCTGGGTACCGCGGGTTGCCAGACGCAGGGTCAGGTGATTCCCTGTGGACAGCACCGGGCGGGGTGGGCTCTTCCCACATAGCGGTGGCCCAATAGGAGGTGAGTTCTTGTCCCGCCCGTCATAGAACTGAATGTATGACCCCGCATGACATGGGTCCCCTGGCTCCACCACTGGAGTCGAAGGCTCCAATCGGAGGCCCCGGGGGGACTCAGGGAAGAGGGGGGCGGGACTTTGGGGTGCTAAACGAAGCAGGCTGTAGACGAGGAAGAAGCGGAAGTGGAACTGTACCTTCACAGGGAGAAGAGGAAGGGGGGCATGTTTAGGTGATGGACATTGCAAGGAAGATAATGTGTAAAGTATTGGGATTATCACTCAGTGACCCCTAGCCCCTAACCCTTGGATCTGAAAGGACTGGATAGGTGTGGGAAGTCAAGAAGGAAATATTACCATATTGCATATACTTATCCAGTCCTCTAAGATCTAGGCCTAGGAGTGGATTTGGGATATTGGGCATACATCTGTAGGGAGCACCAAAATGGAGGTGGGGGCTAAGTGCGGTTAGTGGTGGGCACCTTGTCCTTGGGGGAGGCAGCCTGCATAGTGAAGTGGCAGTCTGTTCCCATGGTGACAAAGTAGTACTTCTTGGACTCCTGGTGTGAGTTGACGATCATCCCGTTGCCCCGGATGTTCTGGCCACAGAAGTCCACCACGTTGACTGGAGGAAAACAAACAGATGTACATTTTACATTTACATTTTTTGTCATTTAGCAGACGCTCTTATCCAAAGCGACTTACAGTTAGAGTGCATACATTATTTTTTTATTTTTCATACTGGCCCCCCATGGGAATTGAACCCACAACCCTGGTGTTGCAAACGCCATGCTCTATGTAGAAGTACCATGAAGGAACAAACTACTTGTCTGTGAGGATGTGATGTGTAAACAAACAATCTACTTTCTCTGTTTCTCCACAGTCCCACTGAGTCACTGACCTTTACCGAATGATGAGATTAATAATAAAAACGAAGATAAACTAAAACACAACTGAGTTAGTCTACAGCTGATTGTTGCAGGTGATTAGGAGGAGCAAATAGCCAGAACTGGACCTGAACTGCTGCTCCAGACACCCACTCTGGGCAGTGAGCCAGATAATGGGAATATTTACAACCCCTTCCTGGTTTTATTAGCTCTGTATCCACAGGCGACCACTGGATCGTTCCAAGGAAGGACACTGAGGAGCCACTATTGGTGGGAAACAACCCGTCCCACAATACCCCCCAGGTAAACACGATGCCCGCAAGAGAAGCACTGTCCAAAACATGGACAACAGCAGAACAGTTAGTCCCCAATAAAGGGTTTTACAGTTTAAAAATAAACAGCTCTGGTACTACTGTAGTCCAGTAGGGAAAAGACAACTAAGAAGGCATGGGGCAACTCCTGATGACACGCTCCCACGCTCACACACAGTAGTGAGAAATACCTCTGAAAAGGGCTGCTGCCCCAACGGTACATCCATGTATTATCCTAATGTCAATGACAGAAAGCTAACATGTATTTATTTGAGCCTTGAATGAAGCTGGACCTAAAGGATTATATATAATTTATCTTAAATAATTTGGTGAAGGGTTAGGGACAATATTCAATTAAATGCAAGCCTCATAATCTAAAAGTAACTGCATGAATGACAGAAATTCAAATTCTGCATTATTCTGCATTTGTGAAAGGTATAAACACGGAATTAAATATAACTATCGTTATAACTGGTAATGTTCTGTTATTCAAAAAAATAAATCACATCTGTAGAGAATGAGCTGAAATTGTATGGCTCAAGAAAATTATTTTGATAATGCCTAGAAATAGTAAAAGCCACATGAGATATCCAGTTCAAAATATGTTTTTTTTCTGTTCACTCAATAAATCAATAATAAAATCATGTTTATTTCCCAATTATCCGGTGTTGATAATGATAAAAGCATAGAAAAATGTCAAAAGTCTGTAGACTATTTCTGTGGAATACAACATAAAGTGAACAAAAAGTGAACAAAATATTTTAAGGTGGTTGTCAAAAAGCCAGAAATATTCCATGAATTAAAGTGTAATTAAAGATCATTCAACCCCATGTGTAAACTATTATTTCACAAATTAAGAATAGTCACAAATGACCGTTCAGCTGCGGCCCTAACACCTGGCGCCATGGGCATACCCTATATGCATGATTTTCTTATCCATGGGTATGCGCCTGTTTCAATGACAATTTGTTTAAGAAAGCAGAGTTCAAATCAACAGGTATTTGGTCAAGAATATAATATATATGATTAATTACAGTGACGCAAAAAGACACACTGTTTTCGGTGACAAAAGCCCAGTGGCGCAATGAGAGAGCCAGGAGCAACAAATAGGCTAAATTACGTGCACAAGGCAGTGCGTCACGGTAATGGCAACAAGTGGCAAGTGGCTGAAATGGCGACGGAATACATCTTAAAATTGAGCTTCCATCTCCTTACCCGTCTCGATGGCATTGGTCTTGAGTGTCATTATGCTGAGCAGAACATACACTTTTGACAGGCTCTGAAGTTTATTCCCCTTGTTTGCCATCTTGGTAGCCTACTCCCAAGCACAACGGATGTTGTTCCACTCAGGTGCGTACTCAGGCCTGCGTATGCCAAGCCCCAAAACTACTCACATGTGTTGCATGCGTTTCTGATTCGGTTTAAAATTATGTTCTTCACTGAAAGCAACCATATTGCAAAAGCACTTTGTTGAGATTCGGTTGTCGGTGTGCCAAGAGAAGCGCGGTCTTCATTTAACGGATGCACAAGGAACATTCCCTTTTAATGTTTCTGACGCCTTTAGGAGTAGTACGCTTTATCATACTGGCTTTTGTTCCTTTGAAGCCCCCTTCTTTGTAGAATCCATCTACGTGTCCTGCGATTTCCATGACAACGGCTGCAAAGCGATGTTTCCAAAGGAAGAGCGGAACTGTGGCCCCTCTATCCGCCCCCATTCACCGACTCTCCAGTAGCGCGCATTAAACGGCACCGACGACCTCATCTGTCTCCCTCTCCCTTTTGAATAACTTCACCTCGGTAGATTCACTGCACTTAAGCAAGAGTTGACTCTGCTATAAAGTACCCTGACCTCTGGGGATGGGAGCACCTGCATAGGCCTATAGTCTCCTTTTTTTTTGTCAGTAGGCCTACAGCCTAATTGCTAAATGAACAAAAATGCTTAGATTTGTTGTGATTTATTATTAATAGCCAACTCATGGCACATTTCATCCATGACCTAACAGTGACACTCAGACCTCTAAAGTCCAGGTCAAGGGTGAGAGGGTGGCTCATAAAAGAGATTCACAAGAGAACCCTGGAGTGGCACTCGCACTCAATTAGGGACACATTTACAGAGAGTGTACTTCTGAGTGCCTTTTATTTTCAGAATAAGAAATAAGAGGCCTGCAATCTATTTTGCTGTCTTTTTCACCACAAAATCAAACATGTCTGGTCAATATCTGCCTTTCAAAGACACAACTACAGGCTACCAGCTATCATGTTGTTGGGCCACTCTGCTTCAAGCCTCAAGTTAGGAAGCAAGAGCATCACCAAAGTTGATGAGGTCTCTGACTAGTTGCATCCCAGAGAGGTCTAGTAGCCTATCCTCACTGAACTGTAGCCTAACATTGGGCAACAACTGGTTGAATCAGCGTTGTTTCCAACTCATTTAAACCTAAACAATAAATGTGATTACATTGAATCAACGTGGAGAACTCATTGGATGTGCAAAAAGTCATCAAAGGAAGGGCATTTCCTTTTTTTTTCACCCAACTTTTAACCTAAATCCAATGACATGGTGACGTTTTTGGTTGATTTTATATTGAATTCACGTTAGTTGACCAATCAACCAAATGTAAACCAAAAGTAGATGTTGAACTGACATATGTGCCCAGTGGATTATCACCGCTTTTATCATACAACTGCTGCATGCTTTTGCAATTGCTGAAACAGTGGAGTCAGGGCCGGATTAAGAAATCATAGGCCCCGGGGCTTGACTAAATGAGGGATACAAAGTATATGTGTTGGTGTTGGGTGCATTTTCCTGGCATGGTTTTGGTCCACTTGTAGAATCTATGCCAAGACGCATTGAAGCTGTACTGGCAGCTCGTGGTGGCCCAACACCCTTTTAAGACACGTTATGTTGGTGTTTCCTTTATTTTGGCAGATACACTACATGACCAAAAGTATGTGGACACCTGCTCGTCAAACATCTCATTCCAATAACATGGGCATTAATATGGAGTTGGTCCCCCCTTTGCTGCTATAACAGCCTCCACTCTTCTGGGAAGGCTTTCCACTAGATGTTGGAACTTGCTTCCATTCAGTCACAAGAACATTAGTGAGGTCAGGCACTGATGTTGGGCGATTAGGCCTGGCTCGCAGTCGGCGTTCAAATTCATCACAAAGGGGTTCAATGGGGTTGAGGTCAGGGCTCTGTGCAGGCCAGGCAAGTTCTTCCACACCGATCTCGACAAACCATTTCTGTATGGACCTCGCTTTGTGCAGGGGGGCATTGTCATGCTGAAACAGGAAAGGGCCTTCCACAAACTGTTGCCACAAAGTTGGAAGCACAGAATCGTCTAGAATGTCATTGTATCCTGTAGCGTTAAGATTTCCCTTCACTGAAACTATGGGGCCTAGCCCGAACCATGAAAAACAGCCCCAGACCATTATTCCTCCTCCACCAAACTTTACAGTTGGCACTATTCATTCAGGCTGGTAGCGTTCTCCTGGCATCCGCCAAAACCAGATTTGTCCGTTGGACTGCCATGGTGAAGTGTGATTCATCACTACAGAGAACTAGTTTCCACTGCTCCAGAGTCCAATGTCGGCGAGCTTTACACCACTCTAGCCGACGCTTGGCATTGCGCATGGTGATCTTAGGCTTGTGTGTTGCTGCTCGGCCATGGAAACCCATTTCATGAAGCTCCCGACCAACAGTTATTGTGCTGATGTTGCTTCCTGAAGCAGTTTGGAACTCAGTAGTGAGTGTTGCAACCGAGGACAGACAATTTTTACGTGCCACGCGCTTTAGCACTCGGCAGTCCCGTATCTGTGAGCTTGTGTGGCCTACCACTTCGCGGCTGAGCCGATGTTGCGCCTAGACATTTCCACTTCACAATAACAGCACTTACAGTTGACTGGGGCAGCTCTAGCAGGGCAGAAATTTTACGGACTGACTTGTTGGAAAGGTGGCATCCTAAGACAGTGCCACATTGAAAGTCACTGAGCTCTTCAGTAAAGCTATTCTACTGCCAATGTTTGTTTATTGAGATTGCATGGCTGTGTTCTCGATTGTATGTAAGCAACGGGTGTGGCTGAAATAGCCGAATCCACTAATTTGAAGGGGTGTCCACATACTTTTGAATATATAAGGTACCTGTATGTGCTTGTGATGAAACTTAATCCACCGTTTTTTTTAAACTATTGATCCTCTTGGCTAATTTATGCTCTCTGGTGTATTTTGAACATTGAGAGCGGGCTCCTGTGGTTGGATTAAAAATTATAATAATAAAAAATATATATTTTATTTGTTTTTTTTGCCTCTTGGGCTCCCTATGGGCTTGGGCCCAGCCCCTGACTCACACAATTGACCAGTCACATGTATTTATTATGCAGTTTATTAAAAATATATATATATATTAATCAGTTACCCACGTGGGCCCCCTACCTCCTCTCCTTCCCCCATCTGAAGATTAGCAGGCAGAAGCAGGCTGTCTACACTCATTGAGAGTGGGCTCCTGAGTCCTCCTGTAGTTGGCGGTTGTTGTTTTATTGCTTCCTCTAGGGCCCCCAATGGGCCTGGGCACAGGGGCTGCAGCCCTGGTAAACCTCAGCATTAATCCAGCCCTGAGTAGAGTAATCTATTTCCACTCCATAATAAATCAATTGGCAGTGTATTTAAAGTTTCAATCTAATGAAATCTATTATCCCTTTGGAAGTTTATTTTCAGTGCGTACCTGTCATTATTTTTGGTGAACATCGGGAAGTGAATCGCATTGGTGAAAGAGCAGTTAATTTGGCTGCCTGATTTGCATTGTAGTGTCTGAACAATTTATGACTTTGCTGACGGTTGCAAATGGTCTTAGAGGATGTTGACTCAGCTTGAGAAAGCATCTGGAGAGTATTTCTATAGGGGCACCCTAAAATAGAGGAAGTCTGTTAGGTGGAGTCCTGGGATTGGTCTGTAGGGGAAAACACCCATATCAGGTTACATAGGATATATATACTATGGTTTGGGACAAAGGAGGGGAGAATAACATATTAGAGATTGGGGCCGGTTATTCTCCAGATGTCTGCAGATGTCTGTAAATTGACGCTGAATTCCTTTGATATAATAAACCTTTATAATCAAAGTACAGTGTCAGCGGATTCCTTGTTCTCACCGCATCTAAGCATCGTTTTCTCGACACTACAGCATACTGCTAGGCTACTGCTTTTTTAGCTCCAAAATTATTAGGCTATCTGTAGATAAGTTAAACAAAATATTCTCTGGAGATGGTGATTCCTCACTGCAGGAACAATAGGTAGTGAGGAGAGAGCCTCGCTAAAGTGGAGTGTGGTCCACACTCCATTTTTGCTCAATTTTTGCTTTGTGTAAAAAAAACACAAAAAAACATCTGTCAGGTAAAAACGTATTTGAACTGGAGTGTGGATCAGAATGAGGCTCTCTCTTCACTCAAATCAAATCAAATACATTTTTATTTGCCACATGCGCCGAATACAACAGGTGTAGACATTACAGGAAAATGCCGTTTAAGAAAAAAATAAAAAAAGCAAATAATTAAAGAGCAGCAGTAAAATAAAATAACAGTAGGGAGGTTATATACAGGGGGTACCGGTACAGAGTCAATGTGCGGGGGCACCGGTTAGTCGAGGTAATTGAGGTAATATGCATATGTGGGTAGAGTTAAAGTGACTATGCATAAATAATGAACAGAGCAGCAGCAGCGTAAAAGAGGGGGTTGGGTGGGGGGGGGCAATGCAAATAGTCCGGGTAGCCATGATTACTGTCCAGGAGTCTTATGGCTTGGGGGTAGAAGCTGTTAAGAAGCCTTTTGGACCTAGACTTGGCGCTCCGGTACCGCTTTCCGTGCGGTAGCAGAGAGAACAGTCTATGACGTGGGTGGCTGGAGTCCTTATTATCCCTGCAGTGAGGAATTACCATCTCCAGAGAATGTTTTTATAATTTATCTACAGATAGCCTAATCGTTGTCAGGAGCTCAAAAAGCAGTAGTCTAGCAGTAAGCTATGCAAATCAGGGAGCCAAATTAATGGCTCTTTCGCAGATGCGTTTCGGTTCACGAAGTTCACCAAAAAGATCCATTAAAAAAGATTGGTTCATTCGGGAACAACCATCACATCACTATATGTATCCACGAATGACAGGTTTGTGCGCACTGAAAAGAAACGTCCATGTAGGCAACCCTTTAGGTTTTACATTAAAAATGTGCTATTTTTCATTAATTTTAGGCAGTAGCCAACTGAACAAAGAGCAGTTTGGGAGCCAAATTAACGGCTGACCAATGAGCTAAGATAAGGCGGGGATTTGCCTAGCAGTGATTTATAGATGGCCTGGAGCCAGTGGGTTTGGCGACGAATATGTAGTGAGGGCCAGCCAACAAGAGCGTACAGGTCACAGTGGTGGGTAGTATATAGGGCTTTGGTGACAAAATGGATGGCACTGTGATAGACTACATCCAATTTGCTGAATAGTGTTGGAGGCTATTTTGTAAAGTGATTTTCTTAGCAGGTTAGTAGAGCATTTTCGCTAATCCTAGCCCTAACAATTTCCCTAACCTGTCACATTAATTATCCTAACCTACTACGAAACGGTCACTTCGGTATTGAAGTGGCGTGAAATGAATTTCCCATTACTAAATACAGACCGGATGCAAAAAAAAAACATACTGGATGAAGGTTCTGTTCACAGACGAATGCGTCCAATAATCGAGAAGAAAAAATACAGTTTCTTTACTGTCTTTGGAAAAACTCACTGTGGTATGCTCCACCGCCCGCCTTTTCTTTGAAAGGGACGTAGCTACGTAGACAACAATGGTACGTCATGCGTAAGTACTTGCGCCTTTCACAAGTTTGAAACTGAAGGATGAAATATTTATTTAAAAACTGACGCAATAGCGCTAAATCTAAAACAAACTGTGAATAAAATATGAAAATATATGCAGCTGCACAATCAGAAGTTTGTGATACACGCACGAAAGGTTCGAATGTACATTTAACTCTTTAAAAAAATCTGCTAACGTTAGCAAGACATGATGCGTAGCTAGTTAGCTTGAGAGCTAGCTAGCTACGCAATTATTTGCAGTGGGAAATATCTGACACGCTAGCTAGCATTATGATTGGTAGCTAGGTAGCTACGAGCATACGCTGATCGGATTCTATTGTTAGCCTATGTTAGAAGGACGTTTAGTTGATGTAATTCAATTCTTATGTCGTTTGAACTGGTTGCCTGATGTGCATAACATTGAATTATTATTGGGTGCGTTTTGCCGCCGACTAGCTATATTTAGCCAGCTGGCTAACTAACGACGTTGAGTGACTGTAGCTGTGCTAGCAGGGCAAGTTAACTAGGCCGGAGCATCCTCGGTACCTCTTTGTCAGGGTACCCATGGTAGGCTCTGTTTTTCTTGCAGAATGGCGCCTCGCGTACAGCTTGAGAAAGCAGCCTGGCGCTGGGTCGAGTCGGTGAGACCGGAGGACATACAACGAGAACATATTGAGATAGCTTACCGAATCTGTGTACCGGCGTGCAAGAGGGGAGCATGCAGGTAAATAGGAACACATAGCTAACAATTTTTCAAATTTCTTCAATTCCCATCCTTAAAACTTGGCGTTTATGTCATATTCAACTGCTATAATGTTGCCAGATCACTAAGAGTGAATTGTGTTGCACAACTATCTTCTTTTGTCTGCTATTTGATTATCTTGTAGCTAGCTAGTCACTCCGTTGAATGTCATGTGCATACACAATATGAGATTTCAGCTATGGAAAGATGGGTGAAACGCTTTTCATGACTCGTTTCCTTTCCTCAAGTATTTTGATATTCACATTACAGAACGGTATCTGCTTCCTAATGCTTGACGTTATTCCCTGGTTTCAATGCCTGAAGCCACTGTCTATATTTACTTAAAAAATTAGATTGTTGTTAGGATATTGAGGTCTCTCCCCCTGACTTGTTACCATGCTTATAAAGGAGGAATTGTAAAGGGAACCCAAATTGTCTTGTCGGTGTTGGGGAACATGCCTGGTTGGGGGAGATCAATGAGAACAGCTTCCACAACATTGACGATCCAAATTCAGAGCGCCGGGACAAGGTAGGCCTACATCCAGAAGATTCATCATGAACTCAGATTTACACCTGCAAGGATGTGCTCCTGCCTGTTTATAAATCTACATGACTTGGGTCAATTTCAAGTTAAATTGTCTGCCTTTCATCTGCACTGATTTGAAAACACTGGATGAATAAGAGATACGTTTGTTTGAACTTGTCCAACTCTCTCTTACCCCCCTTATCCATATCCCTATCCCCTCCCCCCTCTTGTTCTTGCTCTTCCCCTCTCTCAGAACACGTTTGTGGGTCTGACGAACCTGGGCGCCACGTGTTACGTCAACACCTTCCTGCAGGTGTGGTTCCACAACCTGGAGCTGCGCAGGACCCTGTACCTGTGTCAGAACGCCCGGGCAGAGGAGCACAACATGGACTCAGGTGTGCTAGCCCTTGGAGATAAGCTCAGACTGTAGGGATGTAACAATTTACCAATACGCATCGGTCCACGTTTCAAATGTTTAAGATATAAATGCATCGGCCCGTGGGACCCCAAATCGATCCACATTTGCTCAAATTACTTTCTCTCTACCTTCCAAAAAACCCTAATCTTTTGTGACAACTACGTCCTGACCTTCAGTGTCTAACTAAGCATGTAATTGGCGGCAGGTAGCCTCGAGATTAGAGTGTTGGGCCAGTAACCAAAAAGTTGCTGGTTCAAATACCGGAGCCGACAAGGTAAAACAAATCTGTCGCTGTGCCCTTGAGCAAGGCACTTAACCCTAATTGCTGGTGTCTCGGGAAGTTTGGATATGCAAAAAAACATATTAGCATTACACACTTGTGTGTAACAGGAGAAATATAAGCACCCCCCAAATTAGTACTATTGTGTTGACAGTAATTGATCTACAAGTCATATTGCATGCTGAACAACCCCAGGCAATATCAGTAGCCTAGTCAAACTGTGCGCCGTGCGCAGCTTCACGCTGACCAATGAGAAGTAGGCCAATTCCTCATTGGCACATCTAAGTGTGCCATTCTGTAAAATGCGCTGTTGAAAATTGTGTTTTACCTGAATAAAAGTAGCCTAAGCTACTGCCTTAGACACAACTCTCATCTGGCTGTACATGCTGATCAGGGTTTACATTCAATTTTATTTTGAATGTTCAGGTTCACCATCAGCAATAGTTTTGGTCGTTTTTCTTGAAACAATATATAATAATTTGTTGATATACAGGATAAAGGTGATAATTTCCTATATTCATTGGCTATGTCATAGCACATTTTTTACAGGTAAATATTGATACATTACTAGCTCTAACAAAAAAATGACAAGTGGTGGGGGGGGGGGGACAAAAAGCAAACATTGCCCCCCCCCCCAACTAATAGTAAGGTGGTAGATTCCCAGTTTCCCTTATGGCTTTGCTCAGGTGCCTACATCTACCATATACAGTACCAGTCAAAAGTTTGGACACACCTACTCATTCCAGAGTTTTATTATTTTCTACATTGTAGAATAATAGTGAAGACAGCAAAACTATGAAATAACACATATGGAATCATGTAATAGCCAAAACAGTGTTAAACAAATCAAAATATATTTTATATTTGAGATTCTTCAAAGTAGCCACCCTTTGCCTTGATGACAGCTTTGTACACTCTTGGCATACTCTCAACCAGCTTCATGAGGTAGTCACCTGGAATGCATTTAAATTAACAGGTGTGCCTTGTTAAAAATTAATTTGTGGAATGTCTTTCCTTCTTAATGCGTTTGAGCCAATCAGTTGTGTTGTGACAAAGTAGGGGTGGTATACAGAAGATAGCCCTATTTGGTAAAAGACCAAGTCCATATTATGGCAAGAATAAGCAAAGAGAAACGACAGTCCATCATTACGTAAGACATGAAGGTCAGTCAATCCGGAACATTTCAAGAACTTTGAAAGTTTCTTCAAGTGCAGGCACAAAAACCATCAAGCGCTATGATGAAACTGGCTCTCATGAGGACCGCCACAGGAAAGGAAGACCCAGAGTTACCTCTGCTGCAGAGGATAAGTTCATTAGTTAACTGCACTTCAGATTGCAGGCCAAATAAATGCTTCACAGAGTTCAAGTAACAGACACATTTCAACATCAATGATGTAAATGTAAACATCAACTGTTCAGAGCAGACTGCGTGAATCAGACCTTCATGGTTGAATTGATGCGAAGAAACCACTACTAAAGGACACCAATAAGAAGAAGAGACTAGCTTGGGCAAAGATACACAAGCAATGGACATTAGACTGGTGGAAATCTGTCCTTTGGTCTGTTAAATCCAAATTTGAGATTTTTGGTTCCAACTGTCTTTGTGAGACGCAGAGAAGGTGAACGGATGATCTCTGCATGTGTGGTTCCCACTGTGAAGCATGGAGGAGGAGGTGTGATGGTGTGGGAGTGCTTTACTGGTGACACTGTCTGTGATTTATTTAGAATTCAAAGCACACTTAACCAGCATGGCTACCACAGCATTCTGCAGCGATACGCCATCCCATCTGGTTTGCGCTTAGTCCCACTATCATTTGTTTTTCAACAGGACAATGACCCAAAACGCACACCCCCAGGTTGTGTAAGGGCTATTTGACCAAGAAGGAAAGTTATGGAATGCTGCATCAGATGACCTGGCCTCCACAATCACCTGACCTCAACCCAATTGAGATGGTTTGGGATGAGCTGGACCACAGAGTGAAGGAAAAGCAGCCAAAAAGTGCTTTGCATATGTGGGAACTCCTTCAAGACTGTTGGAAAAGCATTACTCATGAAGCTGGTTGAGAGCATGCCAAGAGTGCAAAGCTGTCATCAAGGCAAAGGGTGGCTACTTTGAAGAATTTAAAATATATTTTGATTTAACACTTTTGTGGTTACTACATGATTCCATATGTGTTATTTCATAGTTTTGATGTCTTCACTATTATTCTACAATGTAGAAAATAGTAAAAATAAAGAAAAACCCTTGAATGAGTAGATGTCCAAACTTTTGACTGGGACTGTACATAATTTACACACACATAAGTCAGCTCAAACAGATCATGGCCAGAGAGGCCCAGCTCCATCAGCAGCAGATTTTAATTTAGAATGGAAAATGAATGTATTTATGCAACAAATGTTAGTGCATTGTATCACATCGAACCAAATCACATCGATTCATTCATCTAATCAAACTGGATCGCACTGAATTGTTTCAAACTAAAACGTATCGTTTCTGTTTCGTATCGGCGCCCATGTATCTAAATATGTATTGAATCATCTTGAAATGGACAGATGCATATCCCTACCAGATAACTGTATAGATTTCTTCAGGTAAACCCAAATTGAAGTGCTCAAACACCATTTTCCCTTTCTCAGACTACGAGCCTCGCAACATATGTGAACACCTGCAGTACCTGTTTGCACTGCTGCAGAACAGCAACAGAAGGTACATTGACCCCTCGGGGCTGGTCAAGGCGCTAGGACTGGACACAGGACAACAGCAGGTAGTCTCATTATCTTTTTACATGCACAGGAAAGTGTGTGAAGAGTTCACTATGTTTGGCAGAAGCTTAGTTATTTTTATAGTGGCTATAGGAAGAAAACGAAGAATACAATTTCAAATGTAAACTTTTTCTATTTTACTCATCCTCATCTCTCTATTTCTCTCTCCTGCCTTTCTTTCACATTCAGGACGCTCAAGAGTTCTCCAAGCTCTTCCTTTCGCTATTGGAGGACACATTATCCAAACAGAAGAACCCAAACCTGCAGAATGTCATTCAGCAACAGTTCTGTGGACAAATGTCTTACGTCACTGTGTAAGCCAGCACTATATTCACCCATCAACTTTAATCAGACTTAACTAACATTCTAACAACCCAGTTGTACTTTTATTTGTTAGAATTTGGAATCTTCCGGTAGCCATGAGAGATGTACTTGTCCTTTCTTGCTTTATTGGTTGGTTTTATAAAGTCATGCGTTTGACTATTTTGTGCTTTGATATCAGTGGTTGTGCCAGTCAGAAATGCAACATGATTTTTACAGTCTTTTATGAACATCATAAAGGCAGATGGGAAAGTGCTCTGTCTGTTTAACTGGACGGTTCATGTCAGGTTGGACACTAGGGATTTTTACTAGAGGTTTGGCTTTGTGGCTGTGAAGGTAATGCTTTTATCCTGGCCACGCTTTTGCCATTTATGATTTTGGATCGAGATCAAAACGTTTCTTCGACTAGTACCTAGGTTTTAGTCGCCTTAACTCAACCCACACTTCTACACAACACCAATACCTTTCAAACCTCTGAGAAACAGCAATAACAGATAGACTGGTGCAGACTCTTGAGTAAACCTGTGTCTGAGTCTGTGGGTTTATGACACAGGTGTAACCAGTGTGGCCGTGCTTCTCCCCTGCCGTCCCGATACTACGAACTAGAGCTCAACATCCAGGGCCACAAGAACCTTACGGAATGTGTCACAGAGTTCCTCAAGGTAACCCTTCATCATGACATCACATTAGTCATGAAGAGGATGATACATCATGTTGTTCTTTAAGGCGATTATGCATTATGATAGCATATAGTTCATTAGGGTAACTAATGCATTTTGACAACACATCACAAAGTTCTGAGTTCAAAAGGTAACAATGCATTATGACATCAGTTCCCAAAGGTAACAATGTATTATGTCAGTGTTCCCCATGGTAACAATGTATTATGACGTCAGTGTTCCCCAAGGTATTAATGCATTATGACGTCAGTGTTCCCCAAGGTATTAATGCATTATGACGTCAGTGTTCACCAAGGTATTAATGCATTATGACATCAGGTTTATTTCCCCTAGGTAATTAATCGTGATGTAACAGACTGAGTTTTTAAATAACATTTGTGAGTAGTTGGGTTGAATAGTTTAGAGTTTTATTTTTATGACCTCAGTGTTGACCCTGTGATCTCTCCCTGCAGGAGGAGAAGCTGGATGGTGACAACCGCTACTTCTGTGAGAGCTGCCAGAGCAAACAGAACGCCACTCGACGCATCAAACTGCACAGCCTCCCACGCATACTAAACCTGCAGCTCATGCGTTTTGTCTTTGACAGGTCAGTTTGATTCATTCAGTCTGTCGTTTTGTAGAAGGGTCTCTAGTCCACCATCCCTCAGCCCACAACTCAAAACGTACATGCCTTCATTAGTAGTAGCCATATGCAGTATCACTGAGGGTCAAGGCAACAACTCTAACTCAGAACTGTCGCTGAATGTTGTCTTTCCTCTGATTCCCAGACAAACGGGTCACAAGAAGAAGCTCAACACCTTCATCAGTTTTCCAGAGCAGCTGGACATGGGCCCATTTCTGGAGGGCAAAGGTATCGCCAGCCTTGCAATGGCTCAACACAATATCCTCATTCTTTACATGTGACCGAATATTTAATGATAAAGATGGATACATGACCGAAGTTCTGTGATAATGGTATGATTAAAGCTGCCCCTTTACTATGCGTTATGACATACAGACGCACATAATCCATGCTGTGTGTGTTTGTTTTGGGTCTCTTTGGGTGGCGTCCCCAGAAGATGAAAAGTGTGTGTACGAGCTGAGTGCAGTCCTGATCCACCGCGGGGTCAGTGCCTACTCGGGTCACTACATCGCCCACGTGCGAGACGCCCGCACCAGTGACTGGTACAAGTTCAACGACGAGGAGATTGAGAAGATGGAGGGCAAGAAGCTACAGCTGGGCATCGAAGAGGACATCGGTAGCCTCCCTGCTCCTTTCTGCATTAGTCCACTTGTGCCCCCCTTTCCTCCCCTTCACTTCCCTGAATTGTAGCCGTATCGTTTTGTAATACAGCTTGGTTAAAAACTGACAGTTGTTTGGTGGTAAAGTCCCACTCCCTTACCAAATCAATCTTTATTTAAAGTGCATCTAAAATCGTAACACAAAAAATTTTGAAAAATTAAAAAACAAGACAGGAAGAATAAAGGTGGTTAATAAAGGAACTAACTACTCTTCATCATGGCTTCTCTTATACCTGTTCTCTGCTGCTGTTCTGGTCTTTCTCCAGCCGAGACGGTGAAGTCCCAGACCCGTAAGCCCAAGTGCAGTAAAGGATACCACTGTTCCAGGAACGCCTACATGCTGGTGTACACGTGCCAGAGAGAGGAGGACACTGACCCCATGGAGACCAACGTTGAGGTGCCAGGTGAGGATCAAACAACTGGACTGCACCTGGTGATGACTGTAGTTCAATACATTATGTACAAGGTAAGAACTGAGCTAGCTGGATGGCCCTTTGACATACTTGATAGGTAAGAGGAAATGTATTAAAGCTATTCTCCAGTAAGACTTGTGTAGTTCTATGTTCCCTGCAACTAAAATCAGCTAGATATTCTTTGTACACTACCTGTTGCTGCAGAGGTGATGTGGTTAGAATGTTGTGGTTGTATGACCTTTGAACCCAGCAATGGTAGCTGTGATGTCAGTGGGAGCCCTCTATCTGTGCCAGGCTTTCTGCAGAGGCTGGTGGACCGAGACAACAGGAAGTTTGAGGAGTGGTGCCTGGAGATGGCCGACATGCGCAAGCAGAGCGTCGACAAGGGCAAGGCCAAGCACGAAGAGGTGAAGGAACTCTACGAGCTTTTACCTGCGGAAGACGGTCGGTAAAAACATCCCCTTACCCCAGCTATCACAATATTGCAATATTAAAGTAGTTATTTGTTCATGATGTTGTATAAAGCATTATAACTAGGGCTGTCAAACGATTAAAATAATGAATCGAGTTGATGGCATTAGTTATAGCAGTTTTTGAATGTGCTCAATTTTGGCCCTAAATAAAGATTTTTCCATTTAAAAAGCAGTGCATAGAGTTACAGGCATACTATGCTTTGATTGTAAGGGAAAGAAACACAAAATAATCTGTATCAGAATGTTTTATTAGCATTTTCACCATAAACAACACAAAAGTCACTAACATACAGCTATTAATGCTCCCAATGTTTAAGTAGGCTTACTATCTCATCAATGGTCATTAAATGTAACACTTGCGCACAGCACACACACAGCTTTAAGTACTGTTAAAGCTTCAGCCATTCTAAATGAGTGACTATATGAAAAAACTGTCTCTATGGATACACAGAGCTTTTACATTTGTCCAACAATCTTATGAAAACACTGTAACCATCTGTACTGTTCAGGGCCCTGTTTCCCAAAAGCATCTAAAGGCTAAGTTCATCGTTAGGACCTTCGTAGGAGCATTATTATAAATCTCCCAGCTGTTTCCCTAAACCCTCGTTATTAACGTTGCACATGAAAACGCTCGTAAACTAACGCCTGTCTCAGATCACTCGTTAGATGCTTTTTGCCCTCCCGTGTCACTTTATACACAGAAGATCTACTCTAAACATAGAATCCCATGGTTTAACAGTCTCTCTGTGACTGCCAATAACTTCAGAACATGGTTGACTACAAATACAAAGTTGCCAATGTCTGCAATTGATACAAACAAGTGATGTATAAAAAGATAAAAATAAAAACCGAGATGACTGCATTAAAAATATAAACAGTAGGCTATAGACCTATTTCAATCATATTGAAATACATTTAATGTTCAATGACTCGAGTTCTATTTTGCTACTTGTAGGCAACTGTCTGTAATTTGTCTCAATATGTATCATGATGTATAGCCTAACGTGCGCAATGTTGTACCAAATCTGTGATTTAGTGCATTTATATTTGGTAGCCTAAGCATTAGAATAAGCCACCTCAATATTTGCAGCCTCGGTAATATCTCCCTAGGAGCTGATCCATCGTCAGTTTTGTGAAATAATTCTAATGTTAAGGTGATATTTGAATGGATAAAGCTGATCCGAGAGCAGCACTCCCTTTCTTTCTATCCTGTCAGTATCGACACATGCTCCAACGACGCACTCAGCGACTGTTCTCTGTGCATGGTGTTTTGGGAAACGCATGTTACATCTTCGGCCATTGTAGGAAAGAAGCATCATTAAAACACTCCTAAGCCTAAGTTCCATCACTATCGGGAAACTGGGCCCAGATAACTTTACACACACAGACCTATACACCCTTTCTCTTTCACTTACTCCCGCTCTGACACACACACACACAATCATACACATCCCACTCTTGCATATGCAGCCTACCTTTTGAAGTATCTCTTTGAGTAGGCTATTCCTTTTCAGTTCTTCCTGTGCCACCCAAATTTGTGGTCAAGTTATCAGGTTGCTAGCTAGAGGCACACTGTCTTCAGCGATGTAAAGGCGCAAGCATTGACTGTAGCTGTGTTTCGTGTTGTGTTCTGCACTTTAAAAGGGTCTGTGTGGAAACACGTGCGCTTAAAAGGTTCCGTCCGGTGAAGAAATGGAGCCGCGATTAACGGCTTAAAAAATAATTTATGGAGATAATTTTGACAGCCCTAATTATACCACATCCTTGGAATGCTATGCAGGTGCATTAACAGTAGCTATGCTTACTTTGTAAAGAAACAAAAAGGCACAAGAATATAGTTTATTTTAATTACAATAAATGTTGTACGAGAGCAATATACTGTGTGTTGCCCCTTTTCATTCTCCAGAGTTCTTTCACCCAGCACTGAAGTGCAACTAAGATGTCCATCTTACAACGTTGAGGTCCAGGTAGAGAGTTTCATGTTTGTGTGTTTGTTTCTTCCAGGCCAGCAGTATGAGTTTGTGCCTCTGGAGTGGCTGAAGAAATGGCTGGACGACTCGACGGTCACCAAAGAAATCGACAACGGCAACTTCCTGTGTTCTCATGGTAAACTGCACCCCGACAAGGTGGGGGAGGCCAAGAGGATCTCCGTCAAAGCAGCAGAGCTTCTCTTTGACAGATACGGAGGAGGACCCAGACTGGATGGTAAGAGACATTGCTGATGTGCATGGATAGTCTCAGCTCCTCTCTGTGACCTCTGACCTCGTGTGTGTGTGTGTGTGTGACCCTGTGTCCAGGGTCAACTCTCTGTGAAGAATGTGTGGGCCAGAGATGCAGGGTGCTGCGGCTAAAGAACCAGCTGGCCGAGGACTACAAAGAAGTCACCTGCCTTGTTAAGGGCCCGCCCAAAAGGTAACCACTCACTCACACAGATTAATGGCAACATTTTGTGTTCGTAAAACAGTCCTCGCAGTGCTGAAAGTTAGACAAAATAACCGTAACCTTATAGATACAGACATATTTGTAGTACTGCAGCTAGCGATTGCAACGTGCGCATGTGTGTATGTTCTAATATCTCACCCCTATCCGACAGTGATGAGGGGTACTGGGTGGGCAAGACGTCTCTTCGGAGCTGGAGACAGCTGGCCTTGGAGCAGCTGGAGGAGGACGAGGAGGAGACCAAACACAGCGACGGCAAAACCAACGGAGAGGGACCAGAGATCACTGCTACTAAAGGTACACAAACCAGCAGAGGTCACAAAGAGTACAACTTGGATAACTACTTATCACAATGACAGGTAGAGTAGGTAACTACAATATTATTAGAATCAGGTGAGAAATAACATGTATTCACCTCTTTGTGCAGAGATCATGATTGATTAGGTTGGTTATTACTGTCTGGTTCTTTATCAGAGTGTGGCCCAGTATTGTTTGACTGTTGCTGTCTGATTCCAGAGTACGGCCCAGAGAACCAGGATGACGAGGAGATGAAGAACTTCAACGAGGACATCCTCTGTCGGCATGGCGGTCTTAGTATCCTGGAGAGTGAGAGGCGGGTGGTGACTGTGGAAGTGTGGTCCAAACTGAGGGTGTACTTCCCCAAAGCCCCCCAGTTCACCCAGCTACAGGAGCCATGTCAGCAGTGCCTGGTAAGAAGGGATGGACCGAGGTGGTGGGAGGGATAGAGATACTGTTGTCTCTCCCTACTCCTCTCTAGCCTTGTAAAGGAAAAACCAAATTGTTCAAATTGAGCTGATCACATTCCTATTAACTGTGTGGAATCCCTCTGGGTTTTCCTGTAGAGGCTGGAGCGTGAGGGCAAAGAGAATGAGGCTCTGAACAGGATGATGGCGTCAGAACAGAAGAGCTCCCTCCTGAACCTGTTCCAGGAGAAGAACAGACCCACACTCACCAAGTGGCCACAGGTAATAACTATTAGTACACAGGTAATAACACATTTAATGACACTTAGACTGTCTGAGAACGGAGAGGAGAAAAAACGCAAGGAAATCAAGATCGCATTGACAGCTGTACAGATTTCTCCAACACGGCAGAAAGCGAACACTATATAATGTCCCATCTCATTGATTCAGCCACTTAGATAACTAGTAAGTTAAACTTAGGGGTTGCGTTAACGCAGAATTCTGCGTTTTTCACACAAACGCAGATCTAAAATGCTTCTTATTGTTATTTCTGCTCGACACAGACTAATTTTGTGCTTCAGTTCCACTTCTCCACTGGAAGAGAATTCACGAACCGGCATTCTATCAGCAGACAGCTCTCTGACTGTGTAGCTACTTTTCTCTGGTACTTTTCAGTGTAGCCGAATGTGTTGCACTAATGTATTTTCTGTGAAGGAAAACTGTAGTTGCACACCCCTGATAACTCTGTTGAAGCAAAAAAAACACTGTTGACTTTCAATATAAAACGCGACCCCTGTCAATACACAGCTGGGCTCAACTGCTCCCACTTTCTCCTGTTGTGCTATTTACAAACAAAACACGTGACTGGCTCAACTGTTCTGAGGAACTACGGTAAGCTTCATAATGTAAAATAATATGAGCGGTGAAATGAAGACTGCAATCTGCTTTATCTCCTATCGTATTGCACAAGTTGACTGCAGGTATTTACTTAAAGTAGCTACAAAAAACTTCAAATAAATACTTAACTATATTGACAGTATTGAAAAGCCATCCCGACTACACAGGTAATACACATATAATAACACAGGTTAGTACACAGGTAATTACAGTTAGTACACAGGTAATAACGGTTATTGCACAGGTAATAGGTAATACGTTTGCACACTGGATAGATATCCTATTGGCTGAACTGAATATATTTGTTGATGACATGTTGACATACTGATGAACCCAATCTTTGTTTTAGGAGACGGACATTCTCTACATAGTTCCTCTGTTTTTTGTGGACGAGTGGAGAAAGTTCATCAGGTAAGTCCAGTCTGAATCCTACTGTTTGAATGGTGAAGCAGTCAAAAAACAAACAGCCAAAGATGACATGAATGACTGCCTCCTCCCCTCCCTCCCTCTCTGTAGGAGGCCCACTAAGACCTCCCCAGTGTCTAGTGTGGGGAACAGTTTGCTCCTTTGTCCCCATGAAGGCTTCATGTTCACCCACGATTCCATGTTGAAGGGAGACGCCCAACAGTGAGTGACTTCACTGACCTCTAATGTCTGAGCCCTGTCGACCCGTGTTGTTGTTTTCATGTTTTTATACAGCACTGCTCTGGTCTTTATCATCCGTCCCTCCTGGTCTCATGTTGTGTGCTGTTCCCTCTGCACAGTATAGCTCTTCTCTGGCCCGGCGAATGGGAGGTGATCAGCAGACACTTCCTGGTTGATCAGCCAATCTCCATCTGCCGGATCAGTGAGGCCACGCCCAACGGCTCCAGTGTGGAGTACACCACCCAGCCTGGTGAGATTCAAGCCCTCATGACTGTGTGACTTACTGCTGTTATTCTGTTCTGATTCTTTGAGAACTGTGCAGAGGGACTGTTTGGCTGTGTTTGTGTTCTGTGTGTCCAGAGCTTTGCAGGGACTGCAGAGAAGGCTTCATCTTCCAGCAGCAGAGGGACATGAGAGAGTACGCACAAGCCACAGTCTACGTCCGCAAGGTCATAGACGACAAGAGGGTGAGTGTCTCTCCCCCTCCCCCCTCTTTTCTCTTTAGTAAATATGTCTGTCACGGAGTGTAATATGCAAATAGTATGAATCACCAGAGAAGAATACAACTTTGTCTTCCTATTTAGATAATGAAGGAGGCAGCTCCTGAGATGAATGTGAGTGGGTCGGAGGCAGAGGATGAGAGGGAGGAGCCTGTTGCTAAGGTGGACGGAGAGCAAGACCCTGACTTTAGCCAGGTAGGACACAGACTGCTCACCTCAGTTTCACTTTTTGTTGCTTATAAGTCTCTAAGAATGTAATGTTTGAGTAAAGGTTTTGTGAAAACTAAGACATTTACCAATAATGTTAAAGTGAGAAGTGCTGAGAGGATGATTGACATGGATATTGTTCAATGTTTCCCTTGCTTCCTGGTCACATGACCTCTGTCCAGTCAGAGGACGGGGCGAAGCGTCAGAGGCTGGGTGAGGGCACCATCGGTGCTGCCGCAAGTCCGGCCCCCATGGCCAGTTGCGGCAAATCAGGTATCAGGAGGAGCACGAGGCACAGGAAGCTCCGGGGAGAGAAAGCACTCATCGTCTCAGCCAATCAGACACTCAAGGAGCTTAAAATACAGGTGCGGGGTTCACCAGTGTTGCCATCGATGGAGGCTTGAATAACCATAATGCATCATCCTTGCCTTTGCACCACACTGAATCTAAGGATTCCTAATCCCTAACTCTGGTGTGTTAATGGTTCTCCCACAGATCATGCATGCCTTCTCCGTGGCCCCGTTTGATCAGAACCTGTCGATCGACGGCCGGTGTCTAGCGGACGACTCTGCCACCCTCGGCAGCCTAGGAGTCATCCCAGAGAGCGTCATCTGTCTGAAGGTACAAACCGCATTCATATTAGATTAGATTATAAACTTGAATTATTAGCATTATTATTTTTCTTTAAGGGGTGAAGACGGTTATCTAATATGACAGTGAACACGTCGTTATGTCATTACCGGAGACGAGCAGCGACTGGTTTATGAAGTTGCTTATTCCTGAATCTGTTTGTCTTTTTTTTCAGGCTGATGAACCCATAGCAGATTATGCAGCAATGGATGATGTTTATCAGGGTATGTTTATTTTCTTCTCTCCTTTCTCTTTTTTTTGTCTCTTCTTTCTTTTGTATACCGTGAAATTCTGTTTTAAAAATGTGTTACTATGAATTGAAAGATCCCATTTGCTAACAATGGTTTCTGTGGGGGATTTTCAGTCTGTATGCCTGAAGAAGGATTTAAAGGTAAGGGTATTTTCTGATCGCGATCATGTTTGCATACATTGGTTTTATTATCCATGATCTGCAGTATGTGCAGCTGTTGTTAAATTTTAACTCATTTGACATACAACAAATCAATAAAACATACTGTATGGATCCATTTAGGCACTGGGCTTCTCGGTCACTGAAGAAGACATGACAGTCTCTGCCCTTGAAGCGGACTGAAGCTGGACAACAAGAATCAAATGCTTGTAGTGTCCATAAATGGGAAAAAAAGTGCTTTAATTTTGTTTTCTCTTATGTTGTTTTTTTAAAGATTTAGTTTTTGTATTGTGACTGTTGCAAATCCTTTGTTTATATCTCTGTTAAAAATGATCTGCTGGCTTTTAATATTTAAATAAGTTCATGCATTCGCTGGGACTTTGGTCACACTCTTCGCCCGGGCTGTGGGTAGAAACGGGTCATGAGAATCGAGTAGCATCTTCCAATGTGGAGCTCAAACTGCTTTTCTGTCTGCTTCTGTAGACTTCTGAGAGGATCGGCCCAATTGTAGGACAAAATTATCCTTGAATTTTACAAGATACATTTTTTAGTTCAAAGGGAAATTGTGGTCTCTGCAAATTTTCTTCAAACATTTAAAGAATGCATGTGCAACTGTTAAATTGTTAAACCACAAAACAGTTTCAATATAAGTACCTCAATAACAGTTAACAAAATACTCTGTTGTGACATTTAGAAGAATAAAATATATGTATATTTCTTAAATGAATAAAAAAAACATTGCAAACTTAGATTAGGTTTGTGCTGCAATCAGAAACAGATGCAGGCCTTGGTGTGAACTGTTATTTTCTCTTATTTCATATGGGCAATAAAGTTGTTTTTCTTCTACAGATTTTCTCACACATGAATTGTTCTGGATCTATTTGTGCGCTGTATGAAGAAGAAAAAAATATGGGCCGGTTTCCCCGACACAGATTAAGCCTAATCCTGTGTCCGGGAAACCGTCCCTCTGACCCGTTCTTTCATACCTCAATGCTTTGACCACTATGATATTGATATAGTATTGACTCTCATTCCCTAATAATACACATAGTAAACCAAGTCTGGATGTGTAGTGCATCTGCAAGAGAGCATGGTTGGGGTTTGTAGATTCAATGTTTATTGGTCGTGGACACAGATTTGCAGATGTTATCGCAGGTACAGCGAGATGCTTATGTTTCTAGCTCCGACAGTGGAGTAATATCTAGCAATACAATAACCAAACAGTATCAGAACAAGCAGTCAGAATCAAACTGTCTATACACACTCTATATACAGTGGGGGAAAAAAGTATTTAGTCAGCCACCAATTGTGCAAGTTCTCCCACTTAAAAAGATGAGAGAGGCCTGTAATTTTCATCATAGGTACACGTCAACTATGACAGACAAATTGAGAATAAAAATTCCTGAAAATACCATTGTAGGGTTTTTAATGAATTTATTTGCAAATTATGGTGGAAAATAAGTATTTGGTCACCTACAAACAAGCAAGATTTCTGGCTCTCACAGACCTGTAACTTCTTCTTTAAGAGGCTCTTCTGTCCTCCACTCGTTACCTGTATTAATGGCACCTGTTTGAACTTGTTATCAGTATAAAAGACACCTGTCCACAACCTCAAACAGTCACACTCCAAGCTCCACTATGGCCAAGACCAAAGAGCTGTCAAAGGACACCAAAAACAAAATTGTAGACCTGCACCAGGCTGGGAAGACTGAATCTGCAATAGGTAAGCAGCTTGGTTTGAAGAAATCAACTGTGGGAGCAATTATTAGGAAATGGAAGACATACAAGACCACTGATAATCTCCCTCGATCTGGGGCTCCACGCAAGATCTCACCCCGTGTGGTCAAAATGATCACAAGAACGGTGAGCAAAAATCCCAGAACCACACGGGGGGACCTAGTGAATGACCTGCAGAGAGCTGGGACCAAAGTAACAAAGCCAACCATCAGTAACACACTACGCCGCCAGGGACTCAAATCCTGCATTGCGAGACGTGTCCCCCTGCTTAAGCCAGTACATGTCCAGGCCCGTCTGAAGTGCATTTGGATGATCCAGAAGAGGATTGGGAGAATGTCATATGGTCAGATGAAACCAAAATATAACTTTTTGGTAAAAACTCAACTCGTCATGTTTGGAGGACAAAGAATGCTGAGTTGCATCCAAAGAACACCATACCTACTGTGAAGCATAGGGTTGGAAACATCATGCTTTGGGGCTGTTTTTCTGCAAAGGGACCAGGACGACTGATTCCGTGTAAAGGAAAGAATGAATGGGGCCATGTATCGTGAGATTTTGAGTGAAACCCTCCTTCCATCAGCAAGGGCATTGAAGATGAAACGTGGCTGGGTCTTTCAGCATGACAATGATCCCAAACATCCACCGCCGGGAAACGAAGGAGTGGCTTCGTAAGAAGCATTTCAAGGTCCTGGAGTGGCCTAGCCAGTCTCCAGATCTCAACACCCATAGAAATCTTTGGAGGGAGTTGAAAGTCTGTGTTGCCCAGCGACAGCCCCAAAACATCACTGACTCTAGAGGAGATCTGCATGGAGGAATGGGCCAAAATACCAGCAACAGTGTGTGAAAACCTTGTGAAGACTTACAGACTACAGACAACGTTTGACCTGTGTATTGCCAACAAAGGGGTATCTAAACAAAGTATTGAGAAACTTTTGTTTATGACCAAATACTTATTTTACCACCATCATATTGCCAATAAAATTCAGAAAAAATCCTACAATGTGATTTTCTGGAGAAAAAAAAATCTCATTTTGTCTGTCATAGTTTGACGTGTACCTATGAATGAAAATTACAGGCCTCTCTCATCTTTTTAGTGGGAGAAACTTGCACAATTGGTGGCTGACTAAATACTTTTTTTCCCCACTGTATATATATATATATATATGAGAGAGAGACAGTTTGAACAGTGTATGAATAGAAAATGTGTGTACATCAGTAGTTATAGGATGAGCCATGACTAGAATCCAGCGCCTTCAGAAAGTATTCACACCCCTTGACTTTTTCCACGTTTTGTTACAGCCAGAATTTGTGTCACTGATCTACACACAATACACTATAATGTCAAAGTGGATTTATGTTTTTTGAATGTTTAAAAATGAATGTCAATTAGTATTCAATCCTTTTGTTATGGCAAGCCTAAATAAATTCAGGAGTAAAAATGTGCTTCACAAGTTGCATGGACTCTGTGCAATAATATTGTTTAACATGATTTTGAAATGACTACCCCATCTCTGTACCCCATACATACAATTATATGTAAGGTCTCTCAGTCGAGCAGTGAATTTCAAGCACAGTTTCAACCACAAAAACCAGGGAGGTTTTCCAATGCCTTACAAAGAAGGGCACCTATTGGTAGAAGGGTAAAAAAACAACAACATTGCATCGAATATCCCTTTGAGCATGGTGCAGTTATTGATTACACTTTGGGTGGTGTATCAATACACCCAGTCAGTACAAAGATACAGGTGCCCTTCCTAACTCAGTTGCAGGAGAGAAAGGAAACCGCTCAGGGATTTCACCATGAGGCCAATAGTGATTTAATACAGTTACAGAGTTGAATGGCTGTGATGGGAGATATCTAAGGATGGATAGACAACATAACATGCACAATACTAACAAATTAGTGAAAAGCAGGAAGCCTGTACAGAATAAAAATATTCCAAAACATGCATCTTGTTTGCTATAAGGCACTAAAGTAATACTGCAAAGAATGTGACAAAGAAAAATAACTTTTTGTCCTGAATACAAAGCGTTATGTTTAGGGCAAAACACAACACATCACTGAGTACCACTCTTCATATTTTCAAGCATGGTGGTGGCTGCTGCATTATGTTATGGGTATGCTTGTCATCGGCAAAGACTACATTATTTTTATCCCAAAAAAACGAACAGAATAAAGCTAAGCACAGGCAAAATCCTAGAGGAAAAACTAGTTCAGTCTGCTTTCCAACAAATACTGGGAGGTAAATTCAACTGTCAGCAGAATAATTACTTAAAACACAAGGCCAAATATACACTGGAGTTGCTTACCAAGACTACATTGAATGTTCCTGAGTGGCCTAGTTACAGTTTTGACTTAAATAGGCTTGAAAATCTATGTACAATCAAGGTGTGCAACGCTCTTAGAGACTTCCCCCCCCATAAAATAAAAATGTATGTTCTAAATGTAATTTCCTGCAATTCTACACATTTTGCCATGGGGCGTAGAGAAATGTTTCAGTTTTAAAGCACGTTTTCTGCAGCTACATGTTTTGCCATGGGGCGGAGAGACATTTTTTTCAATGTCATAACAAATGTCATGCAATTCTACTCATTTGTCATGAGGCAGAGGTCATTTTTTGCGGTTTTAAAATGAACTTCCTGCAATTGTACCCATTTTACCATGGTGTGGAGATAAATTTGAGCAGTTTCAAAGCTAATTTCCTGCAATTTTACACATTTTGCCATGACTTGTGTCATATTAATGATATCTGAGTGAGTGACACACAAAATCAATGAGGACCACCTGGAGGTCAGGGCCCCTGGGCATGTGCCCTGCATGCCCCGATCGGTATTCGGCCATGATTACTACAAGTTTAGATAACTGGCTAGACTAATTTACCAATCTAAAAATTGTTAGCTGACATGGCTAATTGAGTGACTGTCAGTGACTGACAAAACAAGAGGAAAATCTACTGAGGCACAACCAAATTTCGAATTTACACCTTGTCTATTTTACTATTCTAACTCTCAACAGTAAGTTGAGACCCCGACAGTTCCCCCCAAAAAAGTGTGTGGGGCCCCCTAGCGGCCGGGGG